TTAGAACGCATGAAGGGACGTTAAAACTGCGGCAAACGGTATAAACTTGGATTAACGCCACATTTTTTACCGTGTAACGTCTGAGCGGGGGCAGGGCGACATAAGTGGCCGCGTTCTCGCGGAAGCTCGGCGGAAAAACTTTACATATCAACCGGCTTATATTCGCGACGCGGCCTAATTCGGTCCACTTTCGGGCGCTGCTCCGCGGGTTGACGTAGGTCGGCGTCGCAACGCCTTTGCGCTACGCTCGCGTGGTCGCGCTACCATTTCCCGATGTAATTTTTCCTCGTTTTCCGGACAGTTTGCCGCGTCCGCGGAAATGCCCGCGGATTGCGGTCACCGCAAAATAAATAATTCCGCGCGTCTAGGGCGCCGCTCGCCTCCTTCTCCCGCCCTTCCGTTCCCGTTTTTGCGATCGTCGCCACGAGTTACACTTTTTCTTCTCGCATTACTCCCCTTCCGGCGGAAACGACGAGGATTTGCGTCTCCCCTTTTGCCCTTATGCCGGTAACCGCGATTGCGACCCCTTCGTGCTCCTTTTTTTCATCGGGGGCATTATTCACCGGAGGATGGAAATTTATTGCTTTCTTTCCACCCGGACTCTATGCGAACGCAAGGATTAGAGGATTATTCCTGACAGTTTGACGCTTTCGACCGCTAGCGAGGTGACTGCGAACAATATTGACCGTATTGTACTTCCCTAAATAATATAGCGTATAGTTTTCCGACGGATAATGAGATTTTAATTATGTACTAATACCGTATTATTATGTATTAATACCTTATGATGAGATTTAATATGACTTCTGTCCTATATCTTGTGACGTGGTATATTTTTCCTACCCACGGCGACCCCAAATTTCTGCCGACATTTTTTTTTTTGCATTCTTTAGCTGCAGGGTCCGAGGTCCGACGGTCACCGACCCGAGGGAGAGGGAAAGCATGCCTAATTAATAACCGATTTAGGTTTAGTATTTTGTTGCAGCCTAATTTAGCGATGCGCGGGAACTCTTCCAAATTTCCTGTAAGGGGTCATCCATTTGTTTTTTTTTTTTTGAGTTCCCGGACGTACTCTCGAGCACTCGCAGATATTCGGAATGAATATTTGGCGAGGTGATCGAGAGCTCGCCAAATTTCTGTATCGCGTAGCGAGGCTCCGGTCGCTAGGCCGGAGTGTCAACATCGGCGACCTTTCGGAGGTCGCGCTCGCGCGCGCGTTACCGCTCGTCGCCCCGACTGGGAAGAAAGAAGCCGTCGAGGAAGCCTCGGCGGGCAAGAGCATCAGGATCGAGCTCATCAGCCGCGGTGCCACGGCCCGTTCGTCGGATCCACCCGGAGAGCAAGTCGGCCCTGCTACATCCCCTGGTGGCCTTGCCTGCGGGGGCGGGCCGCAGACGGGCCCTGGAGGCTCGGGTGCGGCCGCCCGCAGAGGCAGCAAGAATACCCGGCCAGGAGCCGGACCAGGAGGCAGGAGCTCTAAATGACCCTGGCTGCCACCGACGAGGCGAGGCGTGGATGCTAAGCCCTCGCCAGAGTACCCGGGGCTTACCCAACGGTCCGTCCCCGGGTAAGCCAGGATCCCCCGGAGGGGAAAACATCGGGGGCCCAGAGGACCAGGGCCCGCCGGGACCCGACGGACCACCGCGCGGCACGGACGTAACATCGCCGGCGGCTCGACGTGCGCCAGGCGCGCAACGCCGTTGCCCAGCAACCGCGCACGGAGATCGCGCCGCCGCAACCCCCTGCCCTAGGAATCGGACCGGCGCACACCGATTCCGCCGAAAATCTGGTGCTAAGGGGCATCTCAGCCAATCAACGGCGCCGATTGGGATTCGGACTGGCCAGCTGAAGCCCTATATAGGACAGCGCCTAGACAACCCCGATCTTCCCTGCCTACGATCGTCGGACCGACTGGACCTGCGCCGAACAGTTTTTCTAAGCATTGTCTAATTGTCTCACGTCACCAGAGACCCGAAGATCTTCTCGGCTCGTTGAGGGACTCAGCCGAGGGGCCGGCGAGCGGTGGCGAATTTTCTAGAATAAAGTAAGTGCCACGTGCTCACTCGAGGACCCCCTTTTCGTTTTCTTTGTCTCCTCGGTGGAGAAGTATTAGAGTCGCCGCGTAAATCCGCGAGGTCGTAGGGCCCGGATCGTGTCGCGCCGGTGAGCGGAAGCGTACCGCATAGTCGGTCTTCGTGAGTCTCACGCGGGCAATCTTCCGGTTTGCCCTGGTGGGGCCTGCGTGGGGACTCACGGAAACCAGGATTTGAGTCAGCCTCTCGGGAGGCCGCGGGGTTCCTCGAGCCGACACAAGAGTGACTTTTTCGTTTTCTTCGAGTCGTGTCCCGTAGTTTTCTCTATATCCCGTAATTTTCTCGCCATTTTCTTTGTAATGTTCTGTCGCGCTCCTTTTGAGTAAAAGCGCGCAGTTCGAGTCCCCTTTTCTATTGTCTGGCCGTGAAATTCGAGTTTCTTTGTAGCTTAATTTTCTTTGTCTGGCGGAAGTTTGTGAACGGTTTTGACTTCCACCCAGACTAATTTTCGAGTCCAGTAGAGTCATTTTTCTCATGCCGGTTTGTAAATGGTTTGGGCCCGCGGCGGGGAAAGTGCCATTTTCGAGATGTTTTGAAGCGATCCTCACCCGAAAATCTGTGAATGGTTTTGGCTTTCGGCGCGAAGATCTTGTGATAGTGTAAATTTAGAGTCCTTTGTCGCGGCCAGAGGTCGAGTCGTAGGAGCGTCCCTTGTCTTTCCTTCGGGGTCGGAGGCGGAGAAGCCGCGAGGCGACTACGTAGTCGCTCGCGTCCGCGACCCATTTTCTTCCCCGGAAAACCTGCTTTTCTTCCGGTTGAAGTTGCGATTTTTGAGTTTGTTTTGCCGAATAATTTTTAGAGTATTTTTGTAACTCATCCGTCGAGTAAATCTTGTATAACGTTGCGGAAATTTAGAGTCCAGATTCTGTCATATAATTTGAAGCTGATTAGTCCATGAACGTGAGCGAAAATATTTGAATACTTGAATTTGTAAATTTTGATTACGTACGGTTTGAATTTAGGTGGCAAATATTGTCTAGTACAGTGAACCTTTTGTGAAATTTTAGTAACTTGAATTATAGAATTGTTTTTGCATTGTGGCCATTCGGAGCCCGTTGAGATAAAAAGTTCTGGGAGTTGACGAACTCTTCACTTTGCGTTGATCGGAGCCCCCTTTGAATATTTCGCGTTAAATTGTCTTTCCCGGCGATAAACCGAGAAAGCTAGTCATTTTCCTAATATATCTGATATTCCATTGATTTTCTATTTCGTGCTTTAATTATCTCTCGTCTAATTGTCTCGCGAGAGTTACCTTTCTAATTTAATTGTCTTTTGGGGGCGGCCTTCCGCCGAACCCTATTTTATTGCCACATTTCTGTTTTTCTCACGTCATTTTGTTAATCTAATTGTTTTTTCATTTCTTTTATTGTTAAAATAAATTTGTTAAAAATTGGTACCAGATTCGAATTGGTTTTTCTTTTGAGTAGGAGTGGCTGAATTCCCCTGTTCTTTCTCGAGCCTATGATAAATTCCCCAAATTTGTTGAAGTTTTCCCCTTCGTCCCCCGCATCTTGGTCTTACCCTCGCCCTCTCCGAACCTTGGCGCGTGCGCGCTCTGAGCTAGTCGGCCTCGCCGCGACGATCGTCGAGGCGGAGATCGTTCGAGCCTAGTCCTTTGAGTCAATTTTGAGTTTGTCGAGATTTGTTCGAGAGTCCTGAAATTTTGAGCCGTTGAGATTTTCGAGAGTTGAGAGTTTGCCGTTGAGTATTTTTGGCCTCCGGGGAGGCCTGGCGCCCAACTTAGTGTCTCGTTCCCGAAATCGGGAAAAATCAGTTTGAGTGGCTCGAACGGATCCGCCTAGACGATCGGGCGAAGGTGACGAGCAATCGTCCGGGCGCTGCGGGTCCGGAATCCCCCCCCCGAACTTGGTGTCCGTTGTCGACACCTCGTTCCTCAGACCATTGTTTGTTCATATTCCGTCACAATCTCTATACTTTTACCTTAATACGTATATAATAATTCAGTAATTCTTCTATTAAAATTCATTTTACGTGTTCATTGAATTATTAAGACTTACAAAAAGAAAACTATTCAGGAAACTCTTAACCACGAAGCTTTGATACGTTTAATAAAAATGTTAACACAAGCCTCAACCTCCCTACTGTAGGGTGGTATTACGAGTTTCGTGAAACTTGGAGCAAACGCAATCAGACGAAGGAAAGTTCAAAGATTCGGTATTACCGTTAAGGTGGCAAGTCTTATTAAGCAATGCTCACTGTTGCGAAGCGATTTTGGATGGTGCTGAGGTACTCAAAAGAGAGCAGTTAGCGAGCTGCCTGTGTAGCAAATTGAGTGAGAAGTCAAAAGGGAACCATTTAACTTACCGAACTCTACGGATTTGCAACGCTTGGTATCGGTGCGTGAACGTGCAATACCCCCGCTGCATACAGAGCGAGCCTAACTCCTTCACCGAGACGTTATTCCTCATGGTGGATCGTCCTGCGAAGGAGTTAGGCTCGGAGTTTCAAGAGAGAGAGAGAGAGAGAGAGAGATAGAGAGAGAAACCGACGAAGGAGGCACAAAGCAGGAAACGTCAGAGGCGTTAAGCCGCCTTTTCGGTAATACTCTCGGGTTAAGCAGGCGCAAGCACTCCAAGTTGCAACTGCACGACTTTGGGGGTCTCAGAAATCTCGGGTGCAACTGCCACGAGGGAATGCGACGAATGGATGCTCCTGTCAAACTTAACAATAGGCTGGATATTTTATCACGAATGAAAAATAGTCTGTGTGGCAAGTGGCTAATTATCGTTATTTGAAATATATTAAATTTAGCAATTTAAATTAGCAACGATTAACGAGAACGCGAATAAACATTTTGCTAAATAGAAATGGGACAAAGTAGAAAAATTCTAACGTGGAAATAATGAAATTATAGCGATCGATACTGGCCTTAAAAGAGTCCACGGAAAATGTTGAATGTTTTATTCTTTCTTAATTTTTCGTACATCTTATAGATTTCTTATTGAAGGTACTTACCATATTTGAAAAAAAAATATTAGTTTAAAGAAGCAATGTGGTTCAGTGAAGGAAATGATCCCTTTGGTTCTTGTAAAGCAATCAGAGGTAATCAACGGGCTCGGCCCCAGAGCCTGTTTTTAATATAGCAGATTTCATCAAGGCGACGTCCTTCTTCATTGTATCGATATTTTGCTCGAAGGTTCTTACGAGAACATCGAAATACCCCTCGAGAAAATCCGCCCTAGTCTCGAAGACTGAAACGTCTAGTCGATGAACGTACTTCAAAGCATTTAAAGTTCCGCCGTATCCCGAAGTCATGTGATATATGGCTCGCTTTACGTCCGAGGTAAGCTTCTTCTTGTCCAAAGCCCCATCCAGGATTTTCTCAAAATTAACGTTGGTTGACATAGCAAAGTCCCGCAAAGCTTCCACGGGTTCTGCTCCGACATCGGAACAATCGATTTTCGGTAACATAGCCTGAATCGCTTTTGCAAGTTCTGAATTATTCTGAACCCGATCCGCTGCTTTCTCGAGAATGGCTCTTAGAAGCGAACCTTTGGTATGATAACGACCTACATCAAAGTCATCTCCGAGATCGGTCAGCAAATTTCGGCGCGATAGGAAATTCGATATGACGTTCAGTCGGACTTCGTTCTCCGGACTATCCGCCACCACTATCAAGTCTAACTCGTCAAATCGGATTTTGAGGTCCTGAATCGGTTTCAGTAGTCGGATGATCTCATTAAAGAGAGTGGAGTTGTTCCTGACAGCTTCCGAACGGAGCATACGTTGAAGTACAGAAATCAGCAGTAAACGCTTGTTCTGATAGTTTCCCGGTTTCATGTCAGAGAAGTTCTTCAGGAACGTCTCGTTGTCCAGTAATTTCGCTAGAGGGAGACTAACGTTTCCTATTAAACTTCCCGAGAGCTTACTCGAGGAAGGTCTCTCTTCTAATTTAGAACCATTCCAGAAACGATCGGTTGAATGTTCTTCGGAGCCGTGCATCAAGATACAGTACACGCGGACCAATTCATACCGAAATACCGGTATTGCCTGAATCTTTTTCAACTCTAGCATTCCTTTTAGTACGCGGATTAATTGATCCCTCTTGCTCTCGGTGAAGTTCCCTTCTTGTCGCTTATAGAACTTCTTCAACTGCTGTGCTATTTGCGAATTGTTCATGACACTTCCCAAAATGAAACTGACGTTTTTCACGGTTTTCCAAGTACTGGTATCTGTGGCAGAGTCATTGAGAGACTCCAACCAGATTTTCAGAGGCATACCGTTGGTAATGTTAGGACAAGACGTCAAATTATGTCGATGAATCATCACGCTATCATTACCGCTACTTGAAGGGTTCGTGTCTTGAAGGATTTTACTAATATCGGTTACATTAATATTTTCCATGTTTCGTTTACCTTTTCCTATCTTGTCCGACGTCTGTTGGACGGTCATTTGATGCTTCTCGTGTAGTTGAGAAACAAGGCTTTTTAAAACTTCGTTCTGGATACTATTCATTGGAACGCGATTTTTAACACGATCCAAAAATGCGAGAAGTAATTTTTTTGGAGTGTCGTAATAATATCGAATAAACCCTCTCATAGCGTAAACAAGATTTATCTCGTTATTGTCGACCATATCAGAAAGAGCTGTGACCTCAGAAATGTTGATGAATTCATCAGCGAGCCTGGTCAAGAGAAGTGTGATATTCAATTGTGACCTTCCAAAAAATGGCTTCATGTCTGCATAATATGGATTTACGCTGGTGTCAATTGGCCTCACAAACAATGGAAGTAATTTCGTTACCAAATCCTTTACAATGGCATCCACATTTGGCATTTTTGATATCTTCGTCAATGCAGAATGAACAAGATCGTACGGGTCCTTTATCTGACTATCCTGCGTGACGTTGTAGGACCACTCCCTAATCTTTTCATTTCTGAGCACGTCAGTCAGATATCGCAGATCCTCTATATCATCCGGTTGCATAGAATCGTACCTGATGTTCAACATAATCACAGCTAACACGGGTTGACTCAGGAGAATTTTACCATCAGCGATTGACGCGAATAACGTAGCGAACTCCTTGCCATGGAGGGTCTCTATCCGTTTGTCGTAGGACTTCGAAGTGGAACTCTTGAATCTCAAACGTGTTATCAAAGCTGGATCGATATCATGCAGAAGGTCTATTTCTTTAATTTCCGACTCAGGCAGTAGGAAAGTCTTTAGTAGGTTCTTCTTCTTCGTGAAAACTCTAGATAAGTCATCCGCGACATTTTTATAATAATTTGGCATGACAGTATGGAGAGATTTGAACAACGCAATCAATTGATTTGGTCGATTCGTTTTCACCATAGATTTTAGACATGGAAGGAGATCCATCGTTTTAATGTTGTTTCGACGAATTTCTTGATATATTAAATACAAAGGTGTGTATACACTTTGCGGCAAAGTATTGTTGGTTTGATGTAACAGGTACCCCAGCATCGTGACGATATTGTCACGCAATGTCACGGCGGTCCAGGCTTTTATTACCATTAGATCAGTACCATTTCGAGGAAGTTTGTCAATAAAGTCGCAGACGGTCTTATTGGTATCATAAACCTGACATTTTGTGAACCCCAGTTCAGGTTGACTGGTATCCGAAGGAAGGTACACGTAACCACTGTGCCCAAAATTATTTTCCTCGCGAAGACCGAAAAATGACGTCTTTGATATGGTGTCCTGCGGTTCACACAAAATCAACTGAAATACAAAATGGTGGTTAAAAACCATCGAATTCTTGTCACCTGATTTTTATGGACTGATTACAGGACCGTGATCGATCGTATTGGAGTTACCTTTGAAAGTGCAAGGGTCCCCAACAGTTTTAGAAACAAGGTCAGATTAATTTTGGCCATCCTGCTGGAATGAGTCTTTTTCTAAAGACCGTTTGATTCATACTGGGCATACTTACTAGTCGTATCGATTCCAGTCGACGTTACTTGGTAGCATAATTCGCTGCGAATGTTAGGAAATTACGGATCATTAATACTACTCAGGGGTACCTCTTATCGCCGGCCAAATAGAAAACACCTCGGATACGATAGAGGGCTTTTACAAACATGAAATATCCATTGGCATTTCTGATAACTGAAAGATAAAAAATCGGTCCAAAAGAGAACAATTCATAGAAGTTAATTTATTGTGAATTACACTGCTTATTAGATGACTATTTATGTTATGGACAGTATTAACTTTAGTTAATGTCCGATATAAATAGTGTTGCGAATAATGATTATTGAATAAGAAATCGTGGGACTTTATGTATTTACCAAAAGAGATGGTTTCGAGACATGAATTGGATTATTGTTCATTGTATGAGTATTGTATGTATTAAATATCATACGATTTACACTTGATATTACTGTTTAGATAATAATTCTAATAACCATTGTAACCGTCCTACTTTGAAAAGTATAAGGACAAATATATTTGTTAAGAATTGAATAACAGTTCTCCTTATACAATTCAGCCATGAAATAAAATTTCATCTTATAGTATTGTGTAATTGATTAAATACCATATCTAGACTAGGCAGGTAATTTAAATAGACTAGATGTAAAGATTCAATAAATACATTTATTAACAAGCTCCAGATACGTAAATCTAAATCGGGCAGGGACAATATTTAAAATAATTAATATGTTAATTTTGGCATAGGTTTCGAACCTTTATCGTTGAGATTCACGTACGGAATTAGAATTTTCAAATCCTTTTTGGCTTCTTCCGATACGTCCTTTTGACCTGCAAGGTATAGGAAGAGTCCTTTAATAAAAGTGCCCTGCGTATGATAACTTTCGAATGGAAAACTACTGGTCTGCAGTAAGTGTGGGTTTTCAATTAAATAAATAATAACTTTGTTATAAATTATTTGTATATCACGGGGCAATTTATCGTAGTCGATAACGGCGTCGATAATGTCTCCGAGAGGTACTTGAGTCTCTATAATCACGATCCACACCCAGCTTATAAATAACGATCCCGGACCTGTGCGTAAAATCTTGTCTTTATAATACCGAAGAGCATCCAAATTGGTTTTATCAAGGGTGATCGTATCACTTTTCAATGCTGCTTCAATTATTATTTCAAGTAATTCACCACGAGTTGTACCCAACGGCGGAATAGGTAATCCCAACTCTTCCAACAAATTTTCACGTGACAATAAAATCTTTATTAAATTTGTGTAATGCACTTCTAATGAACTTTTCGGCGTCGGTAGAGCAACCAAAAGCGTTAGTAGCTCTGGATACCAGTGAGTAGTAGAATTCGCTGACATAAATATATCATCAGGAATTTGTCCAGGTTCAACCGGTATCGTAATGGTCTGGAGATATTCATTTATTATTTCAGCTAGCGCGGCATCAGCTTTAATTTCAGGTAGCACAATCAACTTCCGAAGCGTAGCCATTAGAAGAAGCATTCTGTTGGGAAAGCTGGTAGCCACGAAGTCTTTCCCCAACAACGAAGTTATATTCTCTTGTTTCAATAAGGCTATCAGTGGTTCCAACTTAATCTTGTAAGGACTTCCCTCTGGAAGCTGCGGCAGCAATTCCTCAAAGGGCTTTTGTGCGTCGACGGGTCGCAATTGGAACTTTGGATGCAGCATAGCTACAGTTCTCTTTCCTGATTGGGTGGACGGTGGTTTTCCAGAGATAACAGTATTTTCCAAATCATTCGAATCGCTGGAGATGTAAATGACGTCATCGCGTATTCCTTTCGCGGAAGCGACTACCGGTAATACCATAGTTTGTTCAATGATTTCGATGGATTTAATATATAGATCAATAATATTGACTAATTCTGTAGGAGCTGAATCATCAAGACGTAATTTGGCCATTTTCAAAATGGACATCATCAATGCAAGCCTACTCTTGTATTGATTAGGTAGATTCGTGTCATTTAGGAGATCCTTTACCTTGTCCTCTCCAAGGATATCGTTAAGTGGCTCAATCACATCTTTTCGGAACGGAACACCAAGCTCCAGGATTATGTCATCAGTTTGCACAGGCTTCATAAGATTTGTCAAAGATGGTAGTATAATGTCGGGTTTCAAGTCGTTGTTGAAAGTTACAGTAGTGAGTTGCGGCTGTCCATTTACGAGGTATAAAAACATCGAGTTCTTAGGATCAATATCAGGTGGCAATATCGGAGCCTCGTCGGCGGAATTTGACGGTACACTTTCTGTTATCGCAGTTGGCAAGGACGACGTAGTTTCGATTGCATCGGTTGTCCTTTCGTCACTTTCCATTTCAGTTGGTTTTTCTTGAATAGTTGTAGGGACGGGAGGTGCCAAAGTACTCAAAGATCCGAGCTCGGTGGTCTCGGTTGTTTTGAACCTTTGTTGCGTACTCGGCGATACAATTGGTCCTTTCTTTGTTGATGGCTCAGGCATTTGGTTAATTGATAAAGGAATAGTTCTTAATGTAGTGCTCGACAATGCAGAAGTTGTCCAAGTTTCTGGTCTTTGGGTCGTCGTGGATGAAGGTTTCCCCATTTCATTGCATTCGCAGTCTGGCATTATTAAAGATAACAACGATCTAATTTCAAGACGTAATTTGTGAGGTAAACGTCCTTCGATCTTACGAGCTTCCTTCAAAGTATTTATCAAACAAATTCTTGGCGACGAACACTTTTCTTTTTGGTCTGGAATTAAATCATTCAGCAATTCCTCATATTCGGGCACTTCTCTGATATAACTCATAATCGTACTGGAGTAGCCATTGACTTTTAATCCTAAACTGGGATCCTGCAGATTTGATAGAAGCAGGGAGACGTTAATTTCTGGCTTAACTCTGGGTGAATTTTGAAGATGCTTAGACGCGATAAGGTATGCCGTAAGAGCTTTAATATCCGCTTGGATTTTATCAATTTTATCGTTGGTGAAACTGGCTCCTGCATCTTCATAATACGACAACCTATTCTGTAATCTGGACAAAATGGCAAGCAACAAATCAAAAGGATTCTCATAATTAAATCTATTAAAACCGTTAAGTAATTGGTCAATGTCGATCGAGTACTTTTGTATATCGTGCAATATGCGGTTCTTGAGGCTAATTGCTACGGTAGAATGAACTGGGATTAACGAAAGTAGAGCATCAAGATTCAGACCCTCTCCATTGATCGAATTCCAGTCAAGGTAAAATGGATTGGAATTCTCAGGGCTAACAACTTTAAGGTGATCGCGAACGTATATCAGAGAGTCGTATAAGTCAGTGAGTTGAGGATCCCGATGAAAATTTACGTTCTCCAGGATTTCCTCGATTATCTCCTGTACGATCTCATAAACATCGAAGGTATACACTGTTTTAGGCCACCCTTTTGTTTTGTTCGTTTTCGATATACTCAGAATGTTCTGAATGTGTTCTTCAAGTACCGGATCTTCCTCATTGAGTGGTAAATTCGCCAGGATAATTCCAAAGAGTTGAGGCAGAGGAATTGTAGCTTTTCCAGCTTTGAAGTCTCTTAGTATCTTTACAAACACCTTGCCAATTGTCTCCTGGATTCTATCCTCTTCACGATTCGCAGCGTGGGCCTCCTTAATTTGCAAGCCGGTTCGACAGATCTCAATCGTCCTCATGTCAATATTTGCGTAAAAGTTTAAGTCATCCGATTCTAGAAGATGATCCACGTTCAAACGATGCCGAAGAATTTCAGAGGCCAAGAATTTCGCAGCACCCTGTAAAGCTGGCGACAAGTTATTTGCAAGGTTGTCCAACAATATTTGCATCTGTCGCTTTCTCGAGGTTTCGTTTAATTTGCACAACTTGCTTAGTAAGTTGTACGTGTAGACATGTTTTTTTCTTAAAGCCGAATGGATCAAGTATAACGCCTCGTACTGATCTTGTGTCAAACTATTGTGCGGTACCTGAAGAAGGTAGCCAAAATTGTACACTAGATTGTCACGTAGGGCGAGAGCTGCATATAACTCTGGAAGGAGATACCAGGTATGTTGAGTGACGATGGGAGATATGATCGAAGGGATTTTGACGTTGGCGTGAATGCCACCACCCGGAAGAAATGCAGTTTTGATATTTCCTGTTAGTTGAGTAACTCTTCGGCGTTTACGGAGAATTCCATTGTCCGACCCTGTGATGGATTCATCACCGACATCGTCATTGTAATGCAGCAGGTCTTGTCTATACTCTGGCTCCTGCAACAAAATAGGAAGACAAGAAAACATTGATTAACGAAATTATTTAAATTTACAACTTAAATATAGTTTAAGCAATTAAATTCCTCCTAAACAGTCCCTGCGGTATTTGATCCACTTGTGGCTTAAAAGGTATTTAAATAGTATCGGAAGAATTTTCCTCGTCTCAAAAGCTTCAGTCTTTTGCCCCTCTAAATATTTAATTTCTTTTTAATTTATTGTATTTTTGAATTGTTAACTTACCGAATGAAATCTTTTCTCGACGTGATGGCGATGAGAATTCTGAAAATCAAATGTCAAGTTTATTAACTATTTTCATATGATCATACGATCCCAGCACAATTTAGTAGCAAACTATTGCTATTTAATATTCCACCGGTCATTGAGGTCGAATTAGTTCTGCCATCCATTGTTTACGTTATCGCGCTCCCGAATAATCCCCGGTATTGTTACACTTACTGATAACTCTTGACAAGAGCACTGAGCAATTCTAAAATGGATTGAACGTTGTTTAATTTCAATTTCATGTCTCAATTTCACGAACCGTCGATTACTGACCGATGTTACTAATTATGCATACTTTTAAAGGTATCATAATATTACCCATCTCCACCAGAATTCACAAGTCTGGAGGAAATTCTTTTTCAATGTCTGCAATAGAACTAAAATCTCACTTATTGCCAGCTGTCCATTTATCTAAGAATCGATATATACAATGAACGATGAGTTTAAATTTTGATTTCAAAAGCTATTAATAAAACACGTTTGAAAATTATTTGAGCTCTAATATTCATTTTATGATTAGTGTTAGATTCGAACGTGTGTCATCCGCAGTACTTCTATTGTTAAATATATTATTTAATAAATAAGTTTCACACCTGCCAACATGCTTCCGTAAACAAAGTTCGTAGAGGAACAAGGAACAAGATGATCGCGAAATTGCACACTTGGGCAATGAAAAACATGACCGACTTGTTATAACTTTCTATTACTTAAAAATAGTGTACGCCGTTTCGGTACTGACACTTCGGATGGCACCGCTTGGCAGCTAAGAAACGGTAAGCTGCCTCCGCGGTGCAAAGAAGAAACTAAAGGTGGAAACTGATAAGCTTGTATTTATATGACACAAGAGTGGCAAATGTTCATTCGTAGAATCGCACATACACGTTAGTTCACTAACACATAGCGAAGAAAGACACGTTAGTGCTATCTGATAATTAAATTTTATGTTCCTTGACATGTTTGAGCCGTACGAATCATGAAGAGCGACACAATGCTGGATTTGGATAAATATAGTCATGTACTTAACCAGTCACATTGAAATTCATATAATCGGTACAATCGACGCGTATTAGAGCGTGGTCTATTTAAACGCATTAAAATATAACAAACTTAAGAATGCTGAACCAATAGTCAGATTGCTACTCAAGACGAATGGACGGCGTGGTGATTTCGGCACGTAGTCGCAAATTCATAAGCAGCGAAATTAAACCACGATGCCGTAAATCATACATTCCGTTATACATTGCGCCGGTCCACGTCCTTCGTGTGCCAGAATCCTCGTGTAAATTGCCCCAAAGATGTGTGATGTATCTGCACTGTGGAGCAGTACTTCTAGGTTAAGAATTTCGAGAATGCATTACGCAATCTTACCACATGGTTACGGAATCTAAATATCTGCGAAATTTGTGAAATTAATATAAGTGCGTTTATAAATTGCCTAGTGATAACGAGTTGAAATTTAAACCCTACTTTGAACTTGCGTAACCTAAGTATTCTCCCTTTGGCTCTATTTCACATTTTATGTCCTACTTCATACGATGCAAGTCCTACTTTAAGCCTAAAATAAGAAGAAGGGATGAAGATATTTGCCACCTGCAGTCTTAAGTAGGATCTCAATTGTATAGAAGTTACTCTTTTTCTGATTATCTCAAAATCCAACCTGCAATTAAAAGTTTTAAACAGGATCAAAATATCGACTCAGCAAGAATTAGTCCCTTTGCTGTACTGCTCGAGATAGAAAAGAAAAAAAATCGTCTAGAAAATGGACCGATCGAACCTGTCGATCAACCTAGCCGAACGGATTTCCGTAATGCACCCTCGCGTACTTCACGAATTACACAATGCCGACGATAAAGTGGGAAAAATACAGAATGTGTTGACACAGCAGATTCGACGACACCGACTCGTTTCGGCCGACACGATTTGTCCGGCACAGGTATATGCGCGGAAACGAAAGCCCGTCCGATTCGGTTTGCAATTTAGCTGCGGCTCCGCTCGCGATTCGACGTTGAAAACAAATAGTGGCGGCTGTCGTTGCAGGTCGTACAGATTTTGTTCGGTGCAGATTACCATCGGCTGAGCTTTCAGGATAATTTATCACGAGCCGGACCACTGCGCCCCTGAAGCAAATGCGGTCGTCGTTTGATTCATTTTTTCCACCTGTATGTACCGATTCCTGCAAACAAATGCTTTCAGAGTAATTGATCGATTCCTGGGTATGATCTCCCGGCTCGATTAAGTACTTTCCCTTTTATTAGGTTTTTTACCGTAATTACCTGCAGATTCGCTTCATCCATTGTAAATCTCCTCCCGCAACTCGATAGAAATTGCGAAAAAGGAATGTCCCAATTTCGATTAAAAGTGGAACAAGTGCTGGTGGATGTGCGTATTTCGGGATCGGTATGGCTTTTGGTCTATAGACGTGAATGCAGGATGTGTGGGTAAAGTGGGGACTTTTTTACTGATATACCGTGAGAATGTAATAGCCCTAATTTCATCCGAAATATGTTTTCGACGCCTCGAGGTGGAAACTTAGGAGGCGTTTCGCGGAGATGAATTCTTTCGGGCAAAGCACGATATGTGAAATGGAGGCTCCGATTTTCGAAGACAAATTGACAGAGCGCTTTATTCGATTCAACGGTCGAGTGGTGGATATGTACAGAGGTGCGAGCCGAGTGATGGGACCGGCAAATTCGAATTTCGACGCTCTTCAAGCGGATGAAGTTTTAATCGGATCTCCTCGAGCGGACGCTTCGGCTTCGAGCGTTCCTAGTGATCTCCATCGCATTTTGACTCCCGCTTTTAATGCCGATGGGAAACGACCCTAAGCTCTCAACATCGCGTAACGATTCTCTCTGAAAATAGTAAACGCGTTTAGAGGGTATTGCTCGTACCTGGAGGTAATGTTCCTTAAATGAATAAAGCTTGTATAGCGGAGCGCGAAGTAATTGGGACGGGAGAGTGGTGTGAAAGATGTGGAAGGAAATTCGAAGCGCCAGAGTATCATGCACTTAACCACTTAATGTATAAGTATATTTTGAATTTTGGATCAAAAGTGATGGAATATTTTATTTCCTACAAAGCTTATACTTATGCACCCTCGAGCGCGTGTAGAAATTCCAGTAAAATGCGCTTACGTCAGACACGGACTACATTAAGTGGTTAATATCAAGAATTATAGGTTTTCAACTTTTAGTATTTCCTCATAACTAAACGAAGCAAATTATGAAGCATAAAATAAGTCTTCGAAGCGGTAATTAACTGCATTATATCGTTCAAGAAATCACCGAGCACAGTAGGCCGCCTAAACTTTAAACGTAATTTGTTGTAAATGCTGTATCCTACCTCAGATTTCTCAGTGACCATCGTTAATCGTTTACATTCTGATAGAGCACTAAGGGCGTAACTTATTGAAAACATCGGGTACTTTTCAAAACAAAAACAAATAACTTACTGTACTACGTAACGTCTTTTTTACTGAATTGTAGATACATTATCATTTCACATTTTTCTACATCTGAATTCTTTCGAATACATGAATTTCTAAACAAATTTAATAGGTACCTCGAAATTGGATGGAACTATCACATTTTGAGTCCATAAGCTTGTACTTTTATTTACTAAGCCGTTTGTTATACCACCTGTGCAGCTCGAGCTGTACCATTTTTCTGGGTCTCTTTTCAAGGTTGTAAATCTCGGAATGACAAGTCAAATCCGATTAACTTGCGTGTCTGTACCAAATCGATTTCCGGGAGGAATCAATTTCGACTTCCTCGTGAAAGATATTTCCCTTAGAATGCGTCAAGAGTTGGACAAATAGCGATAGAAGTTCGTACAGAAGTCGACGTCGGAACTTGAACGACGACGAAGCTACGAAAGAGAACGATCTGCATATCTGGAATTGTGCCGGAAATTGTACCGACTTGTTGCAAAGGAGAGTATATCTACATCGAGCAATAGTTGAACGATGATAGGTCGTAATCGGTAAAGTAATGAGTACATGGTTTATGGTCTGTTCATATATGGGATTTCTATTGGCCCAACGAAATATATGGACTTACTCGAAACCCGTTTATACTCTAACCAGACACTAATTGAAAATCTGATATATCAGTTGAGCAGAGAAGTCGCATCTTTCTCTATTTCTTCACTTGGACATTAATGGAGAGTTCAAATTTCACCAACCAAAATATTATCGTTAGAAGTAGAACCTATTACCTCCATGACGGGATAACAAAACAAAGCTCGAACGTATATCTAGTCAACACGTGGAGGCAATCTAGAATAAGTTAATAAATTAATCAAACTTCAATTGCCTATCCCGGCTTACGATTTTGATGGAAATATCTTGGAAAACACGAAAAATATTCACGCCCTTTATCGAGACTCCGTTTGTCTCGCTTGATCAATTAACGGATAACTCTGCCCAACATTGCGATAAAATTAAAACCTTGAGTTTCCATAGTCGAGAAAAGATTTTCAATAGACCCCACAATTCAGCCTTCGACAGATAGATCGTCAAATTAAGATTTCTGCGCGAGATTTAAATATCAGATACTTAACAATGACATTATAAAGACGAATACCTTGAATTTTTTGTTGAAAATAGGTAATAATTTTTTTCCTTTAAAGCTAAAATGGCCGATTGTGAATTAATTGCAAAGCTGGAAACGAAGTAGGAATACATTTTCAAACAACGAAACTACAGAGAATACCCACAACTCCCAAGTATATTTTCTACTTCGGTTAACTTGAAAATTCAATCTATTACATCCCTGCGGCTGTAAAATACAATTTCCAACTTTGTTCCTCAAAAGTGTTAACACAACCACGGGCATTCTTTGTGTGCCAAACGCAACGAAATAGAGCGATGCCCTGCAACCGAAAAGAATTACAGAGGGAACTCTCATTTTCCCAGTCTGTAGAAAAAACCCAACTAATTTCGTCGCAATTGCGAACTCCACCTTCCTGCAGCCGTCGGGAACACATTCTCCGAAAGAGGGGCCCTAAAAGAAAGACACGACTGCAGCGCAGGCTCGCACGGTTGAAGCGAGTTTGTTGTAAAGTTTCGGAAAACGCTACATTAAATATCCTTCCTTTCTCAGGTTACGGCAGCATTGCACCGAGGTCCACCTGGGGCAAAGTTGTCACCATGGGTTATGCAAGCCTAGGCATCCCATTGACGTTGGTGTATCTGTCGAGCGCCGGAGGCTTGCTCTCAAGATGTGCGCGCGGTGTTTTCACACGAGCACTGTGTTGCTGCCTCTGTTCAAACTGCGGCTATTGTTGCTACGACGAGAGACGAATGCAGGTGAGCACACAGGAGCGAAATCGTCAAAGAACGTGCCCTGAAATCTCATTCTAAAAACAATGGACGAAAGCCACCGTCGTTAAATACTCTCCGTACAGTCGGGCGTGGTAGAAAATGTTTAAGGGGAAATAAGTTGCGCCTATTTTGTCGCTTTTAGAGATTACAAAGTCGTTGTATCGTAGTCGACGTAGTTTTATTTTTACTCGGACCGAACGCTTTGTACATCCTATCCAATATTGGGAACGCTCCAAGACAGTGCTCTCGCTTTGCCACTACGAACACACGGTTATATAGCAACTTGGTAAATGGTCCTGTAATCGGAAGCTGTGGAGCGATAACACGTAGCCAATCATAATTCCTTAAGCATTTATTAAGCTTGACCTATAACATAGCGTTACGAGGCCGACTTGTTTCCGATAGTGCGATTCGCGTTTAGCTCATTGTATTGTTAGGCCGCGGTAACTTGTGGGTGTACCTCATCGTCATAAGTCATACTTGATGCGATCTTCTTGATGGTACCTTTTGGAACAATTAATAGATTTTTACAGTAACTCGAAGCTTAACTCCGGGTGGAAGTTCAATTATAGAAGACAAATACAAATGAAAATACGTACGTGATTCGAGTCAAATAGAGAAATGAAACTGTTGCATTGATGAATTATTTTTAATTCGTTTCTTTCTAAAACGGATTTTGATTTTTATCGTTGAACCTAACATTAAAATCAAGAAACAACGTGAACTTTGCCTGAACGTTTGTCACGAACTTAACGGAGGATCTGGTACCGGCAGGAAAAGGAACGGCGCATGCGAAAGAAGAGACAACAGGAGGAGCTCGCCCAACAACAACAACAGCTACAACTACAAGAACCCTTCTACGTGAGGGCGAACGCCTCCACCTTTCCCAGTTCTGTCGAAATTAAGGCCAGTCCTAAGGACGAGATCTCCAGCCTCGGCTCCGGCGACAGACCCAATGTTACCATACTTGCTCCCATCAGTATCTGTCTCGGTGCGATGCTCTGCTACATCGTCGCGGGCGCCTTCACCTTGCACAAACTTGAAGGCTGGTCCTTCGTAGGTCAGTAAGCAACTTTCTTCTGTTACCGATCCATGATTAATCGAGAGTAACGATTAACAAGATGAACGATGAATTCCAAACTTTTTGGGAAGTCGGGTTATATTTAGAATTAGTTAACACTTTACCGACCGGAAGCCTATTAATCGGTTTTGCGATACCCGTAATCGCCATTTACTTCCAAATTCGCCGGTCGGTAAAGTGTTAAGAACGATACTCGGTCTCATTCCAATATACGTACTATTTCAGCTAACAATAATTACCGCTCGCATTAAATCCTTTCCTTCTCAAACTATGAAATAACGACGTAGAACCTAATCTACTACTTAATCGTGGTTTGCTTATTGTCGGCGCAGATGCGAGCTACTTCTGCTTCATGAGCCTGAGCACGATCGGGTTTGGCGACATGGTTCCTGGTTCCTACCCACGGCCCAACCCCGCTGAGTCCAGGAACGTGACCGTGTGGTTCTGTTCCTGCTACATCATGTCGGGCATGGCCCTGACCGCGATGTGTTTCAATATCCTCCACGACGAGATCGTGCACCGACTGACCCACCAGGATAAGCAGGAGCAGGTCAAGGCCAGCCCTAGTGTGGACGAGCTGACGACGGACCCGTTCGCCCTGACGTCGTGACAATTTCCCACTAGTACACTTCGCCACAGGAACGTCACCGAGGAGACCCTCTGCAGTGACGCTCCGACAAGCCTATTCGCCCACGAGAACGAGATCAACATCCTGAAGGACTCCTATAACCAGGTCGACGTCACTCGGGACTGTAAACCCGTGCTCAAACTCGAAGATCATCTAGGACCAATGATGGCGGTATACACCCTTCCCGAGGTCGACGAAGAAGCCGAGGAGAATACGGAGATGTGAGGATTACACAGCCACGTAAGTGGCACATCCTGGCCACGACGAAGAGCGAGAACTTCCAATGAAGTTCCCTCTCGAAAGATTTCCGCCCTCGGGGTGTCCTCCTCGTAGCCTCTGTCTCTGTTCCCGAAACCACTGAAAATTATCCATTAATTGGTAGATCTTTAGGAAGTCTGGTAGTTACGTATTCTTCTAAAATTTACTCTTTTCTTGTTCGCAACCTATATAGAAATTGGTTTATCCGGTCATAAGGAATGATGTTTTTTTCATGGTTCATTTATTTATAAGAAATTTTAGAAACTTTTTCAAGCTCCCTGTGTATACTTGTACGGATATGTTTAACGTATGTCCTGTCGCGTCTTGGATTAATAGGGAAACGAAACGTATAGCTATAAACGAAAATATGTCTGGAATCGATTCGAAATTTATCCGTCATAATAAGGCACAGAAATTAACGAGATCCTTTACGACGTACAAATGAGATCTAATGTTATATCTGCCGGAAGTATTACTTTACTAAGACGTGTACTGTAAATGTGATATAGACTCGAAATGTAATTAGGCTTTTTTCTACTATGTTTACAGATAGATTAATAGTGTATTTTCACTATGAGGGTACTGAAAGGAATTTTTGATACACGCTTGCCATATTTATACTGTGGTCTTTCTATATTCTTGTTGCATTTCTGCTGTATTAAGGTATGAATATAAATGACATCCCCAAGCAATTTTCAGGATATACCTCCGACAGATACAATATTGGAATCTTGAGTGCACAACTTCGCGTGTTGACCATTTGTCGAGCTGATACATATATTTTACAAGCTCAATATCGTCCTGCTGGTTAAAAGTAATACACTTGAATGATTAATCGGATCTGCACTTAACCGATTTTAAATTCATTTTTGGTTTATCCGTTAATCTCTCTACTTACGCGATTGTACAGGAAGCTACGTAATTTTTCCATCTTTAAACATAAGGAACGATCATTTAGCAGTTTGTGGGTATTATCGATTATGTATATTGGGTCAGAATGGAATTTTCTTACATAGTTCGATAATATAATTCGTAAAAGTAGAAACATCAAAAATGTGTATTTCCTGTTTTTAGTAACTGAATTTAATCAGTCAGGTCAGCGTAAAATGAATTATTTCCATAAAAATAGTTAAATCATTAATTTTCTAGTGCTTTTCCCTCATTTTCTGTTGATTTGGTTTAAAAGTCACGTAATCAATGATAAGCAATCGCAGAAACTTCCTCTTATAAGATTAATCGTTTGAGTTCTATAATAGTTATCCACGAATGGACCTCCATTCCTTTCTTATGAACTCCTCTTAAATGATTCGGACTCCGCAGCTAAATCCATAATTCGCGAAGAGATACCGCGATTATCCGAAGGCTTCCCGGGAATTTTATCGCCTGGAATGAAAATAATTACATTTTAACGCGAAACGACGAAGCTCTAAATCATCGAAGGAGAATTCTAACGATAACGACAATTTTCTCGTGTGCGCAAATATTTAATTCATAAATAGGAAATAATATTCCTGTTTCGAAATGGATGTCGAAAGAGAAACTGTTTTTATTAAAACGTTCATAAGAATCGCCATTCAATGAACCTGGCTTATAAAAATTGAATAACAAGTATTTTAATTTTTTAAATATGATATATAAATACATTTATATTTATTATATGATACATTTTACTTGATTCTACTGAATGCACTTGAATTATATATAATTTCTGTTTTTACAAAAATAATACTCTTTATAGTCTAAAAATGAAGTTTCTTATAAAGTGCGAGGGCAAGTTTCAAAACACCAGTTTACGTCACAGTAATGCCCCGAACTGCATTCGATAATTTGAACACATTCGCGACCGCTGACGTGAATTCACGTCTTTTCAAGTTCTAGCCCTGTTTGCCGCTGACGTGAATTCACAGCATTATAAATTCTATTCCTGATTGCCGCTGATGTGAATCACGTCCATAACGATCCATGATACAAGTTTGCGGCTACTGGTTTCAGTATTTCATTATTTTCGCTGGTACTCAGTATTTGAAACGGAAAAAACTTGCCGGTCGCGAATGTGTTAATAGCTTTTTATATAAAATATTGCATTCGTCATTCAGAGTATGTAAAAGATCTTTTGGAATAACTCAATGGTACGGTCTAAAAATTTTTCAGATCGCCCGTTTTTTTAGAAAATCTCATTTATGGATTCATGCTACGCTATCCAGTTCATGTCACAGGACCCGACGTTACATAACGTTTCTATGTATTCGCGATGACCTCCCTTTTCTCTCAATATAGAACAAACATTGGACGGCCCAATATTGAATCACCGTTCTGATCGAACAGCGCAAACTGATTCGTTTGTGGAAGAGAGTTTATTAAAGGCAAAGTTTTCTTACGAATCACGCAAACAAAATTTCACATCGTCGGCGCAATTAGGGCATCCCGAGGAAGCGCTGGGTCGCATAACGTTTCTACAAGCCTACTTAGATAGCAATTAAGAGTTTTTTATATTTGCGTATAAACACATGCGCGCGAAATAAAACACGTTCTTGTCTGTAATATAGTAACTTATCGAACGATACATCTGCTCGCAAAAAGGACCGCGGGAAATGAGACGCTTAGAGGAAGACTGTGTACAATAATTCACAGAAGTATGAATTAAGAGGAAATTGAAACTTTTGAGTAAAGGCAAATTTTATTTTGAGTGCGTCTTCGTGAGGCACTCTTCGAGAGCAAAGACGTATCGAGCGATGGTATCGAATTTTGTGCTCAAGAACAATAATTAAGGTATGATTACGGTTAGGTACTAATCGCTAAGAATGTTGCATTTAGAAGGACTATCCCAGTTGTTCAATATCGGTATTCGGAGTATAGTTATACGAGATAGTTTCAACGTATTAATAAGAGAAGGATATGCACACCGAACGAGGATTATTTTCAAAATTCTCTGATCCTAGACTTACAGGCCCAGAAAAGTTGCGAGAACTTTTTCAAACTCTCAACTTCACGATTGATGAGCCTTTTCACACTCGCGAATGAAAGAATTGCGATTCATAAGAATAAATCACATGAAAGACATGCAGGGAGAATGGAAGTAATGTCCGTTTTTATTTCTTAACATATCATAAGATAGGATAATGAATTATCTTGTTGTGTCGCATTCGATCGTTACTTGCGATACGACGAGGTAAACTTTTACGATACTTTGTGTCGAATTTTCCGGAATTCGTCACAATTAATTCGCGATAAGGACGGTGGCTAATGACAATCGATGTTGGTGAGCAGTTACTACGATTAATTATCGTTATCACCGTCTCTAAGACACTCGACACGTAAAGAATGAATACCACGAGGCATTGCATAGTACGACAGTTATTTACGAAGCTTGCCAATTAACGACCCTCGAATCGATCGATTCATACATTTTTTTCAAAAGAATAAATTTATTAATAATATCCGAAGTAGTAAGAATTTTCTTAATAAAATAATGGAGGCAATAATAGGAATATTAAATACGTTCATGCATCTAAGAAATTTGATGGTCAAATTTCATATTAACGTACTTCTCATTTACTGCGGCAATGACTTTCTGGGTGAGAATATCACATTTTGACTGAAAATGATAATAGGTTATCGAACAGGCATTTTTAAAAATGATTCAACTAATCAACCACGATGTTCCGATAATCGTATTTTATACATCTATAAAAAATGGACTGATGCACATTTTTTACTTAAAGGAAACTACTGTATCTATATTAACTTCTAATGTTTTATTTCACGGAATGAGAAAAAATAGACATGTACTACATAAATCAAAACCGGTTCTAAAAATTGCCTGTTCTGTTCTGAATATTACTTTCAGTTATATATCCAGTTATTTTTCAAATACATTGAGTTGGCCAATAAGTTCGTGCTGTTTAAATAATTAAAATTTTTTCATGTTATTTTATCTAAGCGAAGGATCGAAAAACTGCTTGAACGTTAAAAAGAAATGAACAACGAAGGGGAATATATTGATCAATATTCATAAATCTTATTCCTTGAAATAAATTTATTTAAATACAAAAAAGCAGTAGGAACTTATGGGACAAACCAATGCTTGACGTGCATTTCCATCTTTTTCTGATATCTTCTCTTTTTTCTAAGTCAAAACTTGTATCATTTCGCTATTTTATATTCATCAGGTAGGAAGAAAACATTAATATCATTGCAAAAAGAGTTGAGTCTCCATTTTTTCTCAGGGTCGGTAGTACCATAGGATTCCACGGCGTAAGTTGGAGCGATAAATTCGGTTATCTTGGGAAGACACTCGATCCTAGTTTTCACGTTCTTTTTCGTAGGTTTGCCTCCTAGCTATGGTTCCTGCCTTCCCACTCTCCCTGGGGAAATATAACGGAGTCAGAGTGACCCGGACATTGCGGCCAGTTCGAAACTTTACTCGCCAATTTTTACGGGAAAAATTCCAATGAAACTCGAACTCACCGGGGGAGTTATCTTCCTCTAGAGCCATGGAACCCGCCGGGTAAAGTGACTTCGTCCCTAGACAGCGTCAGAAGAATCCTGACCTGAGAAAACGAAGTTACTCCGTCTCTTTTACACCTACGCGTCTCCCTCATCCAATCACTAGAGGAAATCTTGTAACAAGCAACTGAAAATCACGTTCATATTAAATTATAAAATCATTCCGTACTTCTTAACGAGGGAAAAATGCCAGGATAAAGACGTCCTAAACAGAAAGTAATTGGAGAGGTGTCAAAATAATTTTAGACAAGATGGAAAGACATAACACTGAACGAGAATACCAGTGATATTTGATTATCTTTCCGATAAGGATTCGAGTATCCAAAATAAATTTATGCTTTTTATTCCTATTCTGTTTTCGTGCAATTTAGAATCACCATTATCACTTTGTGATGGAATAACGTATATCAGTAAATCAGTTTCTACCGCAAGTGATCGGTTATATTGGTAAATAGACTACCTAATCGAGCTTGCTTTCAATAAGCTCAGGTAATTCCTAATGTGTAAACGATGTTTCACCTTATCATTCTGTTCTAATGTGCACTTTATAAATTATACCATCCCATTTACGATGTATAGAAGCTCAAAACATAATAATCCCACATGAAAGTACATTTATGAACCGTATTGTCTAGCCAAGTTTTCAATAATTCTGTACCGTGTATGTCAACAAATGCCTTTAATTTGTAAAATGCGCTCTTTTTGAAAGTAATAAGCAACACTGGGATATCGTGCAACTGTTTCCCAACGACGTCATCAATGCCATACTAATCGCGCAAAATTGACTGATTATTACAGATCGAACGAGGGTCATTGAGGTAGCTGTAAAACGTCTAATAAATATCGAAAGTGACGCCGTTAAGAGCTTGATTGAGGCCGTATTACAAGAAGACGATAACGTCTCGCTTTCCCAAGTTAAGAATAAAGTCAACATTTAAATCAGAATGATCTCGTCATAAGTATGAGGTCTGGCTTCTAGCCACGAGTCTTACTTTTGACTTGATTCTTGACTTTCGAAAATCAAAGGACCATTGCGTAGCATTGGTCAGATCGAATGTGCTACTGTACAAAAGCGGTCGAATATCCAGCGTTTCGCGAAATTTGTGACAACGCGATACTACAAGGCTTAACAAGTGAGAGATTTAAAAACGAAGTGCCAGGCACTTCTCGGTCCGATGAAAAGTAAACTTAAGAATTTTATTGTACATAACTCAAGTGAATCCTTTGTATAATACTTTGTTAGATACACAGTGACCCCTCCGTTCTTACTACCGCGTAATTTGTCGAAGACTTTTGCAAGAGTAGCGGCAAAGGATACAGAAAAATACTGTTTACGCCTTCATGACAGTACTGATTTTAAATAAAATTTCGACTTGCATGAGCACCGGAACTGAATTCAAGATCTCATTCTTTAGCACGTCAATAAGCGCTTTTGCGCGATCTGTCGAGAGCATCAAGTACGGAATGCATTGTTGCCATAAATGATGCACCAACTGAATTTATTTTTTAAACGATGAACGTTCCTTTACGTGACTTTAATTCAAGTATAATGTAATTTATCTCGACGTGTGAATTTATTATTTTACAACGGCAAGTGTTCTTGTTACATCCGTTTATAAAACTACGCACTACATTATTTTCGAAGCACTTTATATCGAGTATTTTTCTTTAATAATGAAAGCGACGGAAAATCGAGCTCGATACGCGAGAAGAAGGAAACGAATGAGGAGAATCACCTTGTTGCGATAATTTAAACGACCTACATGATTGGAGAAGTTGTTACTCTTTGAGTTGAGTACTTTGAGTACAGACAGGTCAGTCCCGGGAGAAGCAAACAACAGGTAGAAAGAAGCTCATGCTTTTCTTTAACTGAATTGCATCTTTCTTCAGGGCAGTCATTGTGATCCCGAATAAAGCAAGTTCCTTTGAATTATTTATGAGGAATATGCTGAGGTATCAATGTTAGTACTACGGAATTCTATGTAAACGTGAAAATCGTGCTGTAAATATTTGAAAAGGGGCAGAGGTTTCATCCTTGTAAAAAAATGTACGTGGAAGATACAAACCCCTGGATATTGTACGTCTGTATAATCTATTGTCAAACAATGTAACTCATAATACGAGTAATAAAACTACGAAAAATCACTAGGTTCCATTTGTTCGTACTTATCACTGCTACTCACAGTAAGCTATTACGCTTTATAATTTGTTTACACAGTATCAATCTTAATCTGACAAATACCTACAATTGCTTTGGGTTTCATAATGTTTCACAAACCACTCTGTACAATTTTATCCATTTTCCCTATTCAGTTCGGAAACCAATATAAAGCTTTAGACACATCTAATTGTACTACTTTTCGGAATACCTCACACAAAAAATAAAAACTTCCATTATAGGATGGAAGGTACTCCAAACCCGATTCAGGTACTTACAATTTTTCTGGATAAAAATTGGTCATCTTGATTCGCTTTAAGTTTGTCCATCCTCTGATTGGTAACAAATATTTATTTTTTACTTCATAAATATCGTCATTAACCAAAAATACCACTTTTGGACTATGCATTCAAAAATATTTTCAGGTGAATGCAAACAATTTATATTCACCTTCTTCTTCGTGTAATTTTCACCTGAATTTATGTTTAGAAGCTCATTGCAAAGTATGGTTCATTTTATCCTGGCGGACATTGTTGTACGTGATTAATCATTCTACCTAAGCTATTACAATTTCATATCGCACGACGTGTACAATTTCGAACGCACTCTCCCGAGCGTGGAACAATGAATTTAATTTGATCTCGCAGTGCTGCATGCAGAAACACTCCCCCTCACCACCCTGTCGAGTCCCAGTATATGCAAAACTCATTTCATTCACTATAATAATAATAAATCCTGCATGTTTATCGGCTTTTCATTCTACCGCGTTCCATTTACACCGCGAATTTCGAAAAGTAAACCAGTTTGCATTCACGAATACAGTGTTTTTGTAAGAAATGATGCAAATAAATTTGCTTAAAAGTGTTGGAACAATAACGAATTAAATTTTATTGATTTTTTTTTCTTATTTCACCCAAAGTACTGCTATGTGCGTACGGATGTTCCGTCGCTGTTTCTATTTTAGATGTATTTCTATCTTGCATCGTGTAAAATACTGTAAATCATATCAGGTGATAGGATCACAATACAAAACAAGCATAACGTCAGTTAGAGCACATATTGTAGATGCCAATAAGTATATAAACCGCAACACGAAGTGGAATTGAAATCGAGCCATAAATTGTGCATGTAACCACGCGAAATTGTTGAGGAAGCAAAGATGTATCGTCGTATTGGACCGACTCCTCTTCTCTCCTGCATCTTCCTCCTACCGTCAACTTCTCTTTCCATTTAACGCCCTCTCCGTGTCCCGACAAATCGAACGAACGTCGTTCTCAATCGCGATAAAAGTTTCTTCCTTAACGAGTTCCGCTATCCCTTTCCTTCTAGTTTTCAGTTACACTCTCATACACGACCAAGGAAGATTAATCCATGTCAAAAAGAGCAGTTAAATTCATTGCCACGACTTTTCTGCAGGAAACGAGAAATTAACTTCTTCTATTCGTCTTTTGTTTAATAATAGGTAGATGCGACGTAGAATGATTTACGTAATAAAGAAATAATACGCAGAAGAATAATTGTGCATTTTTTTTTATTTATGATGTTAGTAGTCTTTTAATGAATTTTTACAGGAAAGACATGTTTATAATATTTTTCAAAAATTCCCGAATCACAAACGAATGGGACACTATATTCGGTTAATATATACATACCTTAACTTTATGAATATTACGTATTAAAAGCAATAAATTATTAATTTAAATAGAAATTCTCATAATTCTTTTAGATTCGTACAAATGTTGTCGGGATTTTTAAATTACTGGAACATTCTCGGTTATATTACTCGTACTTAAATTCTCGAAGATTTAAAAACGCTACCTGTCCATGAGCCATCTCTCACTCACTGTGCACATGTGTAGGCATGTGGCGCTACCTAGCATCAGTAATCTGAACGTTATACATCTGAATTCTATGAGTAACTTACAATTGGCCAATTAGTACCCTACCTTATCGACAACGGTTCCCGGGGATCTGGAATGTTCCGCTCTCTACTTCCAAGTGGCGCAAGCATCGCCTTCGGACCGGCGCACTGCCGGAACGGAAGAACATATGTTTGAGCAGTCGCGCATGCGCAGTGACCGCTTCCGCGACGTACCTAGCCATCTTTCCAGTCAAGCAAAAGTGATTGTTTTTCAACTTTAGTCTTATTTAACTGAACTTTTATTAATGTCAGAGCCACAGTCCGCGCTTCTACTACGAAAACAATTAGCAGGTACCCTGAAAGATCAGGTTAAGTGTTAAGTGTAACCGGGGAGTGGGACGAAACCTTCTTAAAATCCGAGTCATTTTTAGGGGCGAAACCTCGCGAGCGACCTCGCCACCGCCGTCGCTCTGGCAGGGATTCCTTTGTGACTGATTGTCGGTCCTGAGATTGTCTCTTAACTGGTCTTTCACCGAAGATCGAGCCACAGTGTCGGTTTCTTCGTCATTCTTCGGCCCTACGCCCCGATCGGGATGTGAAAATCAATACAGCGCGACCCGTGATTGTGTCCCCCATGAATAACGTGTTAACCTAGCAATCCCTCTCTCGATGAACAGTCTTCAAATATTCTTCGATTAGGTTCCATCCCGACGCGGAAATCTTGCCCCGACGATAATGCCACATCGCCGTTTATTTATAGACCTCGAGCGATTCCCGTGCCGAGGTGCTAGAAGGAAAAAGTTCGCCCCGCGCTTGTACACGACTCGAAAGTTAAGTCTTTCTTCATCTCTCGTTTCCGTCCCTGTCGAGATCGACGTGACGTAGAACGCATCCTCGCTTTTAATTTACACGAGATTTCTTAATGTTCGATCTTAGCTGACAAAGTGCCAATCTGCGGCTTCCCTTCCCACCTTGCGTCGTACTCGTTTCTGAACGACTACGTCAAGTATCTCGTGCTCGGCCCGACACGTTAACTCGTATGGCATCGTCTAGGTGTACCTAACCTAACTTTTCGGTGCCAGGTTTAACAAACCAAGTTCACCGTTTTCGTGTCCTTGACGCTTACCGAGGTTAATTGATGAGAAAAGACCTAACCGACATAACCTGAAAAATCATCCATGAGTGACTTGTAATTTTGGAAGAAAAAAGACCTTTTGACAATGAAGGTCGATGAAATGCATTTTAACTCGTTACATATTTTTCTTGCTTGAACAAGTTGCTTCGAATCAAATTTGTGATTTTCTTCTCAACTCTTATAATTGAAAAGATTTAATTGAATACTGAAAATCAATTACTCGTGCATGATTGATAATTATAAGGATTAACGAAGAAGTCTACACTTGAAGATCAGTGAAATCGTTTTGGACTTATTAGACGATGTATATAACATATTATTTGGAATTAAGAGTATGCTTCTTTATAATTTTAACCTTAGGTTAGAAATTCAAAAATTACTAACAAGAAATTGTATATCCTAGCACAGATAGTTTGTTTTATGCTTTTTTAAACTAGGAATATCAGTCTGTGTAACTAAAACATTTACTGAAAGACAGCTGCTATATATATATATATATAGCGATCTAATATAATGTGCTTTTAATTTTATAAATGTGTACGAGGATCATGCTTTGTCGTTATCCCTGCCTTTTGTTTACATTGTTTTGTAGATATAGATAAATAATTACAAGTTTACTTATGATATATTTTGTAATTGATTTTATTTTTCTTGTAAATGAATTCATCTAATCTGTTTTATTTCTAAGTTCGCTTAACTATATGTGATAAAACGTAATGGTGCTTATTATCATATCATACATATAACATTATGATTATAATTTAGTCCATTTCAGTGTTAAAAATTAAATTAAATTAAAGTTAAATGAAATATTAAACCAGACACTAAAAAACAATTATATGTTAATGATGGCAGATTCTTTCAATGCTTGTAGTTACGAGAAACGTTGATCTTCAGTCATCGACAATGAAAGCTTTAGATTCTGTTTTCGAAAGTGTATTTTCTCTCAGAGAGATCAAAATGATGAGAAATTAAAGTTAGACTTCTTTATTTTAAATCTCAATTTATGTTTATTTTTCCTTGGTAAAATAATTTTTCTGTTATTCAATACATTCATCTATGCAAGGATAAGGACAACAATTCGATCGTGTGGATCATTCCAATGATGTCTAACCATCATGTAAACATAATGCACCCACATTGTTAAATGTGACTAATTTCCACGCATTACTTTTTGTTTATTAATTATGTTGTAATATTATATTTAAAAAGAAAATGAGCACCGAGCATATTCAATTTTTCTTTGCGGTAAGCATATTATTAATATACCTATATTTTTTATTACAGAATTAAATAAAAACCCAGTGGAAGGGTTTTCAGCAGGCCTCATAGACGACAATGACATATATCGATGGGAAGTGCTTATTATTGGACCTCCGGATACGTTGTAGTAAGTCTATTTTACTAATAGAGTAACCTTGAATCGTTATGAGATTTTTATAAGAAAATGTATCTTTTTTAATGAAACCATAATTATCTTAAACCTCATTATAGCGAAGGTGGTTTCTTCAAAGCACATTTACAATTTCCCAAAGAGTACCCGCTCAGGCCACCAAGAATGAAATTTATAACAGAAATATGGCATCCCAATAGTGAGTATATTACTCAGAACTTTTGAAATACATATTGCAATACTCAGCATATGACATTGTACCATGTAACGTTTTGAAAATGCTTGATAACATTCAGGCAAGGTTTTTGCATCAACTTATTTTTTACTGGTAATAGTAGAATATACATTAGCAAATATGAATATGTAAAATATTTATAAAGTAATAAGCACTCATTTCCTAGCATTCGTTGTAACCAACTGAAGTAGGAAAGTATGAGTATAATCGTCTATGTTTTTGTCATAGTTGAGAAAAATGGAGATGTGTGCATATCGATTCTGCACGAACCTGGGGATGACAAATGGGGATATGAAAAAGCATCGGAGCGATGGCTGCCCGTTCACACGGTTGAAACAATTCTCATTAGTGTCATCAGCATGCTTGCTGATCCAAATGATGAAAGCCCAGCTAATGTAGATGCCGCCGTAAGTTAATTCTTTTTTTTTTTTAACCCAATTATACGTGTTTAAATTATAGGCCATTATAACTAAATGTAAAATAAGTTCAAAGACACGAAGGTAGCTCAGTTACATATGCTATTCGTTATAGAAAGAATGGAGGGAAAGTTATACGGAATTCAAGCGGAAGGTGGCAAGGTGCGTCAGAAAAAGCCAAGAGGAGTGTTTGTAGGGGAAGAACAAATATTCAAACGGAAAGACTTATTTAATTCTGGTGAGATCGCATGCAAATCGCAATTGTTTGCAATAACAGATTACCACCGCTTTGGCGTCATATTCGTAACTAGCAAGATATCTAACATGCGCAGGGAAGCCGTAAGCACTGTAAGAAGGAAGCAGAAGTTCAGCATTAAGCTAACAAGTAACAGTGCCACTAAAACGGATTAAGCCTGACCCATCCTTACGCAGAGAGGGAGAAAGAGAGAATAGCAAGAGAGAGGGAAAGAGAGAGAAACGACCTCACGCTCTGTCGAATCCCTGGACCACCGCCGCTGACATACCGTCTATCAACACGAAGAATATAAGAATACACGCGCAGCTCACGTTTTACATGATAAACAGCTAAACACTAATTTACAACTATACATAAAACAAGAAAATCATCTGTACGAATACTACCGTAATATTAATAGTTATTGTAAACTTAACCCCCGCCCAATGGCCCTCGTCCCCTGAGCCCGACAGCCCCGTCACCATGTAATTTAAAAGAATATGTTTACGTTTATCACTCAATAATAATTCCTTAGCGTCGTTTCGTATTTTCTTACTTTCGTATATATAAATAAATTTTTGTAAAGTCAAAAATACGGGAAGCAACAATTGTCGGATGTATGACAGTGAAAAGGAATGAAATACATACGAATTACTATGGATACAATGATACTGATATCGAGTAACATGCATGATATATCTCAGCGATAAGAATAATTATATAACACTTTTGCCGAACCGTAAGTTGCCAAAATAACGAATTCTAACTAGAGTTATGGTAATGATAATTAGTCGATTTAACGTTAAGCGTATGGCTAAGTACACGCTGTGAAACTTTGTACTTGTTCTGCTATGTACGCTAACTGCAGGAGTGGCTCATCTTCCCTCTCTTTGCACTCTAACTTGCGGTTCTACTATTACAGAGTTAGGTTGAGATTTCAACAATTTTGTCCAAGTATATAACAATATTGTCAATTAAATTCTAAAACACCGACGATCTTACTAAATTTCTCTTTGTGCTTCTCTCGAAATTCATGTTCGTCTAGGCTGTTCGAAGAATAGATGTATTGTGATCTGAGAAAAGAGATTATTGTTTCTTATTATGTAATGGCATGCTCGAAATAGAAGCGTCACTTTTTATCCGTGTACAACTATTAAAAAATGGTTACCCTTCGTTACGCGATAGGTCTCGCAAGAAAGTGTATTTTGCTAAGTATTTTAAATTTCACTATGATTTAAAGTATTGTTTTAATTAATCGGAGATATTTGCAGAATGTTAAACACGTTTGCCGAAATGATTTCTGCCTTGTATGATCCCAGTCTTCGTAACATTATATTAATTTTTATTAAAGAAAGACATTGCGTTTACCGAATAAAAATGCTCTAGATAATACAGAATTTCAAGCGTGTGTTAGCTACAATCTTAAACGCTGCGTAATTTATACTAACGTCAAAGTGAGAACGTGAATTATCTTTCGCTGAAATAAAAATATATAATTTGGCGGCTTATATAAACTATTTGTGATGGCGTGAATCTATAATTTAATGTCTGTTTCTACAAATTGTATGGAATTTTTTTTGCAGTTTTTGTTAAGGAATTTTACAAACGCAATAAAACGCAACTTCATTGAAAATCAATACATCACAATGTAAGACCATAAAATTCATGTGATATTTGAAAATTATATATTAACAATGAGTATTCTTAAAAACATGATACCTAATATGTGCACGTTTTTTGTCAACCAAATCATCAGGTACAGTTGAGTGCGAACACATCACGTAACGAGCAGCTTATTCCTAATTAATAATTTAAATATATTATAATTAGTAAATATAGAAGAACTATACGTAACAGGTTTAGGATACCGCACACGCGTATACTCATTAATCAGCAGTATATGATGTATCTAGGGCATTAATAGGACTGTCGCTCTTATAAAGTGTAATAACACGTCAAAATTAAGATATTAAACCTTTCGGAATATTTTTTATGCTTCTTACGATATTCATTTGTGTAACAAACATAGGCTCATTCTTTCTAGAGATGAGTTGAGAAATTAATCATGATCCGCCATTCTGAATTACACCCGTGCTGCCATCTACGCAGCAGCGAGCACCTAGTGCATTACTTTATACGCAGTTGATGGCGACAGAGGGATCGAAACCGTTCACGTCTCTACATTTCCAACAATTGATGAACCACTGTTCTAGACAGAGGTGAGTTGGGAGATTGCTTGCGGGCAGGATCGTGCGATCGCATACTGTGCTGCCCTCTGGTTTCGTACGTTAGCTTTCACCGTTTTTTTTCCCCAAGGGCGGCGCAACGAATTTCTGATAGGAGCTCGTGCACTCGCGATGGCGGTACCATCTACCAGTCGCCATTGGCGGCTCACGTACTCGTGATGGTAATACCATGTGGCAGTTGACGGTGGTGGCTTACCTACGCTTACCGACACTGCTCGCTTTTGATGGTAAGGGAAGAACACTCGTGACGCTCCATTTGACTTTATCTACTTATCTACTACTATTAAGTACATTGTTGCCTCGAAGTGGACGTGATGCGGAACTTTGTGGCACGCGTCGGTGTCGCGTACAGAACTCTCGTGCAGCGCATCTGTGTGAGTACGATAGCTCCTAGAAATCTTCGCGCGTCCCAACCAACCAAGCGGCAAGCTACGGGTCGAGACGCTGAGTATGTGTGCATTCGGCGCTACAATCGACAAGTATGTGTGAGACTCGAAAACTGCGAAAAATCCTCCCGAGGCTTACCCAACTGCGGATATAAGCCGAGTCATTTCACGCATGATTATTACATTTCCCTACCTGTGTTATCCAGCGTTTCTAGACGTTTCTAGAGCGTTTTTGAACGTCTTCGAACGTTCTCGAGCTGTATCAACCGTTATCGAGCGCTTTTCGAGTTATTCGAGCGTTTTCGAGCATTCCTCGATCATTTTCAGAGCAGTTTCGAGCGTTTACAAGCGTTATCGAGCGTTTTTCGACCGTTTTTGAACGTTTTCGAGCGTTTCTCGATCATTTTGAGAGCGGTTTCGAGCGTTTTCGAGCATTTTAAGACCGTTTTTAAGCGTTACCGAGCGTTTTTCAACCGTTTTCGAGGGTTTTTAGAGTGTTTTCGATCGTTATCGTGCGTTTCTCGAGCGTTGTCGAGCATTATCGATCGTTTTCGCGCGTTTTTCAAGTGTTTTCGAGCCTTATCGAAGGACGTACAGTGCTGTTGCGTGTTGTTAAGTGCAGTAGAGTGCCGGAGAGTGCCGTAGAGTGCCGTAGAGTGCCGTAGAGTGCCACAGAGTGCTGGAGAGTTGCCGGAGAGTGCCGGAGAGTACCAGAGAGTGCCGCAGAGTGCCGTACAGTGCCGCAGAGTGCCGGGGAGTGCCGGAGAGTTGCTGGAGAGTGCCGGAGCGTGCCGCAGAGTACCGGGAAGTTGCCGCAAAGTGCCGCAGAGCGCCGGAGAGTGGCCGGGGAGTGCCGCAGAGTGCCGGAGAGTGTCGGAGAGTGCCGGAGAGTGCTGGAGAGTTGCCGGAGAGTGCTGGAGACTGCCGGAGAGTGCCGTAGAGGTACGGCAAAGTGCCGGAGAGTGCCGGAGAGTGCCGGAGAGTGCCGGAGAGTGCCGGAGAGTTGCAGCAGAGTGCCGGAGAGTGCCGGAGAGTGCGGAAGATTGCCGGAGAGTGCCGGAGAGTGCCGTAGAGTGCCGGAGAGTGCCGGAGACTGCCGGAGTGTGCCGGAGAGTGCCGTAGAGTGCCGTAGAGTGCCGGAGAGTACCGGAGAGTTGCCGCTGAGTTGCCGGAGAGTGCCGGAGAGTGCCGGAGAGTGCTGGAGACTGCCGGAGAGTGCCGCAGAGTGCCGGAGAGTTGCCGTAGAGTGCCGTAGAGTGCCGGAGACTGCCGGAGTGTGCCGGAGAGTGCCGTAGAGTGCCGTAGAGTGCCGGAGAGTACCGGAGAGTGCCGGAGAGTTGCCGCAGAGTTGCCGCAGAGTGCCGGAGTGTGCCGGAGAGTGCCGGAGAGTGCCGCAGAGTGCCGGAGAGTTGCCGGAGAGTGCCGGAGAGTGCCGCAGAGTGCCGGAGAGTTGCTGGAGAGTGCCGGAGAGTGCCGCAGAGTGCCGGAGAGTTGCCGTAGAGTGCCGCAGAGTGCCGGAGAGTGCCTACCTGACCAAATCTTACCTGACCTACCTGACCTATCCTAACCTGACCTACCTGACCTAACCTAACCTGACCTACCTGACCTAATCTAACCTGACCTACCTGACCTAACCTAACCTGACCTACCTGACCTAACCTAACCTGACCTACCTGACCTAACCTAACCTGACCTACCTGACCTAACCTAACCTGACGTACCTGACCTAACCTAAAGTGACCTAACAAAGGCGCGCTGATTCGAGTGCTACAGCACTCGAATGCATTATAATGCACTCTACGGCATTCTACGGCACCCTACGGCACTCTACGCAACTCTACGGCACTCTCCGGCAATTCTCCGGCACTCTGCGGCACTCTGCAGCACTCTCCGACACTCTGCGGAAACTCTCCGGCACTCTGCGGCACTCTGCGGCACCCCTCCGGCAGTCTCCGGCCCTCTCCGTCACCCTGCGGCAACTCTCCTGCACTCTCCGGCACTCTCCGGCACTCTCCGGCACCCTCCGGCACTCTGCGGCAACTCTCCGTCACCCTGCGGCAACTCTTCGGCACTCTCCGGCCCTCTCTTGCACTCTGCGGCACCCCTCCGGCAGTCTCCGGCCCTCTCCGTCACCCTGCGGCAACTCTCCTGCACTCTCCGGCACTCTCCGGCAACTTTCCGGCTCTCCCCGGCACTCTCCGACACTCTGCTGCAACTCTCCGGTACTCTCCGGTACTCTCCGGCACTCTCCAGCACTCTCCGGCACTCTCCGGCAACTCTCCGGCATTCTGCGGCACTCCCCGGCACTCTGCGGCAACTCCCCGGCACTCTGCGGCAACTCTCCGGTACTCTCCGGCACTCTCCGGCAACTCTTCGGCACTCTCCGGCACTCTCCGGCACTCTCCGGCACTCTCCGGCACTCTTCCGCACTCTCCGGCAACTCTCCGGCACTCTCTGGCAACTCTCCGGCTCTCTCCGATACTCTACGGCACTCTCTGGCACTCTGCGGCACACTACGACAACTCTCCGGCACTCTCCGGCACTCTGCGGCAACTCTGCGGCACTCTGCGGCACTCAACAGCACTCTAGGGCACTCTAGGGCACTCTACGGCACTCTACGGCAACTCTCCGGCACTCTCCGGCACTCCGCGGCACTCTCCGGCAACTCTCCGGCACTCTCTGGCAACTCTCCGGCACTCTCCGACACTCTCCGGCACTCTGCTGCAACTCTCCGGCACTCTCCGGCACTCTCCGGTACTCTCTGGCACTCTGCGGCACTCTACGGCAACTCTCCGGCACTCTCCGGCACTCTCCGGCACTCTCCGGCACTCTCCGGCACCCTCCGGCATTCTCCGGCAACTCTCCGGCACTCTCCGGCACTCTCCGGCATTCTCCGGCACTCTACTGCACTTAACAACGCTCAACGGCACTGTACGGCCTGCGATATGTCTCGGAAGCACTTGAAAAACGCTCGAAACCCTTCAAAAACACTCGAAAACGGATGAAAAACGCTCGGTAATGCTCAAAAACGGTCTAAAATGCTTGAAAACGCTCGAAACCACTCTGAAAATGATCGGGAAACGCTCGAAAAACGCTCGATAACACTCGAAAACGCTCTGAAAATGCGTGAAAACGCTCTGAAAATGATTGAGAAACGCTCGAAAACGTTCGAAAACTGTCGATAACGCTCGAAAGACGCTCGGTAATGCTCGAAAACACTCGAAAACCCTCGAAAAACGCTCGATAACGATCGAAAACACTAGAATATCACTCGATAGCACTCGAAAACGTTCGAAAACTGTCGAAAAACGCTCGATAACGCTGGATAACGCTCGAAAAACGCTCGATACAGCTCGAAAATATTCGAAAACGCTCGAGAACGCTCGAAAAACGCGTGAAAACGCTCGAAAAACGCGTGAAAACGCTCGATAACGATCGAAAATACTAGAATATCACTCGATAACACTAAAAAACGCTCTGAAAATGCGTGAAAACGCTCTGAAAATGATCGAGAAACGCTCGAAAACGTTCGAAAACTGTCAAAAAACGCTCGATAACGCTTGACAACGCTCGAAAAACGCTCGGTAATGCTCGAAAACACTCGAAAACGCTCGATAACGCTCGAAAACACTCGAAAACGCTCGAAAAACGCTTGAAAACGCTCGAAAAACGCTCGATAACGATCGAAAACACTAAAATATCACTCGATAACATTCGAAAACGTTCGAAAACTATCGAAAAACGCTCAATAACGCTAGTAGGGAAATGTAAAAATCATACGCGAAATGACTCGGTTTATATCTGCAGTTAGGTAAGCCTCGGGATGATTTTTCGCAGTATTCGACTCTCACGCATACTCGTCGAGTGTAGCGCCAAACGCACACATACTCAACGTCTCGACCCGTAGCTTGGCGCTTGGCTGGTTGGGACGCGCTAAGATTTCTAGGAGCGATCGCACTTACACAGATTCGCTGCACGAGAGTTCCGTACACGACACCGACGCGTGCCCCAAAGCTCCGCATCACGTCGACTTCGTGGCATCAATGTACTTAATAGTAGTAGATAAGTAGATAAAGTCAAATGGAGCGACACGAGTGTTCTTCCCTTACCATCAAAAGCGAGCAGTGTCGGTAAGCATAGGTGAGCCCCCACCGTCAATTGCCGCATGGTATTACCATCCCGAGTACGTGAGCCGCCAACGGCGACTGGTAGATGGTACCGCCATCCCAAGTGCGCGAGCTCCTATCAGAAATTCGTCGCGCCGCCCTTGGGGGCAAAACACGGTGAAAGCTAACGTACGAAACCAGAGGGCAGTACAGGGTGCGATCGCACGATCCTGCCCGTGAGCAATCTCCCAACTCATCTCTGTTTCGGGCTGCTACCACCGCTAAGTACGCCACGCGGCCGGAGAGGGCAGTAGGTTCGCGAGGTATGCCATCGGCGAATAGCAGTGTCCATACACGAATAAAGTTTGCGCTCGCGAAGATTTAACGAAGCAAATTCACTGCGAATGGGCAAACCAACCCGCACAAAAGATGTACAATATTTAATTTCGATTATGATTTGATAGCGTTACAAAAAGATCACTCTGTATAGTATGTAACGGGTACGTAATGTAAGTAAACATTAGATACTGTCAAAAGAGGTTAGTTTGATGGAAGGAACGACGTGATTTTATCGAGATACTCAGTGATAAGACGATATGCTACTAATTCAAACTTGTTTTATCTTGATAGTAAATTTTTTATTCCCATTTTCTTATGAAATTTACATTAAGTATTCGAATTAATCGATAGAATCTTGTCAATACCCATACCGTTAAACCAGATTTTTTAAGAATTAGATTTTAATGTTTATCATTCATAAGAAAGGATTAATTTGCTTATTTATCTTCCAGATGTAGACTTGGAGTGATTTAAAAGTTGTGTAAGCATAGACAGCACAATGGCAGAGACACAAACAGTAACTGGAAGTAACCAGGATTTCATAGCCGAATGCGAGGAGGAATTTGCACATCGTTATTCAGAAAAGGACAAAGACTTCATGGCAATTTACTCGGCAGAACCAAGAAAACCACCAATTGTGGACCCATGGTACAACAAGCCTCGCAGACCCGCAAGCGAATGGAATCGTCAAAATCAAAATCGCCGTAATCACAATTGGGATCGACGGCATCACGACAGGAGCGAAAGAATAGAGCGATACGCTGGCAAGCATCATATGTACCACCGCAATACCAAACCGTATTAACGAGTAATATCTTAAAAATAGGACGACCGTGTTATGTGATTCATTTACATAATTTTGTCACTAATAAATTCGTAATGATTTATATTTGTACATAAGTATATATGAGTGTTCATCTTTTTACCAAATAGTCTTACTACCGTAAGTTCGAAGACAAGAAATAAATTTAATAAATACTCTTTAACATGTTGACTGCCACGTCACCCATATCCAGGTGACATAGCATTAAAATAAAATGCACCTGGCAGTCAATATCTTTATAGAAATTAGGAAATGATTATTTCACCGAGTCTTACAAACAAGATTCCACTGTGATGAACAGGAGATCGATTCTCTCTCAACACAGGAAGGAACGGATTAAAAGGAAATAATGAACAAGCATGGCACGTTTCGAGGCATCTTCAAAAATAATTATAATTCCTGTATTTTCCTAAAGCAGCTCTCGTATAACAATCGATATATACAAACATAACGATCAACCATGTACAAAAAAAAGTAACCGCTACTCTTAACTTAGACGGTAAAAAATCTTTAATACAAGGTTGTCTCGATCGCGATGTGTCCCTTAATTAGAATGTACATCATGCGCTCCTCGCAACTAACCTAAATCATTGCTCCTCATTCGCAAGGCCCTGAGGGCTCCCGATCAACTGTACAATTATACACAGACATTATCACACGTACGAGGCGCGTCGCATTCTAAAACGCTTCGTCCCGAGACTGCCATCCACTCCATCCTGTACAAAATTATACACATACGTTGTCATATATACAGCCGAATGTACACGAGCATACAATTCTCGCGAGACCCCGCGGTCCATTATCATCCAGATTAAAAAAGAAGAAAAAAGAAACGACAATGGACCGACCGAAACGGGAGAATCTCTGGCAGTGCGCCCTCTACCGGGCATCCCGAGGATCTCCATCGAGCCGTTCCAACGGCCGCGGAGCGCCATCTAAGGTCCGACACCAATTCCGTTCTTCACGGCGTGCGAGCGTCTCCCCTCAATATGGCGGACAATTGACGCCAGGGTGGAGGTATTGGCACTTGTCGCCGGACCGGCAGTAGCCGTTCTTACTGAACTGCCTACACACGGGCGGCTGTTTGCCGCTGCCCCTCCAGGTGCCTCCTCCCCTCCACCCGCCGCCCCTACCAGGCCCGGAGGCCCCGCCTACTGCGCCCCCTCCACGGTACCAGCCGGGCCCGCCTCTCCCCCTCTGCGCATGCATCGGGCCCCCGGGTCGGGGCCCGCCGTGGAAGTTCGGCCCCGGGCCGAACATCATGGGGCCCGGTGGGCCCTGAAAGCCGCCCGGCATGTTGCCGTAGCCCATCTCCTCGGGGCCCATCATGCCGAAGCCCTCTTGCTGGTTGTACATGGGGGGCCCCCCCATCATGGGTGGGCCCATGGGCGCGTCCATCCCGGGCTGGGGGAAACCTACGGGGTTCATCGCGACGTCCGGCACGACGACCTTCCCGTCCCCCGTGCGCCATCCACCACCTACCGCCGCCCCCGTCGAACTAGGCGGCGGCGGAGGCGGCGGCATCGACGTCATGTCTCCTAGAGACACTACGGGGCCCATCTGCGCCATCGGGCCCGGACCCCCCGCGGCCATCATTTGCTGTGGTATCTGCGCCATCGGCGGCATCTGCGCCATCGGGCCCATCCCGGCCACTGCGCCCTGGGGCGCGCCCATCGGCGCCATCATCGTCGGCTGGCCGTGCGGGAAGGTTCGATAGTGGAAATTTGTCGTCAGCGTCGGGCTGGCCTGCGTCTTCGGCTCCGGCCACGGCACCAACGTGAAGTCCTTCTCGCTCTCCTTGTTCCCCGTCAGGTCGTCCAATGGGATCACCTTCGGGTCCGTCATCGGATGGTGCCGCTCCTCGTCCGGCTCCGCCGCCGAGTCGGGGATCCTTTATTCGGAAAGGGTTCATTATTAATTATCAGTTGAATATCTCAATAAAATTCGTTATCACGGCAAGTAAAAGCAGAGGCACATTGGCTTAGTTTACACCGATCACTTGGTATTGTACTGAAGGTGCAGTTTTATCAAACTACAGTCAAACTGAGTCGATATACGGTTATTTACCCTGACAGATTAATAATAACCAGGTCTTTATGCATACAAAATGATCAGGGCAAATTAGATGCATTGAATACATCTCCGTCGTACTCCTAAATTCGGGATTTATCGGGTCCCCGGATCCAGTAAATTACATGTCTCCATGGAAATAATAAATAAGCAGATTCGATCCTGAGCGTCTCCATCGGTACTTAAATTCGAACTTACAGAATTTAGACCCGATGAATCCCGGATTTAGGAGTACGATGGAAATGTAGTCATTGTAGGGTATATTATGGTTACGTTTGGGGGAAAATCATCCAAGGTGTTTGAGTTTAAGGACTCCACTTACATGCTCCGGTTGAAATAGAGCGCCTGTAGTATTCCCTTCTCCCTGGCATACTGTACATCTTTTTCTCGACTGTCCTTGCCGGGCTCCACCAGAGCAGGCGGCACGTCTACAGGGATCAAAGGTTTCCACCTCGTCTTCTCCTCCATGTGATCCTCGGTACCTGAGAAATTCAATTCCATTAGATCTGGAATTCATGACCGATTAGCCATTGAATAGATATTGGCACATTATGACCATAAATCCTTAAGAATATATATATCCCGCTTAAAAAAAAAAAGACAGTCACATTTCTTTTCGACTATCATTAATCGCAGCAGCTTGGGAACATAAAGTGCCGAGTTGCACGTGCAAAGTGCAGATACAAGATATATAGTTTAGATTTAAAAAAAACTAAACAAAAAATGAATTTATCCCGTATCTTATGTTATATCCATTTAAATTCCAATAATGTGAACTTAGTTTCCTTAAAGAAAAATTTCATGACTCTCAGCATGTATGGCATTAGGCCAAAAAGGCTCTAATTCATGTGCAATTATTAGTTGATTTCATAAATTTTATATGCTAAGTAAAAAATGCGTTGTATCCGAATTATGGTAATGTGAAGTGGGCAACAAAAAGTTACCCTAGGCCGCTTTCATAATCCTCGGGATATATTAAATGACGACATTAGGGTCAAAATGACTCAATCTCCGGTTAAGGGTTTCCTCTTCGGGGTGTTACAATGGGACACTTACTTAATTTCCTGGCCATCTGGAAGGCCTCTCGCTCGTATCGCTTCTCCATTTGCTTCATGTCCGTGAACGTCTTCGTCACGTTGACTCTCTCCGTCTCGTCCAGCTCGAAGTACCTGATCGACTCCAGGTCGGTCTTCCACTTCAGGCTCTTCTTCGGGCCCTTTCGCTTCTGGAGCAGGAGGACGCTCTTGAGTCCATCGACGAAACGATTTTCGGAGCGAGGACTCGCACCGGAGTCCTTTTTACGAGAATCCGAACCCTCTGGCGAGGATTCCTCGTCAGAACCCAACCCCTTCGTGTCTTCATCGTCCTCTGGGGTCGGCGCTGCAAATGCGACGATTCCACGTTCAATTAATAAAACAAACAAAATAAATGATTTTTAAGGTGATATGAAAGTACCACTCTATGCATATAAAGCGTAAAAATATTTATAAAACTTTTCCCTGGGTGCACCGAATCATTTAAAATTTCAACGCGTGATTATGGAGATCGTAAGGAAGACCGTTTTGCTCATGAAATTTCATTAAAAAAAAATATATATATATTCTTGGTTCTAGTCTGGGCTAAACAAAAAAAATATTTCAATGATAATTAAATTTCACGGGCACCAGGTTTTTTCTTAGGACCTCCTCCATAATCACATGGTGATGTTTCCATCGATCCGGTGCATCCAGTTTGGAGGAACATTTTATAAATATTTGATGTTTTAGATATGTAAAATGACCCTTTCATATCACCTTAAATTGACGAATATTTCATTAAAGCTTTTAGATAATGGCAGACCAATACTTACTGCCGTTCCTCTCGTCCTCGTCATTGACCTCCTTCGCCTCCTTCCTCTCGTCGGACTCCTCCTCCTTGTCCTTCTTGGCGTCGTCCTCGGCCTTCTCCTCTTTCTCCTCGTCCGTTTCTAACGTATCTTGATAAAACTGCGAGGAAAATAACGGAGCGTCAATTCACTCTCCCTTTCGCGTCCAACTAACACGTTCATGGAAAAATAATGAGAGCCACGCCGAGTCCTGCCAAGGGACCACAAAATATTCCTTTACATGAAATGAAAAAGGTCCTTTTCAGTTATTGGACGGCATGTTTGCATTGTTTTCGTTGATTTTCAAGACTGCCGCTTAAATTCCAGAAAAGCAGACTGAGCCCAGCAGAAATTTAATGGAGCAGCAAAAGTGGCGTTAAAATCAAATTATTTCGGCATCGGAAACCCCATAACTGGGTTTAAATATAAATGGGAATTAACAATGCAAATTTGGGATCCGATAGAAAAGAACCAATCGAAATAGTCTAAGGATACCACTTAAACCTAACGTTATTATGATACATAAAGTACATGAATGAGTGATTTGATAATCGATTTTTTGGACAATTTCGGGACCCTCTCGTGGTACTCGGCGATTGGGCTCGTGAATGAAATAATAAATCGCATCGTGGCGGTACTTAGTAATTACTTTAAGATTAGGCTTGAGGGTAACCGGCGATTTGTCGTCAGAACTGGGAGGGGAAGTAGGTGGTGGAGTGACGTCTCGATGTCCTTCACTATTCCCGGAATTGGCGAGCTCCTGTTTCTTCGCCTCGCCCTCCTTCGAGATCGACGTCCGCCTCTTCCTTTTCCTGGGTTCCTTACTTTTCGTCGAGGCTGTCAAGGCGTCCATGAACATGTCGCTCTCCTGCAGGACCATCGCTGTAATCAGGAAAAAAAACGAGGTCAACAATGCAACAACACCCCTAAAAGTCGATTAAATCGCATCAGCGTCGTCCGGGAATGTCTTCGTCCTCCGCCGCCATCTTGGATCTGGGCGCCGAAAGTTATTTACGAACAATTCCGTTTATAGGAAATATTTCAAGTTCTAGACCCTCCGTCCTGGTCGGTCCTTCGATGAAGAATCGTCCTGTGCGAATAACTACATGAAAGTGAAGGACCCATGGATTAATATATTCGAGAAAAATGTATAAAAAGAGATGCGAGGAAGCCATCTTCCCGGAAGTGAGTCACTCAACCTGTACGTCGTAAAGTTAACAAGTCTTATAAATTGAGCTCGTTTTCCATGTCCAGAGAAGTGGTTTCCAGATTTCGGCATCTCCAAGGAAATTTCGACTCCGCCTAGATCCTTCGTGAATGTTCTAAAACGAATTTGGAAACAATTGCATGCACGAGATCCAGTGATGGTCCATCCCCGGCAAATAACTGCAAGCCAAGATATCGTTATATTCAAATCTAAAAGAATTCCGAAGAAATGGGAATATAATTAAGATCTCGTCCAATCAGGAAATCTCGCGGTAAATGAGCAAAAAGCAGACGTAGGTACGTTAACACATATATATATGCATATTTCCATCAAGAGAAATACATCCATAATCCCGGCGTCCTATGCACGTCTCATTAATTTCAGACATTAAATTCGGCTTCGGTGCATCCGCGAGTTTATATCCTGCGAAAAGAATTGCATGAGCACGATGCCATCGTCGACCGTCCATCGGCGATCTGCCAGGAAACACGTTAAAGGAAAAAAGTGGAAAGGATCCCGAGGATTTGGAGTGGAAATTCGGCGCCATTTTGTTTTAAGACCCGCTCCTTCCGACAAAGGTCGGGGTACTCATCCCGCGAAAAACGCAGTTTTACCGGCATTCGAGTGCATTGCCAGTTCCCAATACACTTAGCAGAGTAAGATATAGAATGCGATAATTAAATAATACCCAGAAAGTGCGCAAACATTACATTACTCAACCGCTTACAGCGGGAATATTTAGCTTTAACAGAAGGGGCCTTCAAGGTCTCGCTCGGTTGCAAAGTGGATAATAATGCCTCTTAAAAACCTGCACCTTATTCCCCGGCGATAATATCGTAAATTAAAGCTTTCCTCCGCATCGACAGCAATCGGTTCAATTAGGCGCGGTTTTTTTTTTTCGTCCGCAAAACACGGTCAACGTCGAACAAGGCCGGGAAAAGTACACAACACGCGTGGCATTAACGAATAAATATTTAAAAACCCTTATCGGCCGCAAGCACGTTGCACATAACTTGCAATGTCACGTCCGAGGTAAAATACGACCGATAAGAGTCTACATTAAATATTACTAACGCGTAAATCTACTAAATCTAATCGAATTGTTTTCTTTTTTCTAACGGTCGCTTTAATTCCAGGCTTCGATTAATCATCGAGGAGTCGCACCTTATTTCCATAAAGAAGTGCATATAACGTTGACCTCACGCGGCGCATGTGCAATATTATACGCAATTGCATCGTCACTTTGTATCCCTCTTGGATAATTTATAGTTCGTTCCATAAACTCGTATTTTTTAGGCGGAAAAAAAACATGGCCGCTCAACAGAAGCGCCTAATATCCTGTCCATATCACACGTGCACGCATTACGCATACTATAAATGTACCTTCTCACGGATGTAACGTTCAAACAAGTAAAAAAGACAAGCAGGGAATCGGGGAAAGGGGCACGGGGGATTTTCGCATTCTCTTACGGAGTCGGAATAAAATAATAATGCTCGCCGAGGCTTCGTTTCGAGTGTGTATACAATGTCGTTATTTTAATATCTCTTTACTTTCGTTCTTCCAAGGTCGAGTCGCAGTGTCCAACGCAGGCTCGAGTTGAGTAAAGAAAAAAAATAAAAAAGTGGCCGAGGACTTAAAAATCGAACGTAACGGGTAATCGTTAATTCAGAAATATACCTAACGCTACCAACTAGTTATCGATAGATTATTACTCCGCGTTAATATTGGCCGTTTTACGATGCAATGGAAGGACTCTACAAATTACCTTCCACGAGATGAGGAAAAATGGAAGACATTTTCACGTATCTCACCGAGTCATTCTCAAAGCCATTAGAAATAAAAAGAGCCATTCCGTTGCATACATTGCAAGTAGTTCCACTTACGAATTAATAACTCCCTGTCGACAGTTCGTAAATCGAGAAACCATACTCCTCGAACAATATAAAATAAAAAAAAACCGCGAGGATACAAATTCGTAAAGTGGGAACTGCCTGTACCTAACCTTAAGTTGCCGAATGAGTAATTCTCGATCGATACGTTTAACTTAGTCAATAAACTCCTACAATTCTAAATAGAGTACTCTAACAAGTATCTCTAAATCGATTATTCTCAGACAGAGCCTCCAATCTCCGGAAGCCGTTAAAAAAAAAAAACCAAAAGCAAAACCCCCCAAAAAAATACCCACCCGTAAACTCGAAAACAAGGGCGTAAAGCCACCTCTAGAAAGTCGACACTTATCAAGACGCGCCTCTTAGAAAAGTATTAATTTAGAATTGAAGAAACGTCAGTTTATGCGTTTCTTTTTCCATGGTATATTTTCCAATTTCAAAAGCATTGGGCCGAGGCTCTACCGAGTTTCTCGATCTCCCAGTTTTTACGAGTTCCTTGATGGAAAAGTTGCATAAGAGGACGATGAACGCCTCCGATCGGTCGATTCGATCGAGAGCATTCGACGCGCGTCGACGTCGGTGAGCGATCTCGTTACGCGGGCGGTGTGACGAATGCTCTCACTAGGCGCGAGCCCGGAGGGTCGACGTGTGGCGGGACGGTTAGTAGCGGTCGGAGGCCGACACGAGTAGACGCGCGACGGGAGAGGCCCGTCACGAAAACATCGACCCCCACCCCCGGACGACCAACGCGACGCTGCGCTGCGGGCACTTGGCAGCTTTTTGCGACGGATTAGCGCGACCTCGCCGACTCCTCGAGTTTAATAATACCCCGTATGCCTCCCCGAGACTTCGTTTTCGATGCTCTATGACGAACCCCTGACCACAGATACATAAAAGATGCACGGAATTCCAAGAGGCCGTGAATTAACTGCTCCGAAAGATAAACAATGCATCACTTCCGATTAACCCGGAGCTAATAGTCGCTAAGATAGATTAAACTAAACCTTAAGCTGCGAATTGTATATATTTTACGTTTGGTCGACTATTGCATGTACGCGTCCATGAATTTCGCCCGTACGTCGAAAGGAGTAAGAGCGAAGAATGAACGGGAGCGACTATTTCCGTTGGAGTACTCGTAGAGTATGGGAATAAACGATTGTAAAAGGTTTTCGGTAGCGTAATGAAAATGGTTGATTATTCTGGAATGATCGCATGATTTCGGGATGCGAATAATACGAGAGGCGATTATTTTTACTCGTAGAATCGGGAAATTGTAACGGTTGTCGGTTTCGTAATAAAAACTCCGATTATTCTGGAACGTTTGCACGATTTGAATGCGATGAATATTATAGAATGTTCACAAGGCCAAGAATAGTTTCGTAGAACATAGGAATAGGTAATATAACGGTTTACTGTACTGTATTGAGAACTCTCGATAATTCGGGCATAACAGCACGATTTAGATGCGAATAAAAATAGAAACAAATACAGAGAACTCGTAGAATAAGTATAATCTCATAGAATAGGGAAATAAACGGTAGTAACGGTTTATCTAATTATTAATGTACGTAACGAGGACTTTCGATTATCGTGGAACGAATAATCTCACGATTTAGGAGAAGAATAAATAGAGGCGATTATTATTGTTATATACGGTAATTTTCCTCAGTATTATGAGAATAGGCTGGGATTTTCATTTGAAAAGTGGAAGCGACTCGCCGGTGAATCTGTAGAGTATCTTCCAGTAGAAAGGAAGCAGGTCTAACCGTTTTCCCGAATCCACCCTGGGACAAATTTCCGTGGAAAAGCTACTCCGAGGCACACAAAGAAACAGAAACGGCTCGTTTCCCCCCTTCTCGACTGCCTATCGATTCCCCGACAATTCCCGTTCCAGGAACGACTAGAACGAACCGAAAACCCCAAATAACGGAACCGTACAAATAATAAAAGGTGTCTACGCACGCGGCGACTCCTAATCCACGTAATTAAATCAAGTATTTCAACATCCCCGTGGTCAAACCCTCATTTAAACCCTCGATTAAACCTAAGTTAACAAACTCAATGCCGTTCGTATGTACACGTAATACGTAACTTGGCGCGAGACTCTACCGAATGTCTACATACAGTCCAATTCGCACGGATTTATCGCGTCACGTGCATCCGCCGTAAGAAACACGATTTAAAAAGAGATCCTACAAATAGACGCAATAAATAAATGCAAACAAAAATGCATATATATATATATACTGTAGGACTATCCGCAGAGGCGAAAACGCGTTTCGTTACTCGCTTTTCTTTTGATGCATATACTGGTATATTGGAGCGTATTAATGAGCGAACGTTTCGTAATTTCGGGGGTCATGAGTCGTGGACGGCGATTTCGAAATCTGCGATTGACTCCGCGTCGTTTTTCCATTTTTTTTGTTCTCCTTTTCTTTTCTGTCTCTTCTTCGAATATTCTCTCTAAGGACCGTTCCTCTCTCTTTCCCGGCCACGGTGGGTGGCATAGGTCGGTCTCTCTCGCTTCCTCCGCAGCCTCCAAAATTAGGCGAGGGCCTCTCGATCTTTCCGTCTCGTTTGTCTCGCGAGAGAGCAGCTGTCCTCGAGGCCTTTGTTTCAATCGACCGCGAGCGATGGTAGGTCTCTATCGAGTGAACAAAGAGGGATATCTAGTCAGGTCTTTTGCTATCTCCCTCACCCCTTTCCCATCCCCTCGAGCCCTCCGGAGTTAGATCGCCCTGATCGCAGCTACACCCCGGCGGAAATTCGAAAACGAACAGCGAGATCAAGAATCGCGGTAGCGTCTCACAAGAGCACGGGGCACGACCGCGTCTCTTTACTTGAGACATTGCTCGACCGGGCGTTCGATTCCCTCTGAACGGCCAATGCCGCCATTGAAAGTGCCGGTACATCTCAACGTACATATCCGATCATGGCGGAGAAGATATCGCCCCGGCCACGTGATATAAACATCGCGGGAACGAGACAGATCCGGGGAAAAAAATAACCTCGGCGAAGGAAATCGGGTCGCGGACACGTTCGAAAGAGAGCTAACCCGGCCACTCGTCAAGGTGATGCCGCGATGGAGGGCGTAGCCCATTTCATCAATCTTTTCCCACACTCTCCCGCGTCTCGAGAAGTGTAAACAATAACAACCGAGCAAAAAAAAAGAAACAAGAACCCACGAATCGGATTTCCCAATGGCGGAAAGGTGGAACGAACGAAACGGCTCGAATCAACACGGAAAAGATACCACCGGCCGTCGGGAAGAAAAACAAAATGGCGCGCACGTCGCATTGCCGAGTGCTCGGTCAGCGAGAGACTTGTGTGTTGTAATATATCAGCTCGTTCGAAAAGATCCCTCGTTTCGAGTACCCCATACATAGGTGAAAAAGCGACGGAACTTTCAGACCGACCTGATAACTATCCATATGTATATGCACGTACGTTGTGTACCTACACATCGTCGTATATATACATACTAATATATCTATATGTATATGTATTCACAGCAGAAACCCAAAGCTCTTGTTTCCAGATCTCTGAATGATTTATTTCAAACGCTCCATTAAAAATATATATATAGGTGTACATGTACAGGGGAGGAAAAAAGTTTTATATCGGCGGGCCTTACCTAGTAGTAGTTCTAGGAGCGGCCGCTAGGCGACACGCCGGTAGGGCGGCGCCCCAGTTCGGTCCCGGGGAAGCTCTCTCGCTATTCCCCCGAGACTCCGTATTTTTTTTTTTCTCTCTCTCGGCACAGATGCACCAGGCATCCTGCTCTCTTCCCATTCCTTCGATTGTCAATTTCCTCTCTTTCCTTCTTTTCCCTCCTATCTCATTTCCCATTATCTACTCTCGAAATCACTATTTCACACACACACACGCGTCGAAGGGGGAGGAGTTTAGGCTCGCGCGCACGCGCGTCGCGGCGTCCTCCTCGCGCCCTCTCAACCCCTTCCACGGGCCTCGTAGCGAGCACAGTCCATAGTTATTACTTTATCGAGAGGTTACCTGCTAGGTCTTCGTAATTAAAGAAATAAATCGAGGTCTTCTCTCTTCTCGGTACCACCACCAGGGTTCGCCTGCGGCGCATCGGCGTCGGCGTTGGCGTAGTCCTCGGCGTCGGCCTCCGCTCTCCAGTCGGCGCCGGATGCTCGGGGCGCGTGCCGACGGGGAGGGGAGGTTAGGGCTCTTCCGACTCTCTTTTATCTATGCCCGCCGCGCTCATTTAACGGAAACCGAGAAAGATACATCTCTACGAGCCTGGGCTTTCGGAGGGAACGCGGGACCGGGGTTAGAGATAGAGACACAGAGACACACCACCGGAGGAGGTTATGAGATACGTGCGTCGGGATGCCTGGAAGAAAGTCACTCAAGTTAGATCGACCTGGCAGAGCGTACGATAAGGAGCACAATATAAATACAGAGAAAGAGCGAGAGAACGATAGTTCGTTCAACGCCCGGCAGAGGCCGCTCGTGGGGCTTCTCGCGCGGGGCGCGAACCACGTTTCGGCTTCCACTTCCGGTCGGCATCTGTCCACCTGCAAACTCAATATCCAAATGTTAATTAAATTCATTTCCCGGTAGAGGGACCTACTGGTTATTCCGAGGTAGCGCCTTTTCGCCCGGTGAACATCAACGTGACGAGGTTTTCAGGGTCTTTAAGAAACCGCGGGTAAAAGGAAACCGATTTAATACTGTAACCTAACGGTTATGACGAATATTTCATGAGAATGCACAACGAACCGAGGAACTTTTCTAAGAACGAGATATTTCATAATCTGATTCGATTGGGTAACGGATGCACCGTAACCAAGATTTTTCTTTTCCCCCATGAATTCGAAAGAATACCAAAGAATATTGCGTACCGTAAGGTAGACTGAAGATGAACAAAAGAAAGAAACGAGGTTACGAGAAAAGTTGCAGAGTCTAGAAATTAAATGACTGATCTGATGGAGGATCTTACGAGGGGACTTGGTTGCCACGTAGTAATTACTTTAAATGAAACTCATTGAAACGTGTCAAGGGAGACTCGAATGGTATTCGAGAAAGCGTCTTCGTCTACCTCGGAATTCCAGTACCTTAAGAGCTATGCGAAACTCGGGACGAGACGAGATAGAGGACTTAGCCTACGAACGAGATGCGTGAGTCGTGGGTCGAGCCCTGGGAATAAGAGAAAGCACTTTATTATAGGCAGACCGGGACTGATAGCGAAGAGATCGGCGCCGGCCGGCGCCGGGCGATACTTACGTTTCGGTTTCGGAGGAATGAGCTTGATGCCGCCCTTCTTCTCGTCGGCGGGCGGCGGCGACTCCAGGGATAGCTTCGGCTTCTTATCGGGCGGCGGCGTTGTCGTCGAGTTCGCGCAGGCGCCCGTCGTCGAGTTGCCGGTGACGTCCTTGGCGGTGAGTGGCGGTGACGGCGATCGCCTCTTCAGGGACAAGAGGGGCTTCGGGGGAACGACCTTCTTCTCGGCCTGCTGGTTGGGCTTCTTGACCGACCTGGGGGGCGGCGGCTTGGCCTCCTCCTCGAGCCCGGTCGACCTGAACTTCGAGTTGAACGTCTTGACCGTCTTCGGCCTGGGTACGGTGTCCTGGGAGTTCTTCCTGTTCTCGATGGAGATTGAGATGTTCTTCTTCTCGGCGGCGACGCCGGCGGACTTCCTCGTCTCGGTCTTGTCCTTGTTCTCCTTGGACTCGGTCGAGGACTTCCTTGAGGACTCCAACTTCTCGTCCTCGGGTTTCTTCTTCGGTATCTTGCCCATCTTGGTCGAAAGCGCCAGGCCCTGGACCTTCTCCAGGGTGGCCTTGTCCTTCTCCGCTTGGTCCTTCTTCAGCTTCTCCTTCTCCTTCTCCCGCTCCTTGTCACGGTCCGTCTTGCCCTTCCCGGAGGAGGCGTGCTTGTTCGACGAGTTCCCATGACGAGCCTTTTCCTTCTCCCTGGAAGACTTGTCCGTTTTGGAGGTGGAGCTCTTCGAGCTCCCCGATCCCGACTTGTGTGACCCGGCCCGATGGCTCGAGCTCGACCCCGAGCGGTGGGACCCGGAACTCGAGGAGTGCTTCGAGGAGCTCTTCGAAGTCGAGGAACCGTGATGACTCGTGCCCTTCTTCTCGGCGCCGACGCCGCCCTTCTTATCGTCCTTCTTCAGGGAGTCCCGGTTCTCCTTGTCGCTGAGCTTCCCACTGTCGGGCCCCGCGCCCTCTTTCGCGTCCTTGGCCTTGGCCACGTCGACCTCGTTGCCGATCTTGGTGCCGACCTTGGCCTCCGCGGAGACTCGGTCCGCGGACACCGTGGAAGACTCGTTCGCCTGCGCCCCGTCGACCTTATCCATGCTCTTCTCCTCGGGAGAACTCGTGTCCTCCGCGAGGTCGGCGTCCACCTGTGCCTCCTCCTGGTCCAGTGCACTCCCCTCCTGATCCCCGTCGTCCTCCTGCGCCATCGCCGCGTCCTCCTCCTCGTGGCCCGCGTCGCCGTTCACCTCCACGTCCGTGGCATTGCTTATGTTCGACAGGTCGGTCTCCACCTTGGTCAGCACCTGTTTGCCGTCCCGGATCGTGATCTTGTAGACCGGCACCGGCGGCTGGGAAGACGAGGAGGTGACCACGACGATGGACTGTCGCTTAGCCTGAGGCTGCTGCTGGTTGTGGTGCACGTGGTGGTGCTGTTGCCCAGGTTGGGCCGTCGTCTGCGACTTGACGACCACCTGCACCTGCGCGGCCACCCTGTCCGCCTGCTCCTGGAGAAGATTCACCGTGGAGTCGTCGCTCGATTTCTCCAGCCGGTGGTCCTCCAGGGTAGCGTGCTGCTGCGCGAGCTGTAGCATCGCGGGCGCCGTCGTCGTCGTCGTTGTCCCGGAAGCCGCGGACACCGATGTCATGATCTGCGCCGGCACCGAATTCGGAGCAGCCTCGCCTTTCACGATTTTCAGCCATTGCTCCACCAATCGGCTCGCCAGGATACGCACGCCTTGGTGACTCCCCTCCTTGGAGAGGCCCTTTATCAGCTTCGGGCAGTTATTGCTCTTCAGCCGCTCGATGTCCACTGGGCACAGCAGCAGTAGCTCTAGCAACTCCTGGATCAGCGCCCAGTTCTTGGCGAGGATCCCGTCCGTCAGCCACATGTGAATTAAGTTCCAACCCCCCGCCCCCATAAACCTGGAACAGAAGAGACAAACTTGTAATTCCTGGCCCGAGTAACATGGTTACTCTGGGGAAGAATAGTCCTCAGGGTACAATTAATGCTGTAAGGAGTTTATCCGTTCTCTCCATTTTTATATGATAAATCTTTTATGTACGAATTAACGAGACCGACAATGCCTTAGTATTTACAGGAACACTATGGCTTTCTAATACGTTAAAGTCTAGTTTCAGAATCAGTGTTTTAAAATTATTCATCGATAGCTTGTCAAAATTTTATGATTGTAAGCAATTGTCGGCAAATAGAAATATTCAGTGCTAGGATAATCCTCCATGTAGTGTGATATGGTGGTCAATTAATATATGCATCAAGGAAAAAATGGACACTTATGTAAATTCGCGTTGCGTTTTAATTATTGAAATACTTAACGATAATGGACTTTAACATTTCAGTCCGCTAGCTTTGTACACAAGTTTTTTTTAATTTATTAATCTCAGAATTCGACATGTAAATTTTAAATAACGATTTCCACCAAAGACGCAGACTCTAAATTTGATGCATATACTTTCACAGTATTTATAATGAACATTAGTAATTGTGGGACACATATCAGTAAGCACGGCCCATAGAATGCTGCCGCCCAATGGTTCAGAGTCCCTTTTAAATTTTCTCTCGCATGTACAATTTATTTCTCACACGTACGAACAATTATGCAACATTCGTGTGTCTCGACATGCTGGAAACTTAATTCCTCACATTAATACTTGAAATTACTCATCATTACATTTTAGTAGTTCAAAAAAAATAACCATACATGGAATACTTTTCTGGAGAATTTAGAGAATATTTAATCCAGCGTTCAACACAGCTTCATAAACAAACTATTAATCCTGTGAACAGCCAATAACCCCTTTGTACTACAACACTCTGTGTGATCGTGACGTGTAATTATAGTGGATTAAATAATATGTTTGATAGAACTTATACTCACTGGCTTAGAAGATCCGTATTGGTAGTTTTCAAAATCTGGATGTAAATACATTTTGAGACGAGCTTCTTGGAAAATTTTGTCATGAGGTTAGCTAACCGATGAACTTCTTCCTTACTTTTAATGCCACCATCGGGTCCCAGCAAAACGCTGAGACACTTCAGCAAAGATAATGGGTCGATTCGTGGCTGGAAACAGATTAAGAACGGAACTGATTTAAGGCCTGGCTGCTTCGCCAGAGTACATCTTTTTATCGATATCCAACTTTGCAGTAACCTTGCCTTGACATCTTTATACATAACTAGCTTTACTGTGTTATCTCAATAATTTGTAACTGTCCTTCAATTTATATCAAAACAAGATTTGCGATTGTAAAATAATTGCCTCCCGACTTCAATCTTTCCTGTACATATGTTGTAATACATTCCATAAAAAATTCTCACAAATGAATAAAAACGTTTTAAAATTCGATGTGAAAAATTCAGTCTCAATAATAATTAAAATGGCAATACAAGTTCCACAAAATTATTGTACTACTTTTAAACTACCTTAAAAAATAATTTTTATTTTATGCAGACCACGGTGATATGTATAAATAATATGAATTTAGTCACTCCCCTTAATTTCGTACAAACATTTATGAAACACGTACCATATTCTTGTATAGTGCATAACTTGATACGCGTTGAGGGTGATTCAGTGACGACGTGTTTAATCATGTTTATTTTAAGATAAAATAGATTACTAGTACTCCGGATGGTGTGTACAGTATTGTGTCCAAAGGTTGTAGAAATAAAAAAAACGGATAAAAATTTTTTATTTACGCAACTACGATCCTATCACCTGCGCATACGGCGCGAGAATGTCGGAAGAAGTCGGCTCTCCGGCTCGATAACCCCACCCTGGGCGCAGTACCGATTACTACCGACTACTCACGAAGATTCCCGAAGATACCCGAATATTAGTCTTCCCCCTCCTTAGCCCGCCTACTTTTCGGCGCCAATTATGAATAATCAATCTTGCGGACTTTTGACCACTTATAAACGCGTCTTAAAGATTCCAGTTTCTCCATATTATTTTTACAATGGCTTTAAAAGGAAATTCGAAGGTCGTTGCACACAAAGAGTCAATTGTAGTAATAAGGTTTGCTATTGATTTCTTTTAAGTTATGTAAATAGATTCAAACCTCTCGGGTCGGTTAAGACTTGGTAGGAAGTTTCTGAAATGTAGCTATAAGGACCGTAATACTTGTCTGTTTTATAAACGTAAATGGGTGGGCTAGACATTACACTATAAAATGAAGTCGATACTATTTAAAATTCTCTTGAAAATGTAAACTGTTCATAGAACTACTGAATTAGAGAATAATACATGCAATTTTAAAATTAACTCTATATTTTGAATAAGAACGCTTCTTAATTGTGAAAAAAAATAGCAACATGATATATGCGGATGTATCAACTGATGTCAAGAAAGTTAAGATATACTAGTACATTATACATGCTATACGTGACGTATAATAGGATTCTTCCTTTGAAACAGGCACTGTCATTACGAGTCTAGCTTCAAATACTCCAATACATCTTTAAATTACAACAGAAAGCAAAAAATGGAACGTTAACCTCAATCTACAAGAACCTACTTCTGACAGTGTACACGATCCCATTACAGCTCCTTCTGGGTTACCGAGCAGTAGGTTTCGATTATTTATAACCTGCAACGTGTCTAATCAAATTGCGCAGCAAGATAAGAAGTAATCAACCGACCCGTGTAATTGACCCAACTAAGGAAAGTTACGTGACGTACTCCAATATAAGGTATAATCTATTCAAGACCCAGCTATTCTAATCTATGTACGTGGCGTCGAAAGATGTACCAGGAGAGGCCGACGCTTACATCCATTTATACAATCTACAATCATTTTCCAATCGCAATCTACCCAACGATATGAACAATCATCTCCTCCCTTTTGCATGCACAATTCTCTGCTTTGGGTACAGACCTTCACCATTCAGCAGATGTAATAACGCGCGACGTGACTGGAATGATTCTAACCAAAGCACATTTGGAAAGAGCACTAATTCCTTGCGATCTTTAATCCTAGTCAACTGTGCAAGCGTATCTTGAGAGTAGCAACATTAGATGGAAAAATTGTGAAAGAATATCTTCGATGGCACTCGCGCAACCAAGTCGAGCCGTGCATTCGGGAACGACCGCTTCGCGCGAGAATAATCTATCCCTCGAGGTCTTGGCAAGAAAACGGAATATAATTCCCGAGGAAGGGAACTCGTCGCGTCGGTAAAAGAGAGTCGGCGTAGTGGGGCGGGGTCGCGTCGCTCATGGCGCCCCCTCGCACGATGCGCGGCGACTCGACGAATCAAGATGGCCGACGTTGCAAAAGCATCCTACAAGAAGATAATAAAAGATCATCGTAAAATATCGGACTCACCATTTTGTTCCGGTAGCACGCGCGTCCTCGCCGTTTTATTTCGCCCCGTAGGTCGACGGATCGTTACGAGATCTGTAACGAGACAACACAAAAAGCCCCGTTTTACGTGGGAGCAAACCGGACTCGTGCGTCACCCGAAGTGCGATCGTAACCGACCCGAATGGCCGCCATCTTTGCGGGGCTCTTCCGTGCCCGAAGTATACTGGCCGAAATCAGCGAAGACTCACTTGTGCCTACACGAGATCGAGGGAATCTAACCGTGAATCGACTCGTGAATCGGCAAGGCAATATCCAGGGCGCCGTTTGCGGCCACGGAGTCCTTAAATGTCGGGTTAGCTATGTCGCCTCGCCGCGCCCTAGCCTCGCGAGACTCGGCCGAACCGAGCTCGTCTTTAAAGTCAATGTCCTACCGATCCTTCCGCTTTTTCGTAAGAATCTCCGTTCTCGGCCGTTTGCCGATCTAATGTCTAGTGAATCGAGTAAAATAGGTAAGATCGTTCGCTGCAACTAGGAAAAATTCGAGGGCGAGATCAGGAGTCCTTCGGCGAGCGGGCCTCGTTCGGTAGTCGACTGCCTCGGCGACTCGGACGGTGCGCAACGGCGGTCTGCGCATCCCCCACCCTTGACCGCTATTCGGCGGACCAATCGGAAGCCGGCGTGGCCGCGCCGCGAGCCAATCGGCATGGCCCCTCCCCGGCCGAGGGCACGGCGCACCATTCTTCGCGCATCGGGCACCGATACGTCACGACTCCATCTATTAATAGCACCAGCTACTAGCCGTAGCGAGCCGAGCAAAAGGCGGCCGCGGCCGGCGATTTAATGATCAGGTTGTACGTACGTCCGCTCGTCACTTCCCGGCCACAACGTCCGTCGCGTTCTCGACGCGTCACTTCGTCCCTCCGAGACGACGACTCGGCTTGCCTGGGCCAGCGGGACCCGGAAATCTTCATGTTGCGTTAACCATCACTCGACCCCGAATTTCGTTCCTCTTTCTCGCCGAAGTCCTGTCTTTTGATCTCGCGTATCGTAACTCGGGTACGCGCGTTTCGGGTGACGTCTCTTGCAGAAAATTAAAGACTCCGCCGTTTCGAACGGGTGAACGAACGATCGACGGAGATAGGGGGAGCGAGAGAGAGATATATACAGACAGAGAATGAGAGGTGCAGCGCGAGCTCATTCTACGAGCCACTCACATCGGTTTTCCAACTATTAATCCTTTTTAACGACAACAAACGTTCACAGCAACGCATAATTTCATGCAGCATCTCCTGTGCACCGAAAAACGTGTCCCTTGGCGTGGGGAGGGCGCGGTGTCGTGGCCGCGAGCCCAGAGACCGATCGAATCGATATCGCAGTCGAGGGCGCTACGAGGCTCGGGGATCGACATTTATCTTCTCGTACTTTGCCATCTGTAATCAGAGACCCGACGAGGGTTACTCCAGTCACCTTCCTTGACGAGTCCTCGATGTACCGCGACGACCGAGCACGAAATATCCCTGACTTTAGGCTAAATGTCCTCACCTAACTTTACGTAGCACCAGCTGCCCAAAGCGAATCGGAAATACGCCTCGGCTTTTCGCTCCTCGTTCTGGTCCTTCCCCTACTCCGGAGTCAAATCAGCTTCGGTGTACAGATATGAATTAACGTTTCTATCATCGAATGAGGAAATTTACATGTATTTCTTGTACCTTACGAAATTATAAACTAACCTTGTTTTTTTATTTCGATGTCTTGAAGTATTATGTGGCAATAACAAGTGGTAAATAAAGTCGCTTTATTGTTGCACTGATCAATGCGGTACTGGAACGTGCGAGTCAAATCAGCAATGCAGTCGTTCATTCTTATTGAACTTTTTTGTCAGTTTTGAGTTCATCCAAAACCGGTAAATGTTTGATTTTCTATGCAAAATGGTTTTACAGGCATGAATTGGGACATTAGGAAACGAATTCGCTATTATTTTCATGTTTCCTGTACTCGCATGACAATTTCGTAAACCGTTAATACCTTCATTAATGCGATTACATTTTTTCGGAAGATAATAAATTTTACATATTGAAATAACAAGCAATATGTTTATTGCATGAAGAATTGATGCAATGAAATTATATTACAATTCGTATCATTTCTTTGCGTCAATTGGCACCGACGAAGGGATCATTAAAATACACGTTCGACTCTGAATTGACGCCGGTGGAGTTACGCATTCAATTTAAGGTTAGAGAGGTTAGGGGTTCTCATCCACTGTCGAACGTACGATAAAATACACGTGTGAGCGTTGCTAGGGTTGAGTAGAATTCACTGCTGCAGATTCACAAGTAATACTGTTAACCCCGAGTCAAAACATTTGATTCTGTCTTTAATCGCGTGTATAGTGCGTATTAAAGCAATGTCAATCGTTTCGCTCGGACTGCACAGAACAGTAGGGTCTTTGTGGACTGGTCTGATAAATAAGGTAAAGTAATATTGTGCAAACTATTAATATGACTTTCTGTAATATTTTGTGTTCCTTTTTAGGGCTTTACATTAAGGAATTTATCAGTAACCAATTCTTTTCGATCAGCTGAGGCTGTGGGTCAGATTGCGGAAGAGGGTGATGGGACATCGCAAAGGGAAATTGATCCCAGTAAAGACAGAACTAGAATTATACCTGTAGAAACTAGCATTAGATACCTTGAGAGCAAAGGTAAGTTGTATAGATGGTTATGTTAATTGATGTAACTTTGTTTTGATATATCATTTAATTTTCAGCTTATAAGGAAACTTACGGATCGAATCCTGTGTGGAAGCTATACAGAAGAAATCACAAGGGCCAGATTCCACCACAAAAGACACGGAAACTATGTATTGTACGTGAGATATGAATTTAAAGATGTAGAAAATATATTCCCTAACCTAAAATATCTGTTGGCCCTGTACAGAGGAACGGAGTGATCTCCACTGGTAGTCCTTGTCCAATTTGCAGAGACGAGTATTTAATACTCGATTACAGGAACGTGAAGTTGTTGAAGCAGTTCATCTCTGAATATAATGGAGAAATTCTGAGTTATCAGTAAGAATTCCTTTATATATTTTGTACATATTGTATTTAAAACTGTATTATCTGTTTTTTTCATTTAATCATTGCAGGAAAACGGGAATTTGTCAACGCAAATATCGAGAGCTCCTTGTTGCAATTTATAAGGCCAAAGATTTTGGCACTATAACTTTCGACGTTCCACTAAGATATTATGATTATTCGGAATGGTACAAACCTGACTGCGAAGATCACCAGTGTTAATACTTATAATGTAAAAATTACCACCGTGTATTTGCAGAAGTTTCGATATTGATAGTGTTATACTTTAAAATGGATTCCAAAGCAATTGAAGTGACTTTCATGATAGTCGGTGGGGGTATAGCTGGAGTGTCTTGCGCCGAAGGACTGGCGTTTCTTGTACCAGAGGAAAAAGTTATCCTAATAAGTGACAGTGCATTGCTGAAGGCCGTCACAAATATTATTCCTCTTGGAAAGACTTTGATGCAATTTGACGTCGAAGAGCGCTCCTCTGAAAGCTTCAAAGAAACATACCCTTCTATCTCAGTTATCCATGATGTAGTAATGAAAATAAACTGTGCCGAGAAGTTAGTTGAAACTAAAGGTGGAATACAAATTTCATACAAGAAACTTTGTCTCTGTACTGGTGCTAAACCAAAAGTAATTGCTGAAAATAATCCATACGTCATTGGTATAAGAGATACAGAATCCGTTGAGCATTTTTCTGAAAGAATCAGGAATTCTAAAAGAATCATAGTAGTTGGAAATGGGGGAATTGCAACAGAAATTGTGCACGAAGTGGAAGACGTAGAAGTTATTTGGGTGATCAAGGATGATCATATTTCAGCGACCTTCGTGGATCCTGGAGCTGCAGAATTTTTTCAAGATAAGCTTATTAAAAAAGATTCATACGATCACCATGCACAGAGTTCACCGGTCAAAAGAATGAAGTACACGATAACAAATGGTACAGTTACTAAAGGTGGACCAGCACTTGGTCCTGACTGGCATAACAGCTTTGAAATGAAAGGTGTTTCTACTGTTTCCACCAAAGTTAACATTGAATATTGCTGCGAAATTAGTAAAGTCTTGTACCCAAATGAACTAAGCGAAGAAGAAAGGACCGAACAATGGCCAATATATGCCAAGCTGACAAATGGAAAAGTAATAGGATGCGATTTCATAGTTTCCGCAACAGGTGTCATTCCACATTCTCAACTGACCGGATTACAAACATTAAAAAAGGCGGAAGATGGAGGCATATTAGTCGATTGGAAGTTAGAAACATCGGAGAAGAATATTTTTGCAGCTGGTGATGTGTGCACAGCAAATTGGGAGCTTGCCGAACATTGGTTCCAAATGCGATTGTGGACTCAAGCACAACAGATGGGTCGATACGCAGCAAAAGCAATGGTATCTACGCTAAGAGATGAAGAGTTTCTTCAAGATTTTTGTTTTGAACTGTTCACCCATGTCACTAAGTTCTTTGGGTATAAAGTAGTCTTACTTGGCTTGTACAATGGACAGAAGTTGGATAGAAATTATGAGATTCTGTTGAGGATGACCAAAGGCAAAGAGTATATAAAGTTGATTTTAAAGAATGGTAAAATGCAGGGAGCAGTATTGATTGGTGATACCGACTTGGAGGAAATGTGCGAAAATTTAATTCTGAATCAATTAGACTTGAGCTCCTATGGAGAAGATCTGCTCAATCCCGATATTGATATCGAGGACTATTTTGATTAAACAAGTCAACGAATACTTCTTGTCCCATTTTACACCCTACAATAATATTCGTGAGTTAATTGTACTGTTTTCAGCGATTTTATTAAAAACATACCAAAATTGCTTACAAATATGTTACCAATAATTAATTTGCATGTTTTTATTTTTATTACCTACGGATTTATTCGCGTATAATGCCTTTCTGTGTATGGCACCAAAAATAAGTCTTCTCTTGTATTAAAAACTACAATCAATTCCGTTCAATTGTAACTAGGTGCAAACTAAAACTCAGAATTCTACCTTTCACGGTAGTAATCACAGTAAGGTCTTCTGAAGCATCCTCCCATGTCGAATTCTTCGATACGCGTGGCAATATCTAAGAGCCATTCAAGTAAAAGTAATTAAAACGTGACAAGAAATGGTAAACTCGTGTCTTGCCCCCAAAATGATAATAAATACTTTCTTTAATAATTGAATCCATATTTAAAACTTAAATACCTAAAGTTAAATAAAAGAAAATAATGGCAAATATCTTTTTTGTAAGGCCCAGTATTCTCCGAGTATAAAGGGGAAAGAAAATGTCTACCCATAGTCGAGTAAAAATTCAGTCCTCGAAGACAGAATCTACATAACAAACGTTATATAGCCAGATAGTGCATCGTACCCCTTGGTAGTCTACTTTAAAGTGAACGCTCATTAAACATAATCCTCGAATAACTTTTGCAGTCTTTAATTTGTCCTAAAGTAGAAAACGATCTTAATTAACATCAAACCGTACCGACTTTGCGGTACCATTTTGAAGAACAGGACAACCGCTTTTCAGGTTTGGCCTCGTGGGTGAAGCATCCCAACGAGGAACATGCTTTGCAGAGTTATTCAACGAGGAGGTAGAGACAACATTCTCGGAATTCTCTATCACGGTGTTGTTAAGACCACTCGTGTTCGATGAGGCGCTGCAATTAGTGGTCTCGTTCGAGTTCTTACTCTCTAATGTACTTTTCAGGCTGTCAATTATGCTGTGAACTTGGTCTAACGATTTTGTGACTTGGCCACTGACCTCTCGACTCTCGTAAAAATGACAAAGTTTGCCAAGAGTCCGCGCAGCAAGTTCCATCTGTAAAAGACACTGGAGGATGTCGTCACGACGCTTCGAGATAACAGATTCGGCCGTTTGATCAGCTATCGAGCACTCCAAGATCGACGAGTCCATCGACAGCTGGTGAAGGCTCTCGTTGAGCTGCTTTTTCACGGGCGTTATGTTTATAGATATCCTGCTATTATTTAGCGAATCCTGCGTGAAGTCGCTATCATCGTAGAGTTCCCAATCATCCTCCGAATCGCGCAGCTCTTTAATAGAGTCCTCGATATCAAAATCTCGCAAACGATGCACCCAGTCCAGGAAACGCATCGGTTGCCACAAAGTCTCCACCTTGCGATCCTTATCACGCACTCGTATCACGCGTTGCAGCTCTTTGTCAACTATCGTAGTCTGTTGGTAGAATTCCTGTAAGACAAAAGATAAATTAACAAGACTCTTCCCGAAAAACCGAATTTACGAGACGCGGATCGCACAAAATTTCGCATAAAGGTTCATTAATCCTTTCACTACTACAAGCGATTAAGCTAAGTCAAAAGTACTGTTAATTCCCTTTTTATTTAGTTGCATTAAATCCATGTAAAAAAAAAACAGGGCTCGTCCGGGATTTGAACCCGGGACCTCTCGCACCCTAAGCGAGAATCATACCCCTAGACCAACGAGCCGGTTGAACAGAAGTAACGGACCCGAAATCATGTATTTCCTGTATATACAAAGAGGTATTAATAATTACTTTCTAACTGTGGCCGTAATTTTCAAGTCTTTCAATGTTTAATCTAGAAGCGCGCTTTCACTTTGCGCGAGCGGCGCCAGTCGGCGTGGCAAGTTGCGCAGAGAAAAGGGAGTGAAAGAGAGAAAGAGCACTCACGTAATTAATTCCGACTTCTCTGCACCGCTCTGTCGCTTCCCGGACTAAAAGAAGCATCTCGTGAAGGCTCACGCCTCCAGTCTCCATAGCGTCGGCGCTACTCTTCAGATTGAGAGCAATTTCCGCGCCGGCGGTCGTCTCGTTTAAGAGGTCCTCCACGTCTTTCAGGAAATTGGTCTTGTACGGAGACACGGTTGACTTGGATTCCTCGAGTTGGATCTTACGAATCCTGTCGTTGGTCTCTAGCTGGGTTGCGAGTAGTTCTCTTTCCAGCTCGAGTTCCATTTTCTTGCGGTTTGTTTCCTCCAGGGCGAGTTTTTGTTGTTCCACGGTCGACCCCAACGCTTGAATTTCCCGCTCAAATGTGAACCTTTGCGACCCTAACTGGGCCTCTATCTCTCGTTTTGCATTTTCGAGCTCCTTGATCGCCTTGTGCTTCGATTCCTCGAGTTCCGTTCTCAGTCTGTAAAAATATTCGTATTAATATGACTGGGAATAGCCAAGTTAAGGGGATGTGAAAGTGGCACCTGAGGAGTCAATCGTTTGTGACATTTTTCTCCGAACTGGGTGTACCGAATAATTTCAAGCTTTACAACGTGAATATGGAGGCAATGAGGAAGGTTCTGACGCCCATAAAATTTCATTTTTTATGCAAACTTTAAAGTGCCTGTGCACAAATGAAAAAAAAAAGTGAAATTTCATGGGGGTCATGACCTTCCTTGTAGCCTCCATATTCACGTTGTAAAGTTTTAAACGATCCAGTATACCCAGTTTGGATACAAATTTCATTCAAGGCCCCAGCAGAGGTACGGCGGCCATCCAGAGTTGTGACGCCAGAGGCGAGGAAATCGCGTAAAATTCCCAGCCGTTATTCGGCTACATTTTTCACATTTTACAAGCGCTTTCGTCGAAATTTGAGTGCACAGTTGTCAATTGTGTTCATTGTCGGGTTATCGTCTCGGAGTTGTAGGCATTTAACGGGCCAATTTTCGAGAAGCCATATCTCGTTTCGTAGTGCACGATCCGTCATAAATTGACCGGTTGACCCATTTTGTGAATACCTGGGGTATTCGGGTTCTGGTCTTTGTAGGTAAATATTCGCTTCGTAGAATACCGGTTTGAAATTTTTGCAGAATTTCCTCGCCTTTGACGTCATAATTCAAAATGGCCGACTCTACTCTACGGGGGGGGGGGGGGGGCTTAAGGCGACATGAAAGTGGCACCGGAAGAGTGAGCCATTTATGACACTTTTCTTCGAATTTGGTGTACCGAATCGTTTGAAACTTTTCCACCTGACTATGAAGGCTCTACAGAAGGTCTTGACAACCATGAAATTAAATTTTTTATAACAAAAATTGAGAAATGTTTGTAGACAAATTCAAAGCAAAGTCATAAACGATTTACGCGATTTTCCTATCACTTTAGGGTTTGTGAAATCCAGCTGCGTTGGAAAAAAACCTCACTTTTCCTCCTGTATCCTGAGTATCTCCTGATGAGCGAACTCAAAGTCTACCGGCTGAACAGAGACGTGCGTTGCACCTTGCTCTTCAAGAGGATTCGAGATCTTGAAGTAATGATTCCCACCGATGACCAACCGATCTCCATGATTGAGAAGAGTTCTGCCCGCCACTCTCTGATAAAAAATGAAAGAAATCTGAAGATCTCATTCTAAATAAATCCAAGACAATTTTAAACACACCGATGACGTCACGCCGAAGGACGAGTACCCCTTGTCAATATTTACCTGTCCATTAACAAAGGTGTCCGCCTCCTCTTCTGGCGACAGTATCACCTTCCCGTTCTTGTTCTCGATCGTGCTGTTAATTGCAAAAGCTTAGATTAATTAGCAGTAGTCACATCCGATTAAGATATAAAAACACCATTCCAATATAAAGCAAAAAATCAAGTGCAGGGATGCGAGCAAAAGAACGGTGCGATGTTACCAAATCCGTTGAAATCCACCGAGTTAATACAACAAATAGTTCCATAAATTCAACAAACCGAGTTTCTTAATATCTCAAGAAAATTCATCCAGGAATTTATGGAACCAGTTAATACAAGTTGCAGAGTGCATTCAAGTGAAACATGCCAGGGATAATTTTCGAAGATTCAGCTGAACGAAGCGATCCTGGGGGAATAACTTGTAGACTAGTTAACGTCTTCGGAAGAAACTTGGGTGTCGGTGTCCCCGAAGAAGGCCGTCCTACACGTGGGAGGTTCTCAGGAAGGAAGGCGTCCTTTCATCCCCATGCAAGAGAGGAGGGTGCGGGAGATTGTCTGAACTAACCAGTGCAGCTGCCTAACGAGAGGCCCTTCCAGAACGATTTCCGGCTGCTCGAATCTGGGGTTGGTGCACCGACCGACCCGAACTACACCGGGAGGAATCAGATACAACAATGTGCCGGACAACATAGGATCGGCCGCGAGATTGACCAAGCAAGGTTGAGAGGATTTTTCCCCTAGGTCGAACTCGACCGCGATGCCGCGACGTCTCAGATGTTTCAGCTCGGCCTCTTTCTTCAACTGCGCCTCCTGCAGCTTCTCTCCTCGCGACCTGGAAATATGGGAAGCTGCCCATTAAGTAGCTTCGCTGATTTTTCTTCCTCCCCCCACAGTCTCAACAAAGCTCTTACACCGATTCGATAAAAAAGGAAAAGTGAGTTTGCGAAGTTCATTCGAAGGAAGCCACGATACAAAGGCGTCTACCCTTATTCTTTGTGTAAAAACAAAAAAAGAAATTGTACACACGTAATGCGTGATTTTACAGAATTAATACATATAGGTTGATCACATGAAATATGGGATGAATTCACTTTTTCTTTTTTAACATCTTTTAATTAGGCCATTATCATAATTACGGCGATATAATCCGATTGATGTGTAAACACGTTGATCTGGAGATAACGATTATCATCGCAACGTTTCTCGAGCTTATTGCGATTCTGGAAGTCGTAGCCGGATCGCCAGAAATAAATCAAGGTTTTTTTTTTCATATTCGATTGTTGTACAACAATGGGAGGCAAGAAGCGCGATTAGAGGAGCACGTGAGAAAAAGTGCCAGTTCGTTTCACGGTATTGCCATTGTAAAGGCTACGGTCGTAGGCTCGAAATCGCGATCGACCGATACGATACTTTTTACTCCAATCCGTGGATTTCACACTTTTGGACGAAAGACGATTACTCCGAGCTGAGAAAAAGTAGCTCTGAAATAGTCGCTAAAAGGGACATGACATGCAACAACAGATAGAAAGAGTAACTTTACAAATCCTAACTGTACAAACTGTAGCTGCATATCTTATCCTTAATACCATTTTTTCTCAGCGTGCGGAACTCACGATCCTCTAATAGCGCAACAAGTGTCTCACATTTCGCGTTTCATTTATTCTTTTTTTTTTCTTTTCTGAAAGTGGTTCCCACAAAACAACCTCGCGAGGTCTTACATTTGCGTGAGGGCCAGCTCCTGTTCCGTTTTCCGTAGTTGTTCTCGAAGAGCGTCGATCTCCTTCTGCTTTATGCGCATCTCTTCGAGAGTTTCGCTTCCGGCTTCAGTTCCTATCTCAGATTCCACCGTCTTGTTCCCCAAATCCAAGAGTCGACGAGGAGGAACTCCGAGTTGCTTCTCATATCCCTCTCGGACTCCTCTGAGGCGCAGCACTTCGGCTTTCAGCTCTCTATAAAAATGATTAAAAATTACATTACTGTAATGTAACCTACGTAATAATTACTGCTAGACACGTCACGCTTTTCTACGGCACCGTTCTTCGTGAAATAGTTATCACGAGATTTGGACTTATCAACGGACACAACAGAAAACGCCCTAATTCGGATGGAAGTTTATGCTTGAAAAAAATATATAAAAATTAGGAATCTTTTTTTCACGGTCTTCCTTACCGAATGATCCTGTCGTGGGGGTCTTCATTGATGCGGATTCGATTGACAATGGCCCTGGCTTGACACGCGTATCGTAGGGTCGCCAAAGTCTCCTCCAAATGCACATTGGCCGGCGATACTGTTCCAAGCATAGCAGTCCTCGAATTCCCTCCGAGACTTTCCTGCATGCGAGGGTCAGGTTAAAAGAAAACATTTCGACATCACTAAATAAATCCATCTCTCACTTTGGGGCAATAAAATAGGATGGCATCTTTTTCAGAACCGTCCACGCAGAAAAAGAATTACCATTCATAACAAGACATTTGACTCGCTCCAACAAATGTGAACACTTGAAAATAGGCCAGCAAAAGCCTTATCTTTTAATCTAGATTAAGAATGAGAATTTTAACCTGGGACTAACGAAAGTGGAAATCCAATACAGGAAGTATTAAAACTTCTGCGTCGCGGTTTTCTATACAAAAATGTTTATCTCGGAAACATCACTCTCGAGTCATTATCAATAAATATCAGCAATATCGAGGTGCGACATTCGATTTGTGATACGGGAAGAAAGAACCTTTCACGAAGTGGATCGATGTAATTGATAGAGATCGTTATTGCCTGTAGATAATGTTTATTTCAATGAAGAGAATTTTCATAAGATCTGGAAAACTCCTTTTTTTTTTTTTAAATAAACTTGTTCTGCATATATGATGACATATATATCTCTTTCTTAAGAATTCCTCGAAGCAACCTTGAAGATGAACTTTCACTGAATATTTAAACGTTTCCGAAAGTCGCTCCACGATTTCTGATAAAGGTTCAATAAATTCGAGCGGGGCGATCCACTTTCACCAGATGTACAAATATTCTCAATAAAAAAAAAAAAAAAGGTTCGATAAACGTCGAGACGGAATTTAATCATGTGTAAAGATAAACTCTTTTCACGCCTCGACCGTTTCGAGTGGTTATCGATATCAGTAAAATCGGCGAAAAAAACCCGCGACATCGATACGCATTTAATACGACAAAAAAAATCGTTATCAAATGGGTTCGACTCGATTGAATGAGTCTAACGTCGTAGTTTAGTGTAAGTACATAATATTTGATCACGGGAACTCTTGTAAAATCCAGATAAGTTTAATCTGGATGCAATTAACGGTTTTATGACGATCTGAGAGAGTTTAATCGCATATCAGGAGATAACATTGTTTGAAACCAAGGTATAAGTAAAAGCCATTCGATCCCTACGCCTGATAAAAAAAAAAATAAATACATCAGTACACTGTCTTATCAAAATTTGCGACAAATTTGGACAATCACGCGAATCTTATCGCCTTCGAGGTGGGTGGGGCTGCGGAGAGAAAATCTCTGGAAATAGTAAGTTGTTTCCAGGAGAATTAATATTTCAAGGCCTCGAGCATTCACTTGATACAAAGAATAAATATGCAGGAGATTCAAATGACGGTCCGGGAGATACGAAATGAAAATACGCATTAATCAAGATGAAATGATTAGCTGGATTCTTCTTTGTACATATAAAAGTGCGATCATGAATTATCGCACAGATGATTGGTATATGAAATTGCGATAATCATAAATATAATCAAGTATAAAAACTTGACAACTGTGAATAAGAATGTATCGGCATATCTCCAGCGACGCCACATTTTAATTTGCATATCAAGTTCATTATTTCGTTCGTTTCGCTGCGTCGTTAAATGCAACTTATCCGAAGGAAGTAATTTCAATGAGTGTATTTAGCATCGAGGCGTTTCACGGCCGACTCGTTTGACTGCATCATTTGCGATTTATCTGCTTACTCGTCATCGGTTCATGTAAACAAGCAATCACATTTCGCTCGAATTTTTTGACGGGCGAATCACGTCTTTCCATTCCAGGATCATAATTGTGTCCATACGAAAAGCGTCATAAAATATAAAATTTTTACTCGGACCAATTAAGCACGTATTGCTCATTCCATCTGACAATTAATGTCCTCGACGCGTAAAGTTCATTATTCGATGAGCAATTTTAATCGTTCTACGGAGTGAAAGAGCTAAAAATCGAAACAGTGACCCGATCGTTGCATCAATTATAATTATTTATATCTCATATAAAATGGATAAAATCTATTTTTACCGTGTGCCGTCACAAGAGGAATTTTAACAAAAAAATTCTTAATATCTAAATAATATTTTTATTCTTAGCCACGTTATAGGGGATGTGTCATTTTTCCAACCTATGATATAACCTGTTCCAACCTATGATAGATAATCTTGCAATCATGGTACTCGATCAAGCTTAGTACCACAGTACTTATGACAGTTCTTCCCCGCATATTTTCTAGATATACATTCTTTTCACATTTCGCCTCGTTAATGATCCTCAGGATATCGATAAGTCTTCTCGACTGATAAGACGAGCGCAATACCTGCCCCCCGTATATGCTCGTCTCTTATCCGAAAAAAATCGACAAGGATTGAGATTATATTATTGCCCACTGTCACGTACGCGTAGAAAAAAAAAATTTGCTTCATTTAACAAAATCGTCCGATTGACTACATTTGGTTAATTTCAATTATCATTAACAAAACATTTCACATTCATCAGAACCTATTAGAATTAACAAAACATTTTTTTAGATACTGTTTAACGAAACATATCTTCGGTTCGATGAATTTTTTATCTCAGTATATATTTATGCCCCGACATTGGGTAAAAATGACCCAATTTCCGTGCAGGAGTTAATAATAACGGCCATTGCTTAATATAAAGATCGGCGTATCCGTTTCGAAAGGAGTACTACGTGCTCCGAGTCGCGTGCGCCGATCTTGCTGCGCAGGTTCCGCGGGAAAAGGGAAGAAAGGAATGGGGAGAGAGGAAAAAGAAGAGGCGGGACATATATTTCGCCCGTAGAGTCTACTGACGCGTACGTGACCGTCGGGGAGGCATACATTTCCCATCTGGCCATCCCGATTAGGTAGAAACGCGTTCCCTCCGTTCTTAGAGTCCTACGTGATGAGTGCAGCGTGCCAGCGTAGGGCCGACTAGGGCAACGCGCCAAACTTTGAGAAAACGGGAAGAGTGGGGATGGAAATGCGGGTGGTGGGGAGGAAAGCCGGGCGTTGATTGGTCGGCGCAGGCGGCGGCGCCGGGGAGGGGGAAGCGAAGCTTGCGTGGGATACGCGGCGCGTAGTACTCCAGCGGCGCCATTCAAAGTCGCGCGCAGTCGGTCGCAGTACGTCGCGCTCGCGAATAAACGAGCCAGAAGCGTAAAACGCGGAATCGAAAGCAAACGATCAGCTCGTATTCCCAGGCGACTTATAAACCGTATTCGCAACGCGATCTCCCGCAATGTGCTGACCTCTGGCGGTCGCCGTTTCTCTTTCTCTCTTCGGGTCCTTTGAATCTCCCGCCAGGATGGACCTCGTCTACATACCGGAAGTTCTGAGCTACGGCTGCCTGCGGAACGTCCAGTACCGGGACTATGAGCAGCCCTGGAACCGGGACTACTTCGATGACGGTAACGAGGATTCACCTTGTGACGTTTTCTTGAATTTTCGTTCGAGACTTTCGTATCCTTCGATATGGGGGCGTGCGAAAAGGCGAGGCCGCCCGCAGGGAACAACGACCACGGCGGGTGGAACGAGGCTCACCCGAGCGCGCCGAAGGCGGCCGAGGTTTGCCGAGGTTGCCCGAAGCGCGTTAGTGGACGCGCAACCCCTTTTGCGATGGCAGTCGCGCGGGGCGAGGGGAAACGTGTGGACCGAACCCGCTCGTGGCCACAGAGGGATACGAATGAACACCTTCGCGGTTAATTGGCGAAACCTCGTCACGAAGTTCATTGTTAATAAAAATAATTAATCAATTAATAAAAATTATCAGTTGACTCGAATAGTCTCTATAATAAACTCAAATAGTCATAATTCCGAAGAAACGTTGCATTCATTTTATTGAAGTTTGAGTAAAATCATTATTCTTTGAATTAACCAAATATTTCTACGATTCAATGAATTTTTCTCTCTCATGGTAGAACTCCTAAATTTATTTCTTACTCATGATCGTTAAAAGAAGAAAAAAATAGGTTAAGTGGTAATTAAAACGCTTTGCAACATCCTATATATCGCCGCTCGGTTCATTACTTCGCGTGCTAAGTATTCGCACTCCGTTCTTACTTGCAGGCAATTTTAATTCGAAACGAAAACTGGCTCGAAAATGGGCACAGAAAATCCAAAGGGTCGAGTCAAGGAATGACGAATGAGCGTCACGAGGTGTCTCATGATATCGCTTAACTTTTTATAGCGCCTTATGATACCGGTACGCGTTATAAATAGTTTAAGAGCAATCGACAAGTGACACCTCGTGACTTCGATTTATAATTACGAGCCGACCACACAGAGAAAAAGAGTAGGTTGACTCAAAAAAATATGCATTGCGGCAACAAAATCCTACGATCAAACACGTAGTCCGAAATGTCCGATTGAGTGCACAAAATTTCTTTAAATCAACAACAATTAATTTTAACTCAACGACTTCAATTTTTGCTTCTCAACAAAATAATTGTTCCTTGCATTCGTATATGATTCAGGCAACAATGTATATGTCAACGGTATATATTTGTTTCGGTCAACTAATCTTTTTTCTCAGCGCACTCCCGTTCGTTTTGTACCAAAGTTCCGCAAACAACGGAAACATCCCTATCGCCGATAGCGAAGAAACTTTCCACAGCTTTGATTAGTTACAGGGGAAGGAAAAGTCTCTTAACAAGGTCTGATAATCGAGGCCTGCGTAGCCGTTTTGCTTCCAATGTCAAAGCCGGTGAAAACCTTCCAGCACTACAAGTAAATTTTTTTTTCTTCTCTAAACGGCTCTATTTGAGTCATTCAATTTTCCTCTTTTAGCTTCACGTGACTAGAGCCAATGCGTCGACTCCATTTTCGTTCCCCATTAGAAACGCCGAGGGAACGATCTTGAAGAAAATGACGGCGATCCGATTCCGAGAGGCGGAAAGAATAAACGAATATTTCTTTTTGCACCACGGGAGAGGGAAATCGTTTCCTGGTTTATCGAGATATCGTGTGAGCTACTCAGGTGTCGCGTGATCTCATCTCTGGTTCTCGTACACGGGGTTTTATACAGGTGAACGACGCAGACCGAACCGCGAAAAGCGAACCCCGGATGAACGTAATCACGTGGACGTGAATTAAATCATTCTCTCCAATTATTTCCTCATTTTCTTTCTTAACCCTTAAACATAAATTGGGTCATTATCAAGCAATGTCATCATATAGTGAATCTGCTCTTTGTACATGCAATCTGGTACTTCACCACATCGTGCAGATAATCGATTAACAGTCGAAGAAAGAAAGAAAAAAAAATGTGAATCCGTTCCTTAGAGGATTTACATATTTCTGGCATACATTTATTGTTGCCAATTATTCGTATCAAATTGGTATTCAAAGCCTCCGATTTTTAAAATTGCCGGAAATTCGGTGAGATAATGTATGCTCACTTCGCGGTCGCCTTGAATAAAGACACCTGAAAGGGTACTATCAAAGCCGGGGAAGAAAAAAAGTTCATATCCGCGTTTACTACCGATTTGATGTCCTGGTATGTTTACATCGCGGTATCGTTTGCGATATACGTCTCGTACTACGCCTTAGACAGGTGAATGACGTTAATCTGGTCGCGGAAAAACAAGAATCAGATTGTAAATACACGGAATGGAGGGACGGATTTTTATCCCTGTTCTTAGAAGCCTCGTAGCCGATTTTTCGCAATGTCGCGTCAGAGGCGAATAATCGGGAACACTGGTCGTAAAGGCGGATTTCAAGAAGCGGGTATGAAATTACCGACGAGGGACGCGTAATCGAGCGAGATCATGCGTGGGCGCGAGTACGCACTGCGTTTTGCGCAGTACGTTTTCTCCCGTGCAGAAGCGTACATCGCAGGTACTCATCCGGATAGGTATATGCGATACGAATCTAACGAGCATATGTACATAAACACAGGTATATAAGTATATTAAACTGGTCGATGTAGGAGAACACGAACGCGCACCGAGGCTGTGTTTTGCATGGTGCGTTTCTCGGCGCATTTTTTTTTTTACATGGCCTTCGTGCAGATAAATATCTGGTTGAATCGATAAAATTTCCGTTGGTTCGGTATCATGGAATATGTTTTATAGAATATTAAACGGGCAATCAAATATACGGTTGACGTGACGAAACTTTTTGTTCATTGTATCAATGTTGTAGATTATATGAAATATCGTAGCGAATTTCGCACGTTTAACTGAGATGTTTAGTTTATCGATTGAAGTATTCCCTAAAGTTGGCAGAACGATTTAACCGTAATGCTTCGTTAAGTACATCAAGTGCTGTTAATCAAATGATTTCGTTCGAAGAATCAGATTTTTTTTTTTTCTCTACGTGTTGTCGGCACATTTATTGGAACGTTTTTAGATGTTTCGGAACGCATTTCACGTTTCGGACCTCATATTTTTAGCGATCCTTGGCGCATTTTTATGTATTTTTGGGCGCGTTTCGGGTTTTTGGCCTTTTTTATAGAGTTTCTTGGGACGTTTCACGTATCGAATCTGTGTGTTAAGCATTTCATAGTGTGTTTCACGACGCGTTCTTGAACACTTTTCTCCGCGCATTCCTCAGTACGTTTCTAAACTTGTTTCCAGGTGTGTCTCTAGATGTTTCCTCGCGCATAAGTCCGTATCGCAGATACGCGATAGGTACCCAACAGGTAAATAAACGAGTATATATCCGGTGTTAGCCGGCAGTCTAAAAATAGCGCTGTTAAACTGGACAGGGAGAGAGAGAAAGACGTACATCGGTATCGAAACCGAGTGCGTGTGCAGGAGGAACGAGAAAAGTGCTCCAAACCGAAGCTGTGCTAAACCGAACTTTTTTTAAAATAAAATTTAGCAAACGGTAACATAAACTTATACGTTAATAATCGCCACTCATACTTCTTATATTCGTTTCTCAGTTCAAATTATTCACTGCTAAACGCAGTACTTTCGACCAGGTAAGAAGAAAACGTGAATTCGGCGATTTTTTTCCTGCACGAAGATTCGTTATGAAAGAACGGCGATATAAACAGGCCGCTTGCGCCGAATCGGTGCATTTAATTTTCACGCCTAAAATCGACGCGATTGGAGACTTTACGTCGAAACGCATCTCGAAACGAAGTACTTTCGACGGGGACAGAAACGTGGATTCGGCGATTTTTTTCCTGTACGAAGACTCGCCAAGAATACACGGCGATATAAATAGGCCGCTTGCGGCTGGTCGCGACTGACGATGCGTCATGATTTACATACGAAAGTTTCCAACGGTTCGGCACATAACTGTGTAAAATTACTATGCATAAAACCCGACCGGTGAACGATGTTTAGTGTGGAATGAAAGCCCCTCCTAGAGTAACTCTAGAGCAAGAGACTTAGAAGAAGCCCCCGAAAGGTTAATTAATCCCGCCGTTAATCGACATTTTCGAGCCGTCCTCCTCAAGGCCTCGAAAGCCCCCCAGCGAATAGATTCCCGATCGCTCGTTTATCAAAAAAAGTGATAGACAGAACCAAGAGGGGGGGCACCGAAGGTCGCGAGGTGCGCATTTCTTTTTACCCACATCGTACAAAACCCCGTAATATAGTGTACCTCCAATTTCACGCCTCCCACGAAGTGCCAAAAAATGCTCGACCATGAAACCGACCCTGAAACGAACATCCACATTTTTTCCCCCCGTTTAGGACCTTGCCCGTATTACGAGCCCCGTAGAGAGAGGTACTGTAAAACACCTGAAATCGGGGGAATAAAAAATGAACATGTAGTAATAAGCGTAATGAACTATAATTGGTCTCCACGTGACTTTGGACCTTGCCGGTGTTGACGCAAAGTATGCGTCTCATTAGGCTCGAAATAGCGCGCGATTACTATTGAGGGGGGACCTGGGAAAGCCGGAAAAGACTCGGTGGTGGCCCTGAGAATGGTAGGGAAAAAAAAAAAAATAAGTCGTTTTCGTCAGCAATATCATACCGAGTCGCGATAATGGTGCGAGGCAAGGACCCGGCGCACGCGATCACGCTCGCCGCCGATTTACGTAAGAGTTTGAACGGAGGTTATGTCTCTCTGTCTATGTTTACGCCTATCTTGCGCTAAAAATAAACGGTGCTCTCAGGTCGCAAGTTCTTTCGCGGCGCTCGCCTCGAATTTAAATGGTGGCCGGGAAGATCTGGGAGAATCAAGGACGCCTCTCGACGGCGCGGCGCCGATATTTACCTCGAAATATACTTGCAATTATCGCACCGAATCGCGAATACAGGTTTTATCATTTTCTCTTTCTCTCTCTTGCTCTCTCGTTGTATCCGACGTGGATTCTGCGTCTTGGCTGTAGAAGTTATGGAAACGGAGAGGACGTCGATGTAACGCGAGTTCCAGATATTGCGCCGTTTTGGCTGAATCTTGAAATTGGGGTCCAGGGTAAGGATGAAATGTCAAAACTAGTACATCTGTACGGGATCCCAGGAGGGTTTGATTAGAAAAAAAATATTGACGTTTTTAAAATCTACTACTTCGGATCAGGGGGGACGTCTTTTGTCGGTTTTTTCATATCTGTCATTAAGTGCTTCAAATTCCTTGACGTACACTTTGTTACCCATGCATGAAGGAACATACGAATGGACAACGACGCTATAGTAACGATATGATACGTTCAAGTGCCCGGAGGACGTTAAACAGAGAGCGACTTCTAAGTTTACGCGATACCATGAACATAGTTATTTTAAAAAGTTAAAAGAAAGAAGACATCCACCAGTCTACCTCTTTAATATATGGATAATGGATATAATTAATCGATAAATAAAACGGATAACCATCATGGGTCTAACCTACTCCAACGACTTCTTTAACATTGTCTCCATTTCTGAGCTCCATGGTTTTAACCCGGTTTTTTTGTCCCCACGAAATGCAAATACAAATTGTATCGGGTTTCACTTTTCGTTCGGATTTGCCACGCAAAAACTCCACTCGCAATCGGACATTGAGGCCGGACCTCGCGCGTCAGCGAATAATTATTGGCAAACGCGAACTGTTCGCCAAAGTCAACTGGGGGTACTCCGAGGAGGAGATAAGGACGTCATCGTAGAACGACGCGAATGCAAATCGAGTCCCGGGCTTTGTTTTTCTAATTAATTGTATAACGGAATATCGCCGTCTCCTTTTTTCGCGTTTCAACGTTGTCACGCGAAAAGGTCGTCGGTTCGAAAGCGCGGCGATTTCTAGAAAACCGGTCGCTTTCTATCTCTCAATCAATTGAAAACGTGAAAAAGCGCGGCTCAATTTATTGCATCCTGTAGGAGGTAATCGAAGATCCCCGATGAAACTGGTCTGAAAATGCAAAGCGACTGGGGGAGTCGCCATTAACGTAAAAATGCACTATGCGAAGGCACGCCGCCTGGTCTTTAAAAGTCTGGCTTTCAAGAGGCGAAGGATTTTATCTCCCCGTTTACTTTACATGGGATGCAACAGATCTCTCTGTATATTAGGATTCTTGCACCGAGAAGAAAAAAAAAAACAATTGATTCAAGGAAAATGATAACGTTCTGCCAATTTCTTTAAAACTGTGGCGCGTTTAATTGCACCAAATAACGGCGCAATATTTTTATTCGATCTGTCGAAAGAAATTGATTTCTTAGCTATGAAAACATATTTGACTCCATTGAACCGCGGAGGAAAGCATGTATGAATATAAAAAAGAATATCATTTCTTTCAAGGAAATTATTTCTTCGAGTGGAGTTTAAGAAATGGAACGGATAGTTTCGATTTCTTGCTTTATTGATTTAAGATATGAAGTATCCGATATCAGTGTAGTGCATTCGGCATTTTTGAGCGAAGGCTCTGTCTCTTTGATTTTATGCTACGGTTTCTTTTACTCCATTCGAATAAATAATTTCATTGAAAGGAGACAAATTTTTTTGTTTTCCTCGGCGTGAGTGAAAATTAGACAGTCATTTTGAAATAAAATTTTCTTCTCGACAGGGAGAACGGTGTCTGTGGTCAGTCAGCGACAGCAGCAGTATCAGCACCACAGCCACAACCAGCAACAGCAACGATCACAGTCGAAGGACCAATGTCAGTTGTGCAAGGAGAGCAAGATGCGCAGTTTGGCAGCCTACATCCGAGGAAAGACCCGGAAAAGCTCCTGCACGGAAATCTACGAAGCCGACGAGGATGTCGAAGAGGAGAACGCGAGCTCTGGGGCGAAAACCTGCGAGGATGCCCTCGGGAAAAAATCGAACTCCGGTGAAAAGGAAACCAAGCAACGCGGGAAGCGCGACGAGGTCGATCGCAGGTCGGCAAGAAATTAAAAGATTGGTACCGGTGGAGATTACTTTCGGTAATCTCGAAGAAAACGTTGCCTGAACGGGTCGATTCGGTCGATTGTGACATATCCAGAGTTGGATACACTCCCGCCCTCGTATTGAACTGCTACTATACTGGGATATAGTGGTCGAGTGGCAGTCACCGATACCATTGAACTGCATCGATCATTTTTTAACTCGGTGGCTATCTTTCGGTAGTTTCGTCGGAAGTCTGAGTAATGGTTCGATACGGTCGATCGTGTTACCCGCGTCGGTACCGATACGTCGTGCGATTGAACTGCATCGATCAGTCCTGAACTCGACGAGGATCCATCGTGGATTGGCCAGCTGTCGTCAGTCGAAACTATTCGCTACTATATTGCCATATCCATGACTGGGTATACTCATCGAGTCGCAGTCCACCGATATATCGGTACCGATGCGTCGCACCATTGAACTGCACCGACCACTCCTGAACCTCGACAAAGATCCTCTGTGAATTGGAACTAAAAAAAATGAGAATTGATTAGCGATGACGGCAATTACGATGGTATATGGTCAAAGTACGAGAAAGAAAGCGTGGAGAACCTGAAGGAACCAACTCTAAGTCGGTGAAGTCTTGGAAGTGGAACATCGGGGCCGCAAATCGACCAGTTGGAAAACTGGGCGTATACGCAAGATTTCGTGCTGTGATCGTCCGATCGCGTTTCGGCAACTTTAAAATGTGAAAATGCGCGGACTAGAGAAGGGACTAGAAAGCGACTATCGACCGGGACGTATCCCTCGGTAGTTTCGCCTAAAGCCGTAGCGTTAAGCGTTCGTTCTATGCCGAAGAGGAGGTAGCTGCTCTCCACCTCGGCGATGTAAATTCTTAAGCATACTTTTCAGAATCATCTAGTTTAGAATATGGGAACGAGTCGTACATACCGCGCACGAGGGAACCTAGTTTCTCGTGCGCAGCCAACATACGTTCTTGAAGACCAAGTAAACGCGCACTCAAAGCCGGTCTCAGGTGGGCACTGACGTGCAAACACGTTTTCAATTTGCACATGATATTCGTGATGTTTCTCCCTTGGCGGGAAGTTAGATTTTCAGTTCCGTGAAGATCTATCCAACGGTCGATTCTGTGCACGCGTTCTCTAAATCATTCGCATATAAGAATCTAACGTCTCGCTCTGAATAGCTAAATCGTTGGATCCGTGCTCATGCCTTTAACGTTAAAATACGTCTTTTATATGTAGTATTTAAGAGACAAAAATACATCATTTAAATGTATTTTAACGCTACAAGCGAGGTACGAGTAAGACCCTTAACGTTTAACAGCAGCAGAGGTTTTCAGAACGAATAATGCTAATTATGATACGCGGATACGGAGGTGCTGTATCGTTTACTCTTAAGGTTCACTTTTCACGTCGAAATTGTACGATCGGTAAGCTCCTGTTGATGGCGTTTCGATTCCTAAGCGTTTCTCCCTACGACCAATGTTGCAATACCCTGTTGGATATGTATTTTATTTAATACAATCACGGTATGATGGCGCGTTCTCAAAATCGCTATCGTTAGACCCCCGGTTCTTGAGACGCGTGGCTTGAGTTCTAAGCCAAACTAATAAGACTGATTATTGTATCGCGGTAAGAGTAAGCATAATTTTTATGATAGGCAGACTTCCTATCGTATAACTTTCGACCAACAGATAAGCGCCGCCAGATATACTATCGTTCTATTTGCTTACGTAGGTGTAATAATTGCCCGGGTGACTGTTTGACGCAACGCGAATGGGAAATTTATTCGTTACTTAATCAATGTTAATTAATGTATTATCTTCGTTTTGAGTATTTTTAAATATACCGAGGAGTATATTGGGAATTCGCATACGTACAACTCGATCGGATAAATATTATCTCGGCAGAAAAAATTGTTACGGTACGTTACCGAGGCCATTGCGTTTCTTTTTGGAATTAGAGGACTTTTCATTGTTAGTATTCATTGAACGAGAATTCCATCGATTTTGACCGTTGGCGAATGATTGTATTTTTCTAACACGGCATCTGGACATTCCCATTGTTGTTCGGCCATGAGACATATACGCGTCTTCCACGATTCACTACGTCATATTTGATGCACTGCAGCGTATTTACAAGTACTGTTTTATAGTTGAATAAAATACGTTTCTACTAAGCTAACAGAGGCGTGTATTTCTTGAGGACGTGGTGTCGTTCAAATGGTCCATCTGTTAGCGATATTAAATTAAATAACTGGGGGTCTTGTGTCACGATAGATAGCTGAGCATATCGAGAGGTTGATAAGCAAACATTAAGTGAGTGTTAAATGTAAGTGAGAAATTGCGGTAGTATTTAGAATTTTGCAAGTCAATTATTGAGTTGTTCCTATCGGTGATACATAATAATGGGTATAATTAAACAATCTATAATTGTCAGCGCAGTACGTGAGCGATATTTACGATATTCTGTTAACCTTAGGGAATTTAGAGCATCTTGATAACGAAAAACCGAGCTATGTATATTCACGTGTTGCACTTACCTTTAAAAGCCACGTGAGAACCGATTCCCTATAAGGCACAAATCCATGTTTTTTGTTGGTAGCGTTCTCTGCAAGACAGCCAATCACCTTCCCCAGTATTAACAGAGACTTGTTGATAGAAACTCCTTCCTGAGAAAAAATAATTATTTACATCAGTAGAATAGCACGAGAGCTTTACTAACGATATAAAAAGCTTTGATGGCGTAATTTCGAAATTTTACCCTTAATCTGTCACCGCTAGCACAAGTTTGGCTTAACCTCTCGCTGCCAGCCAAATCTACAAGATTAATTTTGCTGCGTCGACTGGAATCTCCTTCGTCAGCATTGTTAGATTCATTGGATGGTCCATTCTGACGTGTTTGAGTCAGTACTATACTAAATATACTATGAGATCTGGAACTAGTTTCATTCATGCCAGTTGCTGCTGTTGCTCGCTGAGAGTTTCCAACTTTTAACCAAGCCTAAACAAAACTATCGAGTTACAATACATGTTGTTTGATAAATAACAAATTGAAATTAGGGTATAGTTTACTACAATCTGAATTACCTGGAGATCTTCGTAATTTTTTATACCACGCTGGCTCAAATCCACGACATATGGACCAATGAGAGGGTGTTCTCGTACTTTGAGCGGGGCTCTTTTGTTCCCTACTCCATTACTGGCCAGAAGATCGTGTATCTTCTCATTATAGATTTCGAAATAACTGATATCAACTGTTGTTACAACACGAGTATTTTTCGAAGAACGAGATAATATCTCTTGACAAAATCTGGGCACAATACCCGCTTCTGCTCCTAGGAAGGTGGTTTGGACTTGCGTTTGCTCAGTACCCATCATGCTGTAACTTTTACCAGACCCTGTCTGACCGTACGCAAAGAGGCACACATTGTATCCTTCGAAGGCACTTTGAACCAGTGGTAATACCATAGTATTAAACACTGTCTCTTGACTGGCGTGTCCCGGTGTACATGCATCAAGATGAGACACAAAACAGTGATCATATGAGAAGGTATGTTGTGAAGATTCACAGTCCACAGTTATGCTCTGACCATTTATCTGAACAACTGGAAATATCTTAGGCTCGTTTACTTCCCTGTACATAAGAGTCCGAGAATGATTATTAATTCCTATAAAATAATTATAATCACAGAAGCTATGTATTTACTAAAAATTTTGATTAGTGCTTACTTAATGTTCAGTGGTCTAACTCGTATTCCAACCGTTAAATTACTACTTTCTCCTTCTGATTGCTCGTCAATTCCCATGTCTTGCTTAGGTTTCGGCGTCTCCATTTGAACTCTTGTATAATATTCTGGGGTTGCTTGGGGTAATGATCTGTCACTAAAATAACGTTTTATTGGAGTCCCGCACGACGTTGAAAGGAGTGCCCTAGATCCATTTGTACGTTTAGGTGTGCAGAAGTGGGTAACGGGAGTTTTATCTCCAGATAATCGAGAGCTCGATCCTACTCTTGAAGACATTTTTAACTTTTCCTCAGAATGGGATCTCGTAGACAACCCAAAGTCTTGCTTTGGTGATATGGCAGATTTTGAGCGCACTAAGCTCGATGCCTGTGAATCACTCCTATTACCCTGGCGCATTGGCGATTCATCTTGTTTCTTAAATTTGTACGATACAGGAGTTGTACTTCGTTTTGACGTCGTAGGAAGATCAGTGAAAAAAGTTGGACAACCTTCCCGAATGCTAAAAATATTTTTTAAAACTTAGCATTGATCATTAAATAAGAAATACATAATTATTAAGGAATTACAATTGTTCTCAGACTACAAGAAAAACCATATCTATAACAAAACATTCATGCTGACGGTAAGAAGGGCTATCTTACAAAGGTACAAGTAATCGGAATTATAACCCTATATGCTTTCTGACCCTTTTTTCAGGGGGGGGGGGGGGGTAAATAAGACACCACAAAAATGTTTATGCATGGGAAGATTTATGCCTTTGAAAAATAACTTCTACCAAACATAGACTAGCGGAAGATTCAAGAAAGAGAGGTATTCGTAATCAAACGCAAATTCTACACAAGACAGGAACGTAAAACAGAATCACTCACGCTCTTTCAGCGAAAAGAACGTTGTCAGCGCTGAAGGCAGCGGGAGAATGCGAGAAAATAGCATTGCAAGATCCGTGATGCTCCTTCGGTTTCGTGCTTTCGTTTGGCATTCTCGTAGAATTTAAGAAAATCTAATAAAACACCATGCAAAACAATGCCCGATTCTCGAAGTGAGTATAACCTGCTCGGCTCCTCGGTAATTCGTCTAAGATAGAAAAACTCGGCGTGGTTGCACTACAAAAATTATTACGTCACCCTGGCTGGAACAATAAACTGCAATAAACCACGATCAAAATAATTCTGGCAACCAAACTTGAAAATCTAAAGGGCACATAACGACCATCGGTCCGTAGAACATTCGTTAAAATACAAATGTTTTGATTGTCACGATACCGCGAATGCTTTCGAATATGATTGGTCCATTATTCCGACGATTTCTTGCATTATGATTTGTTAAAATGAAACGATTTCTATTGGATGGATACAACGGAATCGGCCAATGAAAATTATGTTTATCTGAATTACTGGATATGTTCGTAAAATAGCACCGACAACGTAATGACGTCAAACAATTATTTGAGTTGCTTGGCTGTCATAAACTGGTTCGTGAATAGATAACAGACAGAGATGAGTTGGGAGATTGCTCACGGGCAGGGTCGTGTGATTGCATCGTGTGCTGCCCTCTGGTTTCGTACGTTAGCTTTCACCGTTTTTTGCCCCCAACGGCGGCGCAACGAATTTCTGATAGGAGCTCGCACACTCGCGATGGCGCTACCATCTACTAGTCGCCGTTGGCGGCTCACGTACTCGTGATGGTTACATCATGCGGCAGTTGGCTTACCTACGCTTACCGACACTGCTGGCTTTTGACGGTAAGGGAAGAACACTCGTGACGCTCCATTTGACTTTATCTACTTATCAACTACTATTAAGTACATTGTTGCCGCGAAGTCGACGTGATGCGGAGCTTTGGGGCACACGTCGGTGTGTCGCTTACGGACTCTCATGCAGCGAATCGGTGTAAGTGCGATCGCTCCTAGAAATCTACGCGCGTCCCAACCAGCCAAGCGCCAAGTTTCGGGTCGAGACGTTGAGTATGTGTGCATTCGGCGCTACACTCGACAAGTATGCGTGAGAGTCGAATGCTGCGAAAATCCTCCCGAGGCTTACCTAACCCCGGATGTAAGCCGAGTCATTTCGCGTATGATTTATTTTTCATTTCCCTACTAGCGTTATCGAGCGTTTTTCAACCGTTTTCGACCGTTTTCGAGCGTTTCTCGATAATTTTCAGAGCGGTTTCGAGCGTCGTCGAGCGTTATCGAACGTTTTTCGACCGTTTTTTAACGTTATCGAGCGTTTCTCGATCATTTTCAAAGCGGTTTCGAGCGTTTTCGAGTGTTTTAAGACCGTTTTTGAGAGTTACCGAGTGTTTTTCAACCGTTTTCGAGTGTTTTCGAGCGTTTTCAGTGTTTTGGAGTGTTACCGAGCGTTTTCAGAGAGTTTTCGAGCGTTCTTCGAGCGTTTTCGAGTGTTAGCGAGCGTCTTTCGAGCGTTATCGATCGTTATCGAGCGTTGTCGGGCGTTATCGATCGTTTTCGCGCGTTTTTCAAGTGTTTTCGAGTCTTATCGAAGGCTGTACAGTGCTGTTGCGTGTTGTTAAGTGCAGTAGAGTGCCGGAGAGTGCCGGAGAGGTGCCGAACAGTGCTGGAGCGTGCCGGAGAGTTGCGGGAGAGAGCCACAGAGTGCTGGAGAGTGCAGGAGAGTGCCGGAGAGTGCCGGAGAGTGCCGGAGAGTGCCGGAGAGTGCGAAAGAGTTGCCGCAGAGTGCTGTCGAGTGCCGGAGAGTCGCCGGAGAGTTGCCGGAGAATTGCCGGAGAGTCGCCGGAGAGTTGCCGGAGAATTGCCGGAGAGTGCAGGAGAGCACCGGAGAGTGCCGGAGAGTTGCCGCAGAGTGCCGGAGAGTGCCGGAAAGTGGTGAAGGGTGCAAGAGGGTTGCCGGAGAGCGCCGGAGAGTCCCGGAGAGTGCCGGAGAGTTGCCGGAGAGTGCCGGAGAGTGCCGGAGAGTGCCGGAGAGTGCCGCAGAGTGCCGGAGAGTTGCCGCAGAGTGCCGGAGAGTGCCGGAGAGTGCTGGAGAGTGCCGGAGAGCGGCGGAGAGTTGCCGGAGAACGCCGGAGAGCGCCGGAGAGTGCCGAAGTGTGCCGGAGTGTGCCGCAGAGTGCATTATATTGCATTAGAGTGCATTGGAGTGCAGTAGCACTCTAATTAGAGTGCCCTAATTAGAGTGCATTAGAGCACTATAATTAGAGTGCCATAATTAAAGTGCATTAGATCACTATAATTAGAGTGCCATAATTAGAGTGCATTAGAGCAGTCTAATTATGGCACTCTAATTATCGTCTCGACCCGGAACTTGGCGCTTGGCTGGTTGGGACGCGCGAAGATTTCTAGGAGCGATCGCACTTACACCGATTCGCTGCATGAGAGTCCGTAAGCGACACACCGACGTGTGCCCCAAAGCTCCGCATCACGTCGACTTCGCGGCAACAATGTACTTAATAGTAGTTGATAAGTAGATAAAGTCAAATGGAGCGTCACGAGTGTTCTTCCCTTACCGTCAAAAGCCAGCAGTGTCGGTAAGCGTAGGTAAGTCAACTGCCGCATGATGTAACCATCACGAGTACGTGAGCCGCCAACGGCGACTGGTAGATGGTAGCGCCATCGCGAGTGCGCGAGCTCCTATCAGAAATTCGTTGCGCCGCCGTTGGGGGCAAAAAACGGTGAAAGCTAACGTACGAAACCAGAGGGCAGCACAGGATGCGATCACACGATCCTGCCCGTGAGCAATCTCCCAACTCTTCTCTGTAGATAATTTCCCAATATGCGCCTACAATTATTTATTATTATGACAGTGTAACAATTTAAAAGTCTTGAGTGTGTCCTGTATGTAAAGTTATTAGGTGGATACATAATTATTGCGATACTGTAAGGTAAAAATGAAATAGCGAAGAAAAATATTAATGACTCACTCACCTAGTAATTCAGTATATCTAATAATTTATACTTTGGCTGTAATTGTAGTGTTATTTAAATTATTATGAAGATTTACTTTAAGCTTAACTTCTGTTTTGTTTACAGAAATAAGATGTCAGACCTGATCAATTTACAATCAGAAGAAATTGGTCATGGTTGATGCGTTAATGATGACCCGTTCTATTCCTGTTAATGAGAAGTTAAGCAATAAAAATTACGAATCTTCAGCTTTAAGTATCACAGTTCTGATTTTTTCTGTTTCACGATAGTTTTTAAATATTAACTTTTTGTAAATACAGAAGTAAAGGTTTTTTAAATATGAATCTTAAGGATCCAAGAAAGAAGAAGAGAGTGCGACTGCAGGTTCAAGAACCGTTTCCAATACATGTAGGTAGAAAGGATGAATGGGCTTTATATACTGCTCATCTCAGCGCTACTGGGACATGTATCGTCGATCCTGATGAAATGGAAGCTGTATATACAATGGTAAGGTTTGCAAAGACATAATATGTTTGCATTTATAATCAAAGCACTCGTTATTTAGGGTTTTTTTGGCAAAGGCTCCTTGTCACGTAGTTATCCATCATTTGTACGTGAAAATTATAGAGCTCTTCCCACAGTCAGAAGAAGACAGTGGATGCGAAGACAAGAGTGGTGTGACGATGTTAGGAAATTTGATCTTGTATCTCGTTCAAATGATTTGAATGAAAAAATAAATAATGAGATTAATGAAGGTACACAGAAGTGTTCTGACAACCCACCCAAAGTGACATGTGAAGATCGTACACAAAACTCACAAGGTATTTAAGTTCTATTAAAAACAACTTATACATACTTTTTATGAGAAATTTGTTATCTTCGTGTTTATAACTAAGTTTCAGATGTTGAAGGAGTTTCTTTGAAGATTGTATCTCCAATCACCGATTTACACAAAGATTCATCACTCGATGATGAAAATACAAAAGAAATTTTAAAGACCACAGAAGAAAATATCGTTGAAGTAATTCTTGATTCTGCAGAAGATGAAGATGTATGTGAAGTACCAACCGAGAACAAAGAAGTCATTTTGTTAAATGATGAAGAAATAGAAGTTACAAACACTGCAGGCAATTCCTCTAAATACGTGGATGAATATGATGCTGAAGAAAAAAATGTAGCACAATTTAGAAAAATCTTGGTACTACCAGATAGTGATTCAGAAACAGAAGATTATTTAAAAGAAGTGAAGCCAAAAGTAGAATCAGAGGGTTTCCCAATCCAGGAAACCCTGCATCTTACTTTTCAGGAAACATTTTTCTTGATGTTTGGACTCAGTTGTTTACAAGTGATTAATTTTGATGGTAATGCCCTTAGTATACAAGATGTATGGACTTATTTCTCCAAGGAAGATCAACATTTTATTCAAAAATATATTGTATACCATTACTTTCGAAGTAAAGGATGGGTTGTAAAACCCGGTCTTAAATATGGAGGAGATTATTGTAAGTAACATATCTAACCTTTTAACCAATTACCATTTATTATTTTCAATAAATTATGTATTTTTTGAATAGCTAAATTTATAATCTTGAAATCAAAATGGTTTTGTCATGAATTAAGTACAATTTGTTGATTTCATGTTTTTTATTTAATTTACAGTATTATATAAACAAGGACCTCCATTTTATCATGCTTCCTACATAGTCATTATAGATGTTGTTAATGCCGATACATTAATTAGAGAGTCCGATAAGGCAATTCACAAATTTACGTGGGATAATCTTATTGGACTGGAAAGATTATCTGAAACGGCAGCTAAGGTATGTAGCAAAAAACGGAGAAGTACTTATAGTATCATCAGCAGTGGATTATAATTTTTTATGCACACTCAGCATGTACAAAGATATCAATAGAGATATTATTAATGCAGTATATTTTTTAGGAAATACTATTTGCTCAAATCTTATGGCCTTCATCGCTGTGTCAGGATACAAATTTATTACATCCAAATTCATTATCAGAATTTACTGTCAAAGAAATATTGTGGAGACGATGGGTACCAAAGCAAACTAGAGAAGTAATTTATGTTGAAGAGGAAGATGAGGATTCTTCATAAGAACTTGTATACAAACCAACTTATCGATAAACTATGCAAACAATAAATTTATTTTATTTTTTACTATCTCTTCACTATTTTTGTCTTATCTTCGGCTTTGAATTAAAGGACTGTCTGATGCTGTTTTTTACTCGGGTTCTACCTTACGACTGTATCTTCCTCTGTATCTGGTCTTCGGAATTCCAGTTCTTCGGTATTCACTTCTTTCTTCCAAATACTCTTGTGTACATTCTTCTCTTAACTGCTCATTTGTAAACCATTGTCGTAAGCAAGTTTTAAAATCAGCATTTTCTTTTCTACATGCCACTGCTAAGAACAAGTTTGAATTCTTGCAACACTCACTAAACGCTGTAAAAATACATATTAGTTTTGTGGGGCAAGATGCATCTTACATTTCCAAATAAAATTACAAAAGACTGTCTTGATTCCTTATAACAAGTGGAAACAGATTAATATAACTTGCAGCTCGGAATGAAAAAGCTTTACCTTCAAATTCAGCTTTGCATTTCTCTTTCTTTGATTTGACACGCATTTTTTCAGTAATAATAACATCTCTTTCTAGCTTTCTAAGAGATTTATCATCTGGATCACCTGGAAGTACCACATAAATAAGTAACAAATAAAACTCTTCAATCTATATAAAGCACATAACTTTGCAATGAACAATCATCACTCAAATTACATGAAATTCAATTCTAGTCTTCAGTAATGTTATCATTACAAATTTCAAATGTTACATGTCGGTAACAGTGAATATTACAAATAATAATATATAATGACAAAGAACTGTTATAATTTATAATATCAGTAGGTCGCCCCTTCGTAATTTTTATTAGTAAAGGACAAGTTGGCAATTTAATATCACTCGCTATTAAAAAAAAAAGGAATAAATATAACCTCAAAAACGCCGAACATAACCTCTATTATTAAGCAAGCAGTCAGTGAATGAAAACACAAAGCAGTACAATATTTTTTCTGGTTTTATTGCGACTAATTATAACTCATAACACGTTCTAAAATCTTTACCTAAACCGTGCGGACCACCTCCATATCTATTTGGTAAAACGCCGTAAGTTTTCTGTGATTCCGCGTTTTCGACCATGGCGACATTTGTTACCCGTGATGCGCTGCTTGTGAGTTAGCAGATTTGAGGTTGTCACAGTATTGTTTGAAAGGAATGGAAAGTAAGATCGTTCATTCCCCGATTACAGTTGAATAATCGCCATCAAAAGTGACGCCTCAGTTTTTATTTATTAAGTAAGTAAAGTAGTTACTTTGATATACCGTGAAACGATTAAATTGTAAATAATGCAGCTATTATGCGAATCATGGTCTAACATAACCGCAATCGGATTTCAAAGAAGCTCACAATAAAGTGGTATATAGTTTAGAAATTGACGGGGCCTGCTCATGTAAGTCGGTTTTAATTTCAGATCTTGGAACCGAAGCGAAAAGAAAAATGGATAGGCTTTTGAGGTTAGGTAGTGGTATGCCAGGTCTGAATCAGGGTCCTCCGCCTTCCGATGGGCCTGTAGTGGATACTGCAGAACAGGTAAAAAATACATTATTTTCTGCCAACAAAGTTTGGTTATCCACATTTTCTTTTGCTAGTTGGGGTTATAAAACACTTGTTTTCAGGTTTATATCTCTTCGTTAGCTTTGCTGAAGATGTTAAAGCATGGTCGAGCTGGAGTTCCGATGGAAGTGATGGGATTGATGCTTGGAGAATTTGTTGATGACTATACCGTGAGGGTTATCGACGTCTTTGCTATGCCTCAAACAGGGACTGTATGTTTTCGTGATACTATAGGATTATCGCGTTGTATTATTTAAAAGATGACACGTTTAAAATACTTCGATGTTTGTAAATAGGGTGTGAGTGTAGAAGCTGTTGATCCAGTATTTCAAGCAAAAATGTTAGACATGCTGAAACAGACTGGAAGACCAGAAATGGTTGTTGGATGGTATCATTCACATCCTGGATTTGGTTGTTGGCTTTCTGGTGTTGATATTAATACGCAGCAATCGTTTGAAGCACTTAGCGAAAGAGCAGTGGCTGTTGTTATTGATCCGATTCAGTCCGTTAAAGGAAAAGTAGTCATCGATGCATTTAGATTAATCAATCCTAATATGATGGTAAGTAATATTATTTCAAATTATTCATCTTATCGAATTGAATAAAAAAAAATGGCTTTCTTTGTAAAGGTTCTAGGCCAAGAACCCAGACAAACTACCTCAAATTTAGGTCATTTGCAAAAACCATCTGTTCAAGCACTGATTCATGGGTTGAATCGTCATTATTACAGTATTAGTATTAATTACCGTAAAAATGAACTTGAACAAAAAATGCTCCTGAACTTGCACAAAAAGACATGGATGGATGGTCTTACTCTTGCCGAATACTCAGAACATAGCAGATTAAATGAAAGCACTGTCTCAGATATGCTTGAACTTGCTAAAAACTACAACAAGGTAAATTATATTTCCTTTTAGCATTAGTTTTACTTTACACTAGATAGAAAATTTTTATTTATAGCAACATGACTACAATTGTTTACTCTGAAATTTTAGGCATTGGAAGATGAGGAAAAGATGACACCTGAACAATTGGCAATTAAAAATGTTGGTAAGCAAGATCCCAAACGGCATCTCGAAGAAAAGGTTGATACTCTAATGACCACAAATATTGTACAGTGTCTTGGTGCTATGCTCGATACTGTCATTTTCAAATAACTATTTCGTAATTTACTAATTGCAATATAATTAACACGACAAAAATACACGACTTTATAAAATAAAACCGTTTTACAGATTTTTCTTGATGTTTTTGTACCATTATTTTCTTCTTTAATTACTAGTACAATTTACTAATTCTAGCTTTGATTTTAATTTGAAATGGATTATTTTTTAACAATAAAATATTAGCAATTTATTATTACCAAAGTTGGTACAATGTGGTGCAATATTTACATAGTGAATGAAATGTCTTGGCAAATGTTATCCTCACTTTCTTTATTACAAGTGATATCACTAAAAAGGAAAAAAAATATATATTTTTAGAAAATAATCATCGTCAACATGATCAAGAATGGAAGCATACATTTACAATTGATGTTTATCTTGAAAACATTCTTACACAGTAATTAGAAATTATAACAATTGAGATAAAAAAGCGAATATTTCAAAATAGTTTTTACTGGTTGCATATAAAATCATTTAGCTGTATTTGTAAAGGAAAACATAAAAACTTTATTATAATCTTGCAATCACTTGGAAAATTTCAGTGCAAAACATTCACTAGTAACTGAACGTTATATGTAGTAACTGAATTTCTTGCATACATCTTGTGATAATCTATGGGAATGATTAGTAACAAAAATAAATGAAGTCTGAACCAATTTCAACTCATGTATAGAAATTTGTGACAACGCATTATTCTATTAAGCCATGTATCTCAATACTTCCTCCTCGCAAAAATGAGAAGGATATTGAAACAATGAATATTTTTTGCGCCGTACTTGTCCTGTATGCATAATTTTTGTACACTTTCAATGACCACTGAATACCAGTTATATTATAAAATGTAATTAAAAAATTAAACTACGATATTATATGCGCATTGTATACAACTAGTTTCATATGTAGTAACATCGGTGATAGTACTTTTTCATTCTGCTGGAACGCACTTCGATAATGTTCGTTTTTTTTTTAAGGTCTGGCTGTGCAGTACACCTTATTGTGAATCACTGACTGTGTTTACATTTTTCAGAAGCGCCACCCTTCTGGGATATAATACCCATAATTACAATTGTATCATTACAACTCAGTTCAGAATAATTAAGAAGTCTCTTCGGTTATCGTTGGAGCTTCTTCGTCTTTATTCTTTTTCTTCTTCTTTTTCTTTTGCTCCTTCACTGGTGATTCCTGTAGAAATAATAACAGCATTTACAGGTGTTCAGATTAAAAAAAGACAGAGCAAAAATATTTGCCAATCGTTACCTCAGTTTCAGTTTTAACCTCGGAAGGCTCACACTCTTCAGCTTCCTTCTTCTCCTTCTTCTTCTTCTTCTTTTTCTCCTTTTTCTCCTTCTTCTTTTCTTTCTGTATCTCAGTTTCTTGACTAGCTTCGACTTTAATTTGCTCTGGCCCTGTCGTGTCCATAGGTGTAGATATGTCCACAGGTTTAGATGGGGTTGTAGTAGACTTATCAGGACTTTCAGTTGATATTTCATCTCGCTTCCTTTTTTTAGCAGGAGTTTCTTGCACTCCATTTTCCTCCGTCTGGAATTATAAATTTTAAATGTATCATCTAAATGAGATTTAGCGTGTGCATCTTATTAAAGTAAGTCTGCGCACCTTAGACTCTGAATAATCAACATAAGATGAGAGCCAAGTGGATGGAGTATTCTCATTTGGTTTACCATGCTTATCCAATTTTCCTTCAACTATTAAGCGCTTCTTCTGAGAAGCTTTAGGCCCTAAACCCCATTTTCTTGGATATGCATCTCTCTCCATGATTACTCGCTTAATCTTAGCTACTACACCGTGATCACAAGCTGTCATCGTCGGGGATGTCATCAGAGCAATAGCTGTAAAAAAAAAAAAGAATTTACATTACATCAAATTCCTTGATTAAACTTCACTATCCTATAAATAAAGAAAATACCTAAAGCAATTGCTTCTCCTTTTGTAGTCACAATAACAATTTCTTGATTCAATTCAATTCCATCATCGTAAAGAAGTACGCCTGGTAACATTATTTTGGCACCATAACATATCGCATTCACCTGAAATTAATAAGTGGTTAGTTAAGAAATATGAGAGCTATAAAATATAGAATGGATAAAAGTAAAACCACAGAATACTTACAGCGCTATCCTTGACAATAATTCTTTTATGGTTAACCAGGAGGGCTTCTAAAGGCTTAATAACTCTTCGCAAATAGGAGTCGTCCCCATGATTCTCATACAGCCATTGGGCATCTAATATATCATGCATAGTTACCATACCATCTTTTTCAGATTGTATACCAGAACGATTTCGACGCAACTCCTGCATTTGGCATCCAGTACCCAAAAATAATCCAAGGTGGACGCAAATCGTTCTAACATAAGAGCCTGCCTCGCAGCTTACTCTAAAGACTCCCATATTGCGTTCTTCATCATAATCTAAAAGCCAACTATCATATACAGTTCTCACTCGGAGTTGGCGTTTGACTGCTGATATTAATGGAGGCCGTTGAAATAAAGCACCACGTAACCTTTCCAAAGCTTGGCCCACCTAAAAGAAATTAATATCATACCACATTTGTATATTTTTGTAGATAGAAGCTGCATAGAACTTGAATGAATTTAATATATACCTACTTTTTGAACGTTTTCAACTGCTGAGTGAAGTTTAAATACTGCAATATATTCCTTCCCTGCAGACTGCTGTGATTTGGCTAATCGCGTTGCTCTATCAATACAAACGATTAAACACCCTGATACTTTTGGATCTAACGTGCCTGAGTGACCAGTTTTTTCCACTTTTAATATCTTTTTTATCCATGCTACGACTTCGTGCGAGGAAGGATTCGAAGGCTTGTCAAGATTAATGCACCCTGATTTTACATATTCCGACAAACTACGATGCAACGGTGTAGAACCACTGGTCAAAGGGGTGAAATGTTTGGTGCGTGTTAACATTTTATCAAAATTCTGCAACATACAATGGATAGATTGTCACATAAATTCAAAAATTCACATGATTTATATTTACCTTGAAGAGTAAGGGCCAATCTTTGCAGTCCAATTTGACATCTCCAGACGATGGTTCTACGAGACATTTCATTCCCATCTGGATGTCTCCAAGAGACTTTTTGCTTTTCTTTTGCTTTTCTAAAACAGACATTTTTCCGGTTAACCTATAAATTTAAGTTCACGCTTTAGTTACTATGTATACCAACAAACACTGGAATATTAAAATTCCTAAAAGGTGCACATTAATTTAGTTTTCCTACAATCTTGTTCCCGCAAAAAACTAACATCTACATTAACGTAATTAAAAAAAATTCGAAACACGTGTTTACCGCTAAATTATTTTCATGGTAATCATAACAGAAAAACAAATTCAAATTACAAAATGCAACAAAAAGTTGTTATACGCGGATACTTTGATAATTTACATTGATATTTACCAACTTCTGCCATTTTTAAATCGGTAAAGTACGCGTTAATGTAATTACAAGTTCCTATAACCTAGAAACATGCTATCCAGCCACGATACAACTGTGGCATGGCACGCTAAAGCAACAGATGCCATAGATCATGAAGTTAACTCAGATTATCGACCGTATCGCAAGAATTTAACAAAACTTCTGTTAATGGGAATCACATTCTACTATACCGATCACAGAGAGAGCTTCAATCGCTACAGTTTCCAGAAAAGTTACTAACAATTATTAAAATAAAGGCGCTAGTAAATTATTCATTAAATACAGATAAAATATTACATGTTAGTATTTTGGATTTCATATGAAATAATTACTTTCACTGTCATGTAAATTCCCTTACAAGATATACGCAATTAGGGTGCGTACGATTAATTACGTGAAATTTTGATATGCATATAAAATTATCTAATCAAGAACGTGGTAAACAAATTATTAACGATGTACTAAATGAGGAAGCGAGAACATATTCCTGCCTGCGCAGTAAATTAACCTTGAATCATGCGCAAGAGCAGTCAGCCACACGATTTCCAGTTACGTGATTGGTTGACTTAAATTTAAAATGGCGGCGGTAACAGAACACACCCAAAAATGACGTCATGTTGAAGACGTCTAGGGTTAAATGGAGAACATCTAGGGTAATCCCAGAAACAACCTTATGGGCGGTTCTCAACGAACTAAGCTGTTGTTGCCGATTGGTTTTCCACCAATTGAAAAGCAACAGAAATGTTCAGTAATGATTTCGTGTTCTGCGTGACATGAAAGTGGCTCCCTAGTGCTCGCACTATTCGTGAAGCGCAACGTCGCCATTGTCAGTTCCGTTTTATGGATAAAGCTCGAGGTTCGTTTACGAAGGTTTGCAAGCTATTCAAGTTTGGACAGGTTCCGACAGGTTTGCGCATATTTCCTTCGTACGACTTTTGGAGTAAGGGAACGGTAGTCGTTATGTTCCGTGGCAATCTTTTTTATGGTTGCACGGTTGACAATTCTTCGATAAGTGGTCCAATGTGAAGAGCCCTGGACAGGAATTTAATTGAAATGGAGACCGAGGTCATCTGCCTTTCTTCCGACGATGAAGTCGTGCCGTTAAAGGTTTGAAAGTTAGCTTACTCTTTCTGAGTCTCATGTGTTGCGCGCGCGGTAGTCGCTTTGAAATTTATCTTCGACATTTCGACTGCAACTGAGATTAAGACTTGGTAAAACGGGAAATTCATAACCTTTCGTAACCTTCTCGTTACGCACACACCGACTTTGTTTATATTCTAAAGACGTCCATTTCAGTAATGTTAATTCCTAGTGTTTAAATTGTAAGTGTGTTATCATCTAAAACTCATGACAGTGGATATGAAAAAAATGTAAGTGACAATGAGACTAAACTTTGAGAAAAAATGTTTATTTACATATTGTAGATGATACTTGAGTCGTATGCGAAGAGACGTTAAGGGAGGTATTTATTGTTACAGCCAAGTAAAAGTAACGGGTCTTTGGCAGAATGTAAGACAAGTAAAATCCCTCAGAAGAGGAAAATCAGTGATGTACCCAAGATTATGACTAATCACATGGCGAAGAAAAAAATTAAATTGATATGCTTAATAGAAAATAAACCTCAAGACAGCAAGAGAAATTCGCCATCAACTGGCAACGCTCTTGATGTTTCGATACCGCAAGGTGTGGTGAAAAATAGAATAAGTTTTAACAGTGTGACAGAGGAAAAGCAATCAGAAAATGGCAATGAAAATTCAAAGTCATCTGTTAATACAACCGATACATCGATGCCTCAAGATGCGACGAAGAAGGAGAATGATGAAGTAAACATTACGGTAGAAGAATTTGTCGAAAAACCAAAATTGGTTGTAAAAGAAAAAGTTGATGTGTATCATGTCGACGATGACACTTTTCCGATGTTTCTAAATCTGTGCCTCCAACGAGATTCAAGCAAGGAAATGGAGAAAATTGTTAGCAAGTTAAAGAAACGTTACATACAGTTAGCTCCAGCATTTGCAAACTCCTCCACTTTTAAGAATTTATTAAATGAGAAAAGAGAAGCTATTTTATCAAATGATAAACAGATTTATGTACACATTGTGGATGTGATGAATGTGATGAAAGAAAAGCAGAATAAAGATGAAGCTTCTGTAACTACTAGAGTAGAAAATGATAAGTGTAATGAAATATTGAAACCAAGCACCAGCGAAATCCCAAAAGATCATCCTCCAAAAGAACCTGAAAATAACAGAAAACAACATAAAATTGAAAAGTATCTCAAAAAGTTGGAATATGCAATGGAACGCTGTGAGAGACGAATTAAAAAATTAGAGGAAGCTGAAGTTGATTTTGATGATGATAATGATAGTAATTATATTAAAACTGAAAGGTATAAGCAAAGAATGGTAGAACTGTACACAAAGTGGTGCGAGCTTTCAGGAGAAAGTGCTGATGCTGGTCGTACATATTTACGCCCAAAATCTATAAAAGTCTCTCCAATAGACTGTTTGAACCAAGCGATATGTAGTTTTGTAAATTCAAAGATTTCTAGAAGAAATAAGTCCACTAAAAACATTTCCTCTGCAAGTGCGGTGATCTTCCCTGATTATGGTGATATTTTAACTTGCCTTAAAAAATGCAATGATGAGAAACAGTTAGGTTTAACTAAAAAACGCCAGGAAGCAATTGGTAAGTCAAACATTAGCGATGCAGATGTAAATAAATTTGTGCATATTTGCAAATCCTTTTTTGTTTATAGCAAAAGATGCGTTTACCCGTATAGGCGAATATTTGCAACACGTTCGACGTGCAGATTATTGGGATACCTTTTCTCTCTATCTGGAAAAAGAAGATAATGATCCAGCAAAAAAGTCTAGAGACTTAAGTGAGAAATTACAAAAGAACCAAGAAGAAGGAAAGAAGAAGCTTGCTGAAGTTTTTGAAACATATGCTAAAAAACAAGAAACTGGTGGATTGGAATTGAATGATTCATCTGAGCTGACAGATAAAGAATCGGATCAAGAGGAAGATGAGAGTGAAGGTGATCAAAACCACAGCAGTGAAGAAAACACCAGAGGAGATGCCTTAAGTACAGTTGAATCTGACACCGAAAGTGTAGATGAACGTGTGACAAAATCTAATGAAATTGAATCTGCAACTCAATCGATACAAGAAGCTGAGAAGGATGTAATAGTCAAGTCTCCTGAGAAATGTGGTAAGGTCTCATCGATAATGCCTGAAACAGCAACAGTACCTCCTTTGACTCCCTTTGAAACCATCAGTACTTGCAAAGGTGCGTACTAAATGTTTTAACATTTATTGTGTGAGGATCCTAATATAATAATAAGGTAAATTTGCATCTCGATTTTGTTAAATGTTGTAGACAATGTACCTGAAATTGTGTCAGTGCATTCTGTAAATAGTACACAGGAGATTAAAAAGGATGAAATGCCAGTCCTAAGGGTGCGAGCATTCGCAAAACCTCCTGGCTCCTGGAAAGACAGTCCAGAATCTGCGGTGAAGCCAAAACTGATAAGTCCATCAAAGGAAGAAACAACAGCTATCGTCGATCTTACAAAAGACTCACCTAAATTACCTACTGGTCGTGTTCCCATAAAAACTATTCGTCTTGATTCCAAAACCTTTGCAGCTTTTAATGGTGGTAAAACTATACTAATACCGGCAAAAAAAAGCCATGTCATCAGTATACAAAACGTCACAAAGAATTACGTGGTTAAACAATCTCGTTACTACCCGTCGAGTTTCCTACATCCATCCAACTAACATTGGTCACTCACCAAATAGTCCAATGATGGAAGTCATACAACGCACGTATACGTGAATTGCCAAACTAGATAGCACAGGCTAAAATATAAAACAACTAGCAGATAATGATGCAGTTCTGCGATTAATTCAACCAAATGTGACATTGATAGCTCCAAAAACACCTGAGAAAAATGTCAAAACCTTCCTTAATTCAAAAGAGTCTTCATGGAGTGAGGTATGGCTTAATGGTTTATAAATTTATAGGTTTCCAAAAGAATACAATTGTGAATAAGCACTTTCAGTGCGCCATTTTGTAATGAAGGATGGCTAGAAGCATACATCTTTTGTACTGTCAAAACTACTACAAGACTTTTAAAAATAAGTAAATAATATTGAATTATATTAATAAACTATTCTGCAATTGTACAATATTAATAAGTTGTCAGTTATCAGCTGTAGTTACATGAGAAATATAGCTTATTTAAATATTTTTAATGGGATTTATTCTAAATATTCTTGTACATATTCAACCATGCACATATTTATTAATGCTTAAGTGCGTACAAAAAATTAGAATTAAAAATGTTCCAGTATCCCATAATTATTTATTAATTATTGTAATTAAATATGTATTTTTGTGAAATTTATTTTTCAACAAGAGTGGTACACATTCATTCAAATGCAATCAGTGTATATGTTATCTTTAGTTAAAAATATACTTACAATAACTGTATCACTGTGAATATAAAAAAATAATTGCCACATTATAAATCTTACCTACAACATTGTCATTTGCACTCTATTATTGAACACATTTTTTCTTTTGTATTATATGCTGAAAATGACTCGTTTTTCGCATTTAATTTTTCTGCAGGACTATTAAGCATTTAAAGCTATTACAAATAAACGTTTTTAATAATTAATTTTGTCAGGGCAAAATTATCATTTGTTAAGTTTTCCACTATGTCAAAGTGGTCGACTGAGTTACGTAATAATAAAAATTCCACATTGTCAACAAATTCTAGGAGTTTCTGAAAATAAACATGTAACGGTTTGTTTTTAATAACAATGGTATATAAACTTGTGTAAAAGAAATCAATTGTCTTTCTAGAAATACCTGTGCATAATTTCGGGATTCTTGGATAAATACTGGAGAATCACATTCTCCAACAGTTACAATAACTTTTAAATTTTGCACTGGATTTAATCCACATGTGTCCGTACTTCCAAAACTATATGTCTCGAGTTCTTTACTGAAATGATAAATAGCGAGTTGTCATTTAAAAAAATGCAAATATAAACAAGGATTTAGTTGATAAAAGTCAAACTGTCAGAAGTACTTAGTCAAGTTAAGTGCATTGTTATAACTGGTACTGAGTAAAGGCTCCAAATTGTAAATCCCTCCGATAAGTACCAGACCTTTCAACAACTCGGCATACTTTTTTTCAGCAATATGAGCTAACCAGGCGGTATCATGCAAAAGACTTGCTGCCATTTGTGCACCTGCACTATGACCTGCTACCCAAACGCAACTACAAAAGAATAATTATGTTAGAAAAATACGAAGTTACGCCTAAAAACTTATGAGATTCTCACCTTGATCCTTTATCTTTAGCAAGCTTCAAAATTTCTTCCATCATAATCTTGACTTCTTGCATTAGCTGAGAGAATGTCACTGCATAAGACATACCAAGAATGTAAAGGAATTGTAAATCGGTTTACCTCTACCATGTAGATGTTACCTGTTGGGCACAAATTGTAGCCAGCTACAATAACTTTTATTCCTCTTGATACAAGGACTTTAACAGGAAACCCAGCAAAGTCCTTTGAAAATTCTTGCCAGTATCCTCCATGAATGAATAAGAAGATAGGAGCATCTATAACATTAGCGATAGTAATTTTAAATTTGCTGTAGATGACTTTCATTGTAAGTTCTCAAATTAAATCCTATACCATTAGGTAAATCCGTGCCATAGATGTCATACTTGGTGCGCTCTGATGTGCTATAAGGTACATTGAGTTCGCACTTTGTTATGCGTTGTGCTTCGTTAGTAACTGAAAATGATATATTAGTTTGTCACTCTTTAAAATAACTCCAATTAAATCCACCACAACTTACTTTCTTGTGATTTTTTATGGAAATATAATAATAATTTGTCAGATTCGTATCTCTTGCTCCACTCCGAAGGTGTGTAGGCCTTTTCGTGTTCCTGCATAAATTCATAGAAACAACAATGTATACGTGTCGATCAATGGATGCTAGGATATATATAAATTTTAACTTTTTACAAACATACCGAGATTGACATTTTTGTGCTTGTATGTTTCAGAATTTCTAGAATCAACTGATATGTGACGGTCAGACTGCAAACAGAATAAATGTTAATATATAATTTGCACATACTCACTAATAACTGAAATTAAATTTGACACATTTATTATATTTCTTAAAATTGTTGCAGAATAATTCGTATTCGCGATTTATCAGCGAACGATTAAAAAAAAAAAGTATCCAGATTACCTGTTTTGTAACAAGTAAAACAAAAAAGGGTGCTAAAATTCGTTCTATTTCGTAATCACTCTAACTTTGAATTCTACAAAAAGTGGTGATAAATCTGACGTACCGAAAGCACCGTCCAGACTCATATAAGATATGTAGGTCAAGTTAAAAGAGAAATAAAAAACTAAGTCATCGCGACGTCTGATGAAATGGATTAAAAGGTTTTAAAAAATGTTATATTAGGACGAGGTTCCGTTTCCGTTTCGAATTCATTGACAAATTTCGGATCCTACCTGCGCCCTGTCTATGAGGTCAACACGCACTTCAATTTAGAAGCTGAACTAAACGGATACGATCTTCGCTTCGGCGTTAAATAGATGCAGCTTACCACAGCTCTTACTTATCTCTGCCGATATTCATCACGTGATTCGAGACTTTCTAAGTAGCGCCACCTGTTGTAAAAAGAATTTTTTGCAATCAACCGCGTGTTTAAATATCCTCTCACAGATGGCGCAAATAACCGCAAAGAACACTTTCTCGTACGGCAGAGAATTGCCGAATTTCTACATCCCAAAAACTCTGCGAAAGTTCAAAAAATTAATACACAATAATTCCGGAAATTCAGCACTACGATTAACCTATGTATTGACAATTAATACACGATTTTATAGTGACGTACAATAAATATACAGTCTAGTCGCACAGCTTTAAATTAATGGAGCCATATATGGACGTGAAACGAAAGAATTCGACAGGGTGATGATACGATTAATTAATTGATTTTACACCTTGCTCTTCAAAATCCGAGGTAATTGCGGGTAAGGAGAGCAACTTAAGATTAATGTTACGTTCCGTATAACGAGTTTCTGCCGACATTACGTTGCTTACGAGATCGTTAGATAATCCTTTCACGCACCGGCTGGAATCTGCGTCCGGTCCTTGAATGATTTTTCTGAAAAGCTTGTGAAACCCGGACATGTCGGCAATCGAGGTCTTCGTTTCTTGACTACTCACGGCAAAGACGTAAAGTCCAGTTTTCCTGAAAGTGGCGCCGCAGGCAAGTAAATAAAAATATATAGTACCTCAGTACAACGTGAATTATAATTGAAGAAAAATTATTCAATGCATTTCAGACGCAGATAAACCTTTCATTATCGGCAGCGAAACTCGATCACCAGTCACTGCATTGGGAACGTTCATCCAATTCGTAGGAGTTCGTCGTCCGTATAAATTTACTTTACCCATGTGTGCCGGATGGTAATTAACGAGTTAATGCAGAGTTAACTGCTCGTAGATCTGCAGAGTTTTCTAGCTCAAGGAGAGAAGGCATGAAAATCCATCTGGAAAATAGATAAGTCGCTGTATACTCGGCCGACATTGCAAACATAAGGTCTTGATATTATCGACAAATCCGTGGCTGTGTGCCGCTCTAAACATTTAAATGAGTTCGTACTCGGTTCAATTTAATGCACCGCCAGTTTACAGCCTTATCGGTTGATTATAAATGCGATAGTGTAAAATCTACAATCGGACTTAATTCGCCCTCCGCATACGTAAATGGTCTTGCAGGCCCACATGACTAGTCAAGTCTTTGTACAAAGGTAACGGCTAGAAATGTAAATCGCACGTATTCTGCATTGTCTGAGCACAGGCAGGAGAAACCACGAAGTTGGATTTATGGAGGGGAAAAATGAGTTCTCCGAACGGGCAAGAATCGGTAATTCCACGCGGCGCTTGGCCGCACCCAGACTCGGTTCTCATGTATTAAAAGGATTCGAAGGCGACTTTTGAACACGTGAGTTCATCGACACTGTACCTCCTTAATATTTCTGAGCCTGTTATAAATAATCCAAGCCTTCGCACTTGTATATCCAGATTGGAAGGATTACCCTGCATGGTTCGACAAGAATGCAAGACCTTCAAGGTTCGGGACAATCTCCTGCAACGATTCCTAGGAACAGGGAGAATTTACGACATTCATAGCCTTAGGCGGGAAAAGGCAAGAAGAAACCCTTTAAGGCGATGAGAAGCCAACTGCGGAATCACCGCGCGACTGCAACGCAGGGTGCAATGATACAAGCCATGCGCATCATTATCAATAAGACGCCAAAACGTAAACGGTTTGTGTCGAGTTATCGCAGCTTAAGGAGACAGGACGGTCGATCGAAAGTCCAAAGTCAGGAGATCCACTGAGACGTTAGCATGGATGGATGTCAAGTGGTGGTTAATTTTTCTTGAGCCATTGTTCCATTTTGGATGCAGGAGTGGACCCTTCCAGGGGGCTTGAGGTGGGCATGAGAACCCTTGGAGCAGCGAATCGCGGCCTGGAATGCCCAGCAATGGACGGAGCTCGAGGAGAGGCTGCAAGGCCCGATTAAAACCAGAAAAACCGGCCCCTCTCCGCTCTTTCTCTTCCCTTCCATGCTGGTTTCTCCAGCGTGACTTTACCGTCGACGAGCAGCTATCGGGGCCGTTCTTCGCCCTTCCACCAGGGACTTACACTTAGGAGAATCGCGCCACGTTAGCACACTGTCGCTGGCTTCGATGCAGGCCGAGTGTGGAGATCCTCCCGTCCACGTAGATGTTAAATCGTGGACGTTTGTCCCTCTCCACTCCTCGAGTAATTAAGCCGTACATATACTCGTTGACTCCTCTTCAACGTACCCTAAGAAAGTGGGGAAACTCGTTGATCGACCTTGGGTATCCTGAATAAATCCATTTACGATGCGATTCCTGTATTTTACCGTAGATTTACTGCTGTGACATTTTGTTAACGTTGGTGCAGTCCAAGAATAGCGTCTACATACTTGTTAAATAATGGATGTTCTTCTCTAATTCCTCGAATAATTAAGTCGTACATGTACTCGTTGACTCCTCTTCAGCGTACCCTAAAAAAGTCGGGAAACCCGTTGATCGACCTTGTGTATCCCGAATAAATCCATTTACTAAGCGATTTCCAGCATTTTACCGCAAACGTACAGTTATGACAAATCCTTGACATCGGTGCAGTCCAAGAATAGCGATCCTCCAGTTAACGTAGACGTTAATTCACGGACATTTGTCTCTCTTAAGCTCTCCGACTAATTAAGCCGTACGTCAACTCGGTAGCACGCACCGAAGTGCATACCTTTCAGCATACTCCGGAAGAAGTCGCGTAACTCGCTAATCAATCATTCCGCGCTAACCCTACCGGAATAGAATTCTACACCAGAAAAAGTGCTTATGTAAAATGGACATTTTGATGCTTCTTTGTGTTCGCTAATTTATGCTTACAGGACCGCCGCCATTTTGGAATTCCGGTATTGGTATTCGACGCCTCTTCCCAGCTTGACAATAAATTCGAGCGACGCGTGGTTTTAATTCAAGGAGGACGAGGTGAATTTACAGTTGCATTAAATAGTGTCGTTACGGTGAAAACATCGACGAGCGCTTGAATTTTTCAGCTATGGAAAGGACCATTGGACCGTTCTCCAGCGTGCTTCAAAGATGGCGGCCGGCGACTCTCTTTCTCTCGTCTCGACGGATCGTCGAGTCCGTGGCGGGTCAAGGGCAGACGACTGTCTCGAAGCGAACCGAACTTCTCGATCCCATTCTGCGATACGGAGCCCGTTTCACCGAATCTCCGATCCTGCAGAAATAGACACGCAGAGGTTTCGTTATCACGTATCGAGCTCCGACTCGCGCCTCGAGCATCAACAAGAATGCCACGATAGGTAGGTTAGGTTAATTTATTTGACCCGCGAGTTACGCTCACGTTGCTCTTACTCTCTATTAGTGTCCTACTCAGGGCCGATTAGAGTCTTGTTCTCGGGCCATCTTCCAGTCGTCCCGTACAAAGTGTCCAGATTGGGCGTTTTATAAAAATTTCGGCGATTTTAAAATACTTTTTACGGTAACTTTTTCTTGAAAGTCGAAACTCAACCTGGCCGATTTTTAAATTACCCGTAAAAATGTTCACTATAACCGTCAATAATTATTCGAAAACACATGTTTCTATACCAATAGTAAGTCACTGTAAAAATTAAGTAGATAAGTGTTCTATTCTTTGGTACGCTTCCATTTTTTATTATATATAAGAAAAATTGTAATATTTCAAGCATATTTACATAAGAAGGTACTCTTAACAATTAATTAAAGTTCTCTGTTTTAAAGTCGAGTTCCAACATATGGCGGGAACAAGAGAACTTGTCGACGAAGATTTCTGCTGATAGCGAAGAAATGTGAGTAAACGCTAGCGCTGCCATGGCATTTTTCTTTGTCAGCAGCCAGCATTTATGGCGGTGGAGCTCGTCAGCGTGCTTTGCAGGCGCAGGTAAAATTTTCCCTGGTAGGAAAAAAAAAATAACGATCCTGCCAGGATTCGAACCTGGAATCTTCTGATCCGTAGTCAGACGCGTTATCCGTTGCGCCACAGGACCGACCTATTTCGGGACGTAAGGGTGTTCTACTTCTACTCGACTTCTGAAGATGTCGCAACGTTAGATGATACGACTCTCTCACGTCTATTGAGAAGTCCACCAGAACGATCAAGGAAATTCCATTTAAGCGACAATGACAAAAGCTTTGCTTTTCAAACTCCATGGCGAAAGAGTGGAAACGTTCCTGTAACAAATTTTATTTTCTGAAGCCAAAGTAAATATCATTCGAACTTTATCACTTTTATCTATTTTAGATATGTACCGCTCTAAGGGGAAGCTGTGGTTTGGTCAAATTAGAATTTCATTTCCTGGTATCTGTTTCGCATCACTCGGTCTACTTCTCTACTCTCTAAACGTAAGGACACCATCTTTTTTATCACCAGATTCGAAACTCGGTTTCCCACTGGTATTGTTCTACTTATCTAGGAGGTTGCTCCGTATAACGAACAGTCGGAAACATGGAAAAAGTCGCCTTGCTATCGGTTCTTCACTGCGAAAAGATTTACTTTCGCGTGCAACAATCCGTGACGGTATCCCTTGGCTTTTTAGGTCACCAGTCGTAATATCACCAAGGAGGTACGGAGAGAGAGGGCATATTACGTACGCAGCACTCGTTACCGATATTAAACGCTGTAGAGCGCGTGGACAGTTACGAGTTATGAAGATTGGGAGAAATAAAACTCGTTGGTCAATCAAAAACTGATGATATACGCACGATGCAGGACAATACACCGCACTCAGCCTTGGGAATAAGTCCTTGTATGTCTGGCATGCAAATGCGATAAATAAGATTAACCCAAAAATCACGGATATCCTCACCATGAGAGTTCCTTCCTTTCCTGTAATTACTCCTATTGGTTAAGGAACCGAGATGATCATTTTCTAAAAATGATGAGGTCACCCGTTTGTTGCACTATCTGAGGAAAAATATCATGGTCATGCTCGGCATGACTGTAATTCTGATAACTGAGAAAACTCATACCTCTAAAACTCTTTAAAAGCCGTTTTAGTCTCATTACTCGAAAAACCTTTGATCGGTATCTATCGTCCACTTTGCAGGGATATAGCTGTCTAAGGAAATCTGACGTCATGTTTAGCGATCAAAATCGCGAGCGATTATTCATTTACACTTTTATACTCTTCAGAACCGTGAGCAGCAAACTTCCACCTAGGTGATAACAGGACCGTATTATCAGGTATTTGTTCTGCGAGCCATCCACTGCGAAATAAAAGTCGTTGCTTCATCATTGTCTGAAGCATTGTTGAGTGTCACTCAGTCCTACCTGAGGAACCTTAACACGATAGACACATATTTTGAGCTCGAATTGCGTCACCGGAGAATATCTTCTTCTATCCGTTGTCTCTCGAGTGGAAAAATTGTGCTTTCCACCATGATCTTCTTGTTTCAATTAGCGGAGTGAATGGTTACGCTTCTTCCAATGACCCGTTAAATTTCAATTTTTCTGGACTTGGGTTCCTGAAACTATTGTAAATTCAATTTCCACTAAAAAACTCTAAAACCTTAACTACTCTATTATATTACAGCTGATATTGAAATATAAGAATGACTAAATGTTATTTAATGACCTGGGTTCCGTTAAGCGATCGCTTGACGGATGCGTACCTTTTTGAGAGGAAAGTTTATTTCATAAAATCTCATCTTTGGCTCATTTCCATTTTTCTGTACTTGGGTTCCTGAAACTATGGTAAACTCAATTTCGAGTTCATCGAGGACGATCGAGTTCAAGGATATGAGAAGGGAACAACCTGCAGCGTATCTGTTACCTGTAGACGATCGTATCGTGAGTACCTCAGCGTGTGACCACGACCTGGCTAATGGTCAACCACGAGCAGTTCCCCTAAGGCCTCTTCTGCAATAAGTCGTAAGTCGGTGTCGTTTGTCGCAAGCCGATGGATCGGCCAATCGTCTCCAACGAATGCTATTCGAGCCTTGAGTCTTCCGCTAACAATTTACAAAGACAGCACCGTTACATTTTACCCCGAAGCGAATTTGGAGACAGAAACTGAACATAAATGAAAAAGCTCGCTTTTGTCGAGTATTTTCCAATTAACGTTTCTAAGCTTCCCAACTTTTTCGATAAGTTCCCTGTATCGATAATTGTATCCTAACAGACATAACATATTAGATTATTTCACAAGTTCGCGAACGAATTTTGTTGGCAACGTTTCTTTAAAGATAATTGCGCGCTTAAATCAAACTGCCAGGAAGATGGTAACGAGTGATTAACTGTGCCGAGGAATACAGTATTAATACGCGGCTCGTTTGGATGCAGAAAGTAAATTTTTAAACCTTTCTGAATTTGTAGCAACGGCTAAAAAAATTTTGTTGTCACTACTCGAACGAAGGAGCGAGAGAAAATTTCTTGCTGGGAAAGAATATTGCAACCATGAATGGAATTTCGGTTTTTTGTTGTCGAAATAACAAAATCGTTTCTAAGGAAAAATGTCGTTGACTCGTATTCAGGTATGCACATTTGTTGACGCAAGTAAAATTTCATCTTATGACTGAATTCTTTTCCTACGTGCACTGATTTCTAATGACTCCACGAGTTCTTTCATTATCTCTAGTTTTGAACAATGCCCCCACTGATTTCCAGCTGATTTCCCGCGATTCTTAGTACCAAAACGCATCAAGAACTCCTCGCATTCTGCTTTGACCCTGGACATAAATCCCTTTCCTTCATACCCTGACAGAACAATATCCATAAAAAATTCATGTCCGCCTCTATACGTTCTTCGACATGTATCGATAGACGTCGAAAATCCTGAATACGAGTCTCGACTAATTCTGGTGCCCCTTCATACCCTGCTTGGACAATATCCGTAAAAAATTCATGTCCGTCTCTATACGTTCTTCGACATGTATCGATAGACGTCAAAAATCCTGAATACGAGTCTCGACTAATTCTGGTTCTCCTTGCCGGATTTAGATTCGAAAAGGACTCGCTATATATGGTGGCCATAAATAATGGCCGGGGGCCTGGGCCTGCAGGTAACTCCTGACCAGGTAATTCCACCGGTTTGACGTTCCACAGTCCTCGGGGAAACTCCCTCGTTCTGGCAACAATGTCGTCGGTCGAGTTTAAAGGTAAGAGTCGAAAACTGGCAACGTGCGACGCTCCTACGTGGGTCCGTGCGAGCACATCGGAATTCGGTAGGTGGCACAGGTCCTCCCCGGCCCCTCTGGGTCCCTCCGGGCCACTCTGGGCCCTGTTGGTCCCCTCTGGGCCCCGTTGGTCCCCTCTGGGCCACGTAGGTCCCCTCCACTCCCCACTACGGTGCGTCATAGCTCTCGTGGGAGTCTCCAAGACACTCAAGAAGACCGCCAGGAACTTGTGGTGTCGCTTTCCGACTCGATGCACCCGGAGTCAGAATTCTTGCTCTGAAAAAGCAAAAAGAATTGACCGTTCTTCCCGGAATCGGTTGTTAAGATGATGCGAAACCCTCTCAATCCAGTCGATTCTAATTAGACACATTTTTTTAAGGGTATCCCCCGAATTGGCTGAGATTTTAGGACGTGACTCGTGAGCACCCAAGGAATGTCCACACTTTCAAATTCTTCATTTATTAAAATGATTTCTTGAATGTGCCTACATTATTCATTGAAGATAATACATATCGAAAGGGTCTGGACATTTCTTAGGTGCTCATGAGCCGTATGCTAAAATTTCAGTCAACTCGATGGAGTAGGATTAAAAAAATAGCGTTTTTCTTTTTTAATCGACTAGTTTTGAGGGTTTCACGTCGCCTTAAGGAATCAATGCTCTCATGATTACTCAATCCGAGGTAATTAATTTCTCTCTAACCTTAACGTCCACTCGACTGATTTGCATTCCCATGAAAGAGCTGTAGGAGAATACGTGTCAGGCTTACAGATGTTTTTGCGCCCTGTTTGCGAAATTGTTAAACTCCGCATTTTAGATGTATCGACGGATGTGTTGAGCAATTGGAAAACGACAAAGCCGATTAAAATCGATTATCTTGAATCGACGCTTTTTTTCTGAGCCGGCGATTAAATCGAGGATTCGTCCAAGAAGGAGTCGATCGCTGGACTGGATTTTTTTTCGACTCGTTTGCCAGAACGTTCCCGCCTTGAAAATGTTAATTAATTCCGGGACGGGTCATGGTCGACGGAGAGATTTTGGCCAAAATCGGCGGACATTTGCATATACGAGCGCCTAACCAAATATCTCGAACCTCCTTCTGAAACCAAGTAAACTCGCGTGAAAATGTGGTCTGTTCTTCGATGAAATAATAATTTAAACTCCCAAGAAGCAGTTATCGTTAGCTTCAAGTGGTATTCGTGGAAAACCACTGATTTCACGATTTCAAGTACACTGTAAAGTACTAGCAGCCGTCAGTTCTTTAAAAACCGAGTAATACTGAAATCCATAGTTTTCTAAATATCGGCAATAAAGTAAATGTATAGTTTTCACTTACTATAATATACTTTGATCGATCATTACACCTGTTGGGAATAAATTAGTAATTACACGTTATAACGTAAGTTTAAAGTGTTACGAAACCAGAAAGTTAAAATATTTATAAAATGTTTCTCCAATATGGGTACACCGAATTATCTGAAACTTCAACAGGTGATTATGGAAGCCCTAAGGAACAACCTTCCTAACAAAATTTCATTTTTGAAAAGAAAATGTTTTTATTCATTTCAAATTAGAACCAAGGGTATATATATATTTCTTAATGAAATTTTATGAGCACAACGTTCTTCCTTAGGGTCTTCATAATCATATGCTGAAATTTCAAATAATTCAGTGTTCCCACCTTAGAGAAAAATTTAATATTATTATATTAAATATTTCAACGTTTTATATACATAGAATGACCCATTAATTTCACCTTAAGGGACCGTTTAAATTAGTACACTAATCTGCAGTTCAGCCGAGCTGCATAGGGTGCGCACCTCCCTTAGTTCGGTCGGGCGCCGCGCGCGTCGTCGGTATCGCTCGGTGGCGGCGGGTCGCCATGGTAATAGAAAGTTTTCTTGGTAGGACGCATGCGCGGGGAGGGGAAGGGCAGAAGTGGGGAGGGCGCGCCAGGGGACGGTGACCGCGGAGCGGTCCTTCCAGAGCCGGGAGGGGAAGTGGCTGCGAAGTGAAGGGAGGGGAGGAGGGACCCCTGGCGGCGGCGGCGGCAAGCGGCGCGGCGATCCCGTCGTCAGTTCCCGACGCCCGTGAGCGCTCGCGACCGAGTGAGGAGAGATTCGCAGGGGATCCTACGTGGCCAGGCAGGAGTGAGTGAGTTGAGTCCCGCGGGATCAGCGTCCAAAGAGAAGCGACGAGTGCGGGTCGCGAGGTGTCGTTCTCCGCGGGAGGAAAGGGTTGGAAAACGGAGCGGGTGCGCGGAGGACGTCGATGAGTGGCAAGACCGGTAAGCGAAGCTAACCGAGCGCGAGGACGCGCCGGGTGCGAGAGCGAGAGAGAGAGAACGAGCGCGGGGCGCTTGGAAGCGAGGGAGACGGAGAGAGAGAGACGCGTGGCGGCGAGCCGATGCGGGCACCCGGTGGCGCGAGCTAGACGCGAGCGAGCGGCCCAGGGGAAAGCGGGAGCGCCCGGAGGACTCAACGAGGGGCCAGGCGGCGCGCGGACGGCACGACGAGAGGAAGAGAGCGAGAGGAGAGCGCCAAGGGACAAGCTCCGGTAATCGGCAGCCATGTTCGACGTGTTCGGGTCCGTGAAGGGCCTGCTGAAGCTCGATTCGGTATGCATCGACAACAACGTATTCCGGTTGCACTACAAGGCGACCGTGATAATCCTGATAGCGTTCAGCCTGCTGGTGACCTCGAGGCAATACATCGGCGACCCGATCGACTGCATCGTAGACGAGATCCCGCTACACGTGATGGACACCTACTGCTGGATCTACTCGACCTTCACGATCCCGAACCGGATGGGCATCGTCGGTAAAGACGTGGTGCAGCCAGGGGTGGCGGCGCACGTCGAGGGGGAGGACGAGATCAAGTACCACAAGTACTACCAATGGGTCTGCTTCACCCTGTTCTTCCAGGCGATCCTGTTCTACGTGCCCAGGTACCTGTGGAAGTCCTGGGAGGGCGGCCGCATAAAGATGCTCGTCCTCGACTTGAACTGCCCGGTTGTCAACGACGACTGCAAGATCGAGCGGAAGAAGCTCCTCGTCGACTACTTCGTCACGAACCTGCACACCCAGAACTTCTACGCCTTCCGGTTCTTCCTCTGCGAGATCCTCAACTTCGTCAACGTGGTAGGCCAGATTTACTTCATGGACTTCTTCCTGGACGGCGAGTTCACGACCTACGGCTCAGAGGTGGTCAGCTTCACCGAGATGGAGCCCGAGGAGCGCGTCGACCCCATGTCCAGAGTCTTTCCTAAGGTGACCAAGTGCACCTTCCACAAGTACGGTGCCTCCGGGACCGTTCAGAAGTTCGACGGGCTCTGCGTGCTCCCGCTGAACATCGTCAACGAGAAGATCTACGTCTTCCTTTGGTTCTGGTTTATCCTGCTGGCCGTCCTGAGCGGCCTGAGCCTGGCCTACCGGGCGGCCGTGGTGGCGGGCTCGAAGCTGCGACTCGTCCTCCTCAGGGCCAGGTCGCGCCTTTCGCCTCACGAGCAGATCGAGACCATCTCCCGCAACTGCCAGATAGGCGACTGGTTCGTCCTCTATCAGCTCGGCAAGAACATCGACCCCCTCGTCTACAAGGAGCTCGTGGCCGACCTCGCCAAGAAGCTCGAGGGCAAGGAGGACGTCTAGGAATCCGAGTCTCGAAGACGACGCGCGCCCTCTTCGGGGCGAGGCGCGCGACCAACGGAAGAGTTTCTGCGGTCACTGATCGGTCGACGGGATAGCTCGACGTCGATGGGCTTCCGTCCGGGAACAACCTAGAACCCTTCCGAAGAAGGGATCGCTTTTTTCGACCATCGCGAACCGCAGTCCCTGCGGGGTCCCCCGGGACCCTATGGACCTCCATGGGATCCCCATGGGACGTTTTCGAACGTCTTCGGACGGACGACGTGTGTACCACGCATCCTGGAAGACCTCGTCGAGCACAGACTCCGCTCTGCGCGGGACTATTTTCCGAAACGACGCATCCACGTTTAATCGCCGATAATGGAGCGAGATAGCGAGAATCGGACCATCCACGAGGGGGATCGACGAGTTCCCTCGGGTTCTACGCGTTGGGTTGGGGTAGGCTGGTGTTTGGTTTTCGGGAATCGATATCCTTGTCGGGTCGCCCGTAAACGCGTCTCTGGGGCCGGACAAAGGAACGCGCGGGATTCGAGTCTCTTCAAGGTGCTAAAGATGCGACTACGTCGAGGTTAGGTGAAATACCCTTTCTTTGTTCGAATGGGGAGAAACGGTGGGATTTGTCGCTGCCTTTGAGATTAACTTCGGTATTCAAGGAATATGCGGTGGCGGAGTTATTGAGGATATAAACGCGTCTCGGGCTGGCGAACTGGCAGCCGCCATCTTGGAAATTTCTGGTTCTTGCTGCGATTTAAGAATCATGGGAATGATACCTCCTTTCATGGTCGATCCGGAGGATCTTTGGACCGCGTTCGGTCTCAGGGTGACCCGATAGCGATTTCGTCGAGAAACTAAATTACTGTTAGTGTATTGTATATACGGCGAGTTTCCATGAACGCCGACGTAAGCAGCGATGCGTCGCAGGTGCGCGGAACGCCGTCTGAGAAAGCCATCCCGTGGGATCGACCAGGGTCCGCGCTGGTCCCGTCCAGGTCCCATGTGTCGAGTTGAGGCGTTAATTCGTGCGAAATTTTTTAATTGTTCAAATTTTTTGAATCGTTCGAATCGTTCAAATATTTTGAATCGTTCGAATCGTTCGAATCGTGGAAATCGGGGAAATCGTTTGAATCATTCGAATAAATCGCAAGAATCTAGGCCTGGACTCGTGTAGATCCAGTAGCGACAACGACTTCGACGACGGGCCCCGCGGATCCCCAGGTCCGCGGCCCCGAGGTCTCGTAGACTAACCGTGTGATAAAACGGGGGACGGCGTCCTTTCTCTTACCTTTCTCTGCGTATCTCACCTTTTCTCTCGGCCCCTCTCCTGGGCTCCTGGTGGGAAGGTGATGTGAAACCCTGAAGACCGGTCGATTCGGAGAAAGATTTTTTTAAGGGCGTATCACCGAACTGACTGAAATTTTAATACGTACGTCAGGAATGTCTCGATGCTTTCGAAATTATTAAAAAAATAATAATTTGTTGGTTTGGCCGGATTTTCTCTAAAGTAAAATTTTGAAAGTCGAGACATTAACTAGGAGCATGTAAACTTTGTGCTGGAATTTCAGCCAGGGCGATGGAAGCGATTGGTTTCAGGGTTTCACATCGCCTTAAGGGCGATTCTAACATATCTGTGAAATATCTGTGCTACATTTGTGCATTATTTAGTATCGTACGTTTTTGGATATCGAGATAGAGAGAAAAATATGGAATTCATTTGATTTTCTGCAGTAATACGTCGGTGTTACGTCGTGTCCGTTCAGATGTGTCAGTGCTCGTACCGTACCGTCCGTTCAGTGAAAACGTCGGTTGAAATCACCGTCCGAGCACTGACATTAACACGGACGTTTGGATGTGAATTCGGAAACGTATAGATTCCGGATATATATTTAGGAAAGCGATATCTCTGTCTGCTCTGCATGGGTACAGTATGGATAAGTTTGAATCTGCCATTACCCCCAAGGACGCCATCGCCGCCATCTTGCAAATGGCCTTCGGAGGTCTTCTTAGGGCCTCGAGACCCTCGACGGTCCTTTGTGGGTCCTGGTCCTCTCCCAGGGGTCCTTACGACAATAATGTTCTTCGAAGAACTCGGCTGACGATTTTTGACCCCTCCCCCTCAGTAGACTGCCCGGACCACCTACATAGCCTGGTTTTCATTTAACCGGCTTAGGAATTTTTGTACAGTTATTAAATTACAGGCGCGTTTCTAACGGCAAAAAAGACATTCGTCGCCTCTGCGATAGTGGATTTATGTGGTATTAAATTCCTGCAATCATCGATTTACGAGCAATGATCTTTTTGTATTCATATTGAATTTTTTTCTCACGGCGCGTCTTCGTCGCCATCTTGAATCCGCGCGTCCTTTGTGATCCCTTTTGGGCCTCCTCGCTGGCTCTCGGTAAATACCCTCGAAAATTCATTCGTCGAATACGTGGCCTCTCCAGAATGTCGCAATCGACCAATATTTGACTTTGCTTGACCGTGGCTTCTCGCAAAATTCCACATCGACTATATTGTGGTCCGAGAACTATAAAAATCCATTCCACGTCGTACAGGTGCGACCTCGTTAACCGGCAAATTCAACGAACTGGTTATGTGTGTCTCCAAGTCGTATTCTGAGAAATATTTTCGACAAGAATATTCGACTTTTAGGTATTTTATATTAGTCAGGGGGAGTCCCAGGACGGACTTTTCCGTTCCTCGAAATTCGTAAGGACTTGTTATCCTTCCAGAAACGTGACGAACCGCACGAGTGCAATTTTAATGCCTTTTTCACGTGTACCAAAAGAGACATATCGTGGGAACAATGGAGATAAATCATAGACATTTTGAAAACTCAGAAATATTGTAGAGAAGCCAATTTTCTTTCTTATCTCGAATTTCCCAAAATCTAGCCGCTTATTTTCTCGCTCTCATGCGGTTCGCATCTCAACCCTACAAATTCCTGCCAGTTTAGCCTTGACAAAGTTGAACGCCGACCCCCCCTTCCAGTAGAATTATCTCTATCATTACCAATCGTCTTGCTACTGCGGTAGAATGTATTAGGTCATAGATATAGAGAGATAGATAGATTTATTATAATATACATATATTATGTACATATACGCGTGCGTATATGTGCGCGAGATTTTCCCATGAGGAAATATTCCATTCCAGGCGAGGGCCTTTTCCATGAAGCCCTGTGTTTCCTTTTTTTTCTATTTTTTTTTTTTTCGTAGCTTTTCTTTCTTCCTTCGTTCCACGTGTTCACCGTTGCCTATTTGCGTTACTGCCTCTCGCGACCTCGTGTTACGTTTTTTCGTTAATTATTCGTTAACGAGTACAACTGGTCGGATAAGTCGAATAACAAAATGGCGACATCGGTCGCAGTCCTTACGAGAGCGATTCCGTTTCTCGTTGGACGTTTTCGTCTTCTTTGGATTTTTCTTTTTTAATCTCCGCCAGGGGGCAGCGCTTCGGATCGCGCGTCTTGATCCGCCATTTTGTTTTTCTTTTTTTTCTTTTTCTTCGTTACTTTTTTTCTCTTTTGCTAGGGCGAACACTTCCGGCGATGGTGGCCGCGACTTCCGGTAGCTGCCTTACTCTCGTCTTTGCTATTCCTCGGTATTTCTTCCCGACCTTGATATATATGTATTTACTGACTAGTATAGAGTGATACTATTTTTGAGAGAAAAATCTACGCTCAAAGTAAGACTGCCAGGAATTCGAACACTCCAGCCTTTTCCACGCGTGTCTCCCGGGAGACTTTTTTTTTTTCGTATTTCATATATAGAGATTTAGGTAGAGAGAGGGCTCGCGTGTGCAGCCTACGCCGATCGAGATCGACGCGACTCGCATAATAGTCGTATATTTTCTAATCGACCTTACAATTAGTCACTACTTACGCGGCCGTAGAAGTAATTCCCGCGTCCGCGAATCCCTGCGAGCTTTCGATTCGAGATCTAGGAATCGGATTTGTATTAAACGAGCCGTCGATGGGAAACACCTCGACGCAAGAATGGACGCCATTTGCAATCGGAAGACGCATAGAGAAAAATATATATATATATATATCGCGCCGGATGAGGGAAACTACCGACCCTGCGTTGATAAGGACTATTCCATTGAACCTGAGGAATATTTCTTTGAATGGTGCCGAGGAAATAATTGTTTACTTAAAAGAATCATCAATTAACTTAAATAATACTGGAATAAATTGGATGCAACGTTTCTTCGGATGACAATTTATTTCAGTCCGAGTAGGATAATTATTCTTTGAATTAGCAAGATATTTCTTTAACATTGTTCAATGAAATATCTCTTTGGTGAGATGCATATATTTTTTGTTTTTTCTCAGGGTGTTAATGGACAGCCAGAATAATTTAAGGCAGGCCGCACACGAAGACGCTTGTAACGAGCATGCGGAATTTATTTCGCTACGTAATACACTCGGCAACAAATTGCTCCGTTTACGTGGATATTAATAGTTTTATTACATGCTTATTGTATGCGTTTTTCGGGTGCGACTTGATTACGTATCTGAGTTCCCGATCTTACAATACATCGAGGGTGATTTTTATGGGAATCATTGTCAACGAATAGTCGGATTTATGGAAATTCGACGGGGAAGGAATGCGTTGCGTTATGAGGAAAATGGACGGCGGTGTTCCTGTCCGAGTTGACGAGAAGTGCCTAATTCCGTAAACGTATCTCGGCGAGATGTGCCGGAATAGGTTATGTCGTTCGGCCTAGACGCGGAAATCCCCGAGATTTTTTGGGGGATTTTTCCCTCGGTTGGGAAAAATTATCGGAGTTGATATCGCGGAGTCATGTTTTCTCCCTTTTTCTCCTTTTTGTTTTCTTTTTTTTTTCATCGACGAGCGAGAGGGAGGATGCGACTTTTCGTGGACATGTTCTCCCGCGATTTCGCGCTCTGACTGTTAGAACTGTACGAAATGTGTACGCACAATCTACGCAAGATTTAGATGTAAGGTCAACTAGGTTACGAGCCCCAATCGAATCGGTTATTTCAACTGGAATTTCATTATCTCGGACGCGCCGTCTCGGATCAATTTATATCAGACGGCTCTAATGATGTCCATCGTGTAATACGTATGAAAGTAACAGCGTAAATTCGTTATGCAGCTTTCCTATGAGAAGCCGCAGTTTCGGAAGCAAAGTCTTTAAAAGTAATTCGACAAATTTAGTCCTGTGAGTTTTCTTTACCGTGTACTTGTTGCAATGAAATTTCGGTAGAGGAGGATTTTTCATCTTTTAAGAGATGTATCCCATTGTTCGTTTTTTTGAAGTGACCCGCTCGATTGGAATTGACGGATAAATGAGTGATTCAGACCTTGACGGTAGGTTAGCGATAATCAAATATTGTAAGAGTTATCGAGAGGAAGGGAACACGCATCTTCCGTAGTATGTTAATATGTAGATGGTAGTAACTCGCTCTGTCGTCGCTTATGTTTATATCCGGGAGGAGGTATGGAAATTTGCAAAACGATCGTTCGTAGGTTTACGAAGTACGCGGTGCAACAATTACTGCGGGGACAATTACGTGTACGTTTTGTGAAGGTACACGTGTCCCTGTACGCCGAGGACGTTTATTATCCGAACTAATGCATTTATCTCCCCCTCTTTGTTTTTCTTCTTCTTCTTATTTTTTTTCTTTTTTTTAATGAAAATCATGTTTAATGCAGAGCGATTTCACTTTCGGGGAAAGCCGGTGAAATTGTCATTCGAAAAACGGTGCGCGTACCGTTGCCGTTTTATACGAAACTTTTTCCTCATTTTATACGGAACTACTTTCAGTGGTTAATCCATTGTGTGCCTAATGAGAGTACAGTAAAGTGTAATATTTAATGTAACTCGTAGCAGGGTATGTATGATTCGAATCGACTTCAGGTATAACTGTAATAATAACGAAGCAGCTTCAATGATTATGAGAAGTGGACATGGTAATTTCTTTCCCCGCCCCATTTTCAGCTACGTGAAAAAGTAAAGTTGAGCTTTTCTTTCTTCTTCTGCGAAAAGTCCTCTAAATTCGGATTTTCAACATAAATAGTGTGTACTGTTAAATTATAACGAGTTGAAACCTCTGACATCGAGTTAATTCGGATAATAAACGTTTTTGGACGGCGTGCAAAAATACGACTACAGAATTTATCATTTTTAACACGAGATCATTATAACAAGAACAAAAATGCGCCGATTGTGAGCGGCGTCCTTTGTCAATTATTTTTCTGGACTCCACTTTGCATTCCGCCGGGTACAACTTAATTTTTAAAGTTGTCCGTTGCTTTTCTTAATGAGGCGAGAATAAATCATGTTTTATTATAAACATTAAAAATGGCCGCTCGCTAATTAAGTACTTCGCAAGCGAACGTGCCAACATTAAATGAATTTTGGGTTGGCCTCCTCTGGTATGTCTAATGTTAGCAATAAACGAGGACCAACGTTATGTGGCATGTTGCCGATATTGTAATTAATCGAGGATAAGTTACAGGAACGCCGAGGAAACTGACAATTATTTTCATCTAGGGAGAAAATCTCGCCAAGAAGATTCGGGAGGCACTGCTTGAGCTTTTGTCGCTTTCTTAAGTACCGACCGTGATGGAACTCCCAAGGGATGTCGCACATTCCACGTGTCGTTTTTAGAAAAATGTACAGCTAGGAGGAGAATTCGAGGCGAGGAGAGCTCGCTGTATGGGAAGGAAAATATAAAAATAAAGAGTATACATGGAAGCCTCTTGTTCCCTTGAATTATTCCATCTCCACACCTGGGTTCGAGTAAACGCGTACATGAGAAAGTCCCTGCAATTCCTTAGAATAATTTACAGTTAGGTATGAGGCGGCCGGGTAACTATCGCTTTCTTGAATTCGTTTAAAGAGTGATCAACTAATCGGTTGAGTCACTTCCGTGAGCTGGAATTGCAAGGTTCCTCGAGGCTATTGCAATCATTGAACAATCCGTAGAATGCCATTACTAACCACAATGAGTGTGCCTTTTCCGGAAATCTCGTGCGAACATCCGCACCTTGCACATCATGTTCTCGTATCACAAATTACATCGAATATCATCGCTATTTCGAATTTATACTGCGAACATTCTTAATCAGAAGTACGACACAGAAAAAACCCATGATGGATAAAAAGCTCTTAATCTCGCGAATTCGCAATCAGCAGGGTACGCTCTGATGGAACTTTACCTAATGTTTTCAAATCAAAATAAATTGTATTCAATATTAATACGGTTTTACATGTTTATCGCAGAAAATTCCAAGCTGGGAGTACAACATAAATCCCATGACAACTGCATAGCGACTTAATTTTTTGAAGCTTTTTTCGTCAAGATACACTCGATTTGTCGGAAATTTTTCCATCATTCCTTCACGTTACAATAAATTGTATTCGACATGAACGCTGTTATAAATTTTTCGCTGAGAAAATTTCTAGTCAAAAGTACAATACAAAAGATCCCTTGACGTCTCTCGAGCACTTAATGTCTTGAAGTCCCCTCACAGTCAGCAAAACACGCTCGATTCCGATGGAACTTTCCTGGTCATGTCGCAACCCAATTTAGGGCTCTTGCTTTAGAGCTTACATCACCTACGTTGACATTCCAAGATTTAGGGTCCGTCGATAAGGTATATCCTGTCCTTGGATAACAATCTCCCCAGAATAAACGAAGATTTCCACAGTACGTGCGAAAACACTGATTATCTTTCTAAAAGGAAATCGCAAAAAGCCGATGAAAATCGCCGAATCCTGTAATTTCCTCTCGATTGCAGCAATTTCACTCTGGGATCGTGAAGGAGCCTAATCGGAAGGACTTAATCGGTTAAGTGCCTTGGAACGTCTTCAACATGAGAGGAAGAATGCAGAGATGCAGGTCTTCGGTTGGGAAATCGTGTGCACCAATTGACTCGCTACAGTTCCACGTTGCAGCTCCGGATCGACCTTCAATCAAGTCGGAATTAGAGCCGGGGGTCCTCCTCCCTACTGTGCATTATTATGTTATAAATACACGTAACAGCGTCATTGTAGCTCCCGGGAGGTGGAGCAACGTAGGGCCGTAACGAGATGCGCTGGAACGCGCTTACGTGCGTTGCGTGCAATTGCGGGTCTTAAACGCGCACTCGCGTAGTTGCACACGCAGCTACAGTGTCGGCTCGTTAAACGGTTGAAGGTTGGGTGCAATCGGTGAAGCACGTGACAGTATTTGGTCTCCTACAGGAGGTTCGTATCACCTACCGAACGACCTTTTTTATCCATCCGGAAAGTACATATCGAATTCAGTAACACTGTTAAAAATATTCCTGCACTTTTAGTACATACTAAACTTATCACTTTACGTGCTAAAAATGAACAATAGCACGGTTATTAAAGAGTTGTAAATCAATTTCTAGAATTAGAACGCGGTATAATTATTAATTGAAGCGGAAATCGAGTAGGAAGATCAATATGTAAGTACTATAAAATTAGTACACCATGTCTGAATAAAAATTAAAAAGCAATGTTATAGAAGCGCAATACCGTTTCAACGGTGCACATACTTGAAATTACGTCGACAATAAATCAAGTCGAATGCGGGTGAATTTCTAGAAAATGTTGAGGATTTGAAATTATTGGGATCTTTTTTATTTGAATTTGAGACCGGCGTATGTAATTATGCGGAGGGTGGGTATAGTTAATGAATTGTTATTTTCCAGGAGAGGACTTCCCACGGCGCGGGGTAGAGATCTTGAATTTGCGTGGTGTGGAAGCATTTAATCCATTCTTGGAGAGTTTGGAAACGTTCCAACTCATTTCTCGGCGGAGTGCAATTTAGTAATACGAACTGGTCCGCAAACACTTGTTGCCATCGGTGGCCAGCTGATCCGTGCAAAGCTGCTACCGAAATAACTCCACTTAGCATGTGAATGAACGGACTCAGGTGTGGGGGATTTAACTTTCGGTTATGTTTGTTGTCTCAAATCGTTCCTGGTCACGTGCGAAGGGACGGCCACGTAGAAATTGTCCTGAAAAGAATTTGGGATCAGGAGTGACTCTCGGACACCTGTTACCGTCATTAATCAGCTGATCGCTGTAGAGCTGGTACCGAAATAACTTCATTCGGTGATCTAAACGGGTGAGACCGGGTATAGGATTTCGCCCTCGTCCACTTTTTTGCTCCTTTAGACCGTAATTCTACAATTGGGAGTGATTCCGAAACACTTGTTGCTAAAGTCAGCTGACGCGTGCAGAGCCGGTACCGAAATAACTCGACTCGGCTTCAATGAATGCGTTTAGGTATGCCAAGTAGGCTTGGAATTAGCTCGGTGGGGCTGGGAGGTGACCGTCAATGCTCAGGGAGGGTCAAATAATTTTCTATTTAAAAAACAAACAAACAACAAAAGAGAGTCGGCATGTCTGCGGATAAAGATATTTAAAGCGACCGCACGCGAGACCACCAACGCGGCTGTATGCGATACGATAATAAACACTAGTATTACTACCTTTGGCAAACGTAAGGAGAAGGTATATGAACATTGCCGGGGAAGAATTATCTAAATCACGTTTACGCATAATTGCGACTATTCAATGCACCACCTGTACGTGGTATTAAGTCCATATTAGTAACGCCATTTAGGAGGCAAATAGGTTAATATCACTAGTACCTATTCTATTAGATCATCCCGTCGCAAAAAGTGACCTTTTTATCCCTTATTGTGTCACAAACAAGTCCGGTAATTTTCCTTCTCTCGGAGCTCCGCTGACGCCGGCGGCCGCCATCTTGAAAACGTATGATAATACATGTACCTCGAATAAAACTTTCGCCCCAGACGTCTTTTATCGAACCGTCCTCGTCGTTGGATCTCCTTAACGTGTATCCAATTTCCTATATGGATTCCTCATGCCCAGCATCGTGGACATCTGTTACAGATAAAAGCGTCAGTAAGCGACGTCTTGAAAAGTGGAGAATCGCTCCCGCTCCAAAAGTACAGGTAAAAGTTACGCACGATGGGTAAAACGGTTACCAGTTTTTCAAGCCAGCCTCAAATCCTGCCTCCTTGCACGTGCTTCAAGAAAAAACCGGCTCAAAATATGGTCTTTTCTATCATTTCTCACGTTACGAACGAGCCCGACTTTCCTTCCCTCGGAGTTCCACTGACGCTGGAGGCCGCCATCTTGGAAACGTGTGATAATACGTGCACGCCGAATAACTTTCACTCCAGGCAATCCATCTCTTTCATTGAACCGTTTTCGTAGTGAAACATCTCTCGTCTCCTTAAATGTGTATTTAATTTCCTATATTTCAAATCAAACTCCACCTAGATCTGCAACGGATAAGGCGTCAATATAAATGGCGCGTCTGACGCCATCTTGGAAAGTGGAGGATCATTCCCGTTCCGGAAGTGGAGGATGCGCATCACGGGTCAAGCCGTTACCAGTTTTTCGAGCGAGCCTCGAATCCTGTCTCCTCGCACGTGACTCAAGACGAGACCGACGAGACGGAGGAGGCGGGAGACGCAGTGAGACGAAAAGAAGAAGAGGCCGACTCGCTCGCGGCACGGCCCGTTGGCACGGCTCGTTCGAGGGCAACGGCCGGTCACCGTCCGGTTCCTTGATCGCGCGGGACGGTCCGGTGGTTGGTGGTCGGTGGTCAGTCCACGATCGTCCGACCGGGGCCCATAGTCTGCCCCTTCCTCTCCCGGCTTTCTGCTAAGGTAAGGAGGCATTCCGAGCGGAAGAGCAAGGAGCGGGCCGAGACCATGTAAATGTAGAACCTCGACTCTCTGGCCCCAAGGGCACACCTTGAGGCTGCGGTGAGTCCGAGAACCGACGCTTGGGAGCTGAGTTCAATCATTCATCATTTTATCTCAATTTTTAGGGCTACCAGGGCGGAGAAGAGGAAAGATTTTCAAGAGGTAGAGGAAGAAAAGTACAGCATGGAAGAGTGGCTACGACGAGATTTTCTTGCGAGGAAAAATGGTATTATGAACGCAAGGAGGCGATCCAGACGTCGAGTTTGTAGAGAGCCCATGTCTTGTAAATGCTCTTCTCATAATTTCAGATTTTTTATATCAAGTGTTCGTTAAGTGGTAATTAGGATTTGGCTTATTCGTGTCATCTTATTTTTAAATTCTCGTGACTGAAAAAGAGTAGGCATGTAATAAATTAATTGAGAAGAACGGTACGAAGATGACGACGGAACTGAAACTTACCTGAAATGAATTCCTTCCTTCGCGTGAATGTTACTAAATATCCTTGCGGTAACTTAAAATTAGAATACAATTCTTATCTTTATTTTTTTAACTATCTAGAATATTGTGTGATTTTAATGGAGGAGTTGGTTCGGGTAAAGAGTCCTGGGCCTCGCGGTATTACGTCGATTTTATGACGACTTGGCGCGAAACTCGACCAAGGTTCTTGATAGTGATATAGATAGTAGGCAGAAAATAAAACATTACCGGAGAAAAATCGTGATAACACCTCAAGGTTTTCGCTACTTTAGCCATTTTTATTTGCATCTATCTTGTTTATGTCTTCTAGAAGGGTGCGGAACGGTAGCCGCCCCTTGTTCATCCTTTTTCATCTCAGGAAGAGCTCGCTGCCCCCGAGAAGTCTCGTTCGTTCTCCTTCGTCCCGTTTCATTCTACTCCATCCCGTTTCATCCTATTCTATCTCGTTTCATCTGGCATAGCTGGGCGAAGGCGCGGAAGAGTCCTCGCGTGCAAAAATCGCGGAAGAGAGAGGCCACTCGAAACCGAGAAGCGTCTCGGTGACAACTTCGCGGTTTCTTCGCTCCTTTTCGTCCTGTTTTTCCCTACTTCGCCGCGTACAGGTCATCGACAGGTAAAAGAAAAGCAGAAGTCGCGAGGAAGGTGTCGCTTTGTGAAAGAGGTACGCAGAAGGTAGAGATTACCTTCGAGCTGGCGAGTCGACAAGTCGCGATCGTCGATGTCGCCACATCTTCGGTGTTCCTCAAGTTCGCGATAAAACCGAGATTTTTTAGCGCGTTATATCGCACGTCGGAAGAAAAACTTGGCTAAAGGCCGAGTCAAGCGTTTTCATCTTACGTGCATGTGCGCGTCCGTGGATAAAAAAAGAAATCGACTGCGGGGATAACAACAAAAGTGTTCGCACGGTTCACTGTCCGTGCTATCAGGTCAGTCTCGAGTCAGTAGACATATTGAATAATGAAGCGGCGGCATTATTTAAGTCGATCCGGGAAAGTTTATACAAAATCAACGCTGCCTTTGTTACAGAAGAGTCGAAAGTATGCTGACTTCGACGGAAGATCGTTTCTCTGGATTTATCACAAAATATTAGGCCTTTCGATTCCAGCTTATCACTCCTTATCACGCTAGACTTCACAATGCCTCTTCGACTGTACGTATCCCTAAGCGTGTCACTCAGAAATGTATGTGTACAGCTTGACTCAAAGATAAGACAAAGACCATCGGAGCTCTTCAGTATGGCCGAGATCCGTAACCAACTAAGATCTTTAAGAAACATTGCGATCGTTGGTTCCACATTTTTCTCAAGTCCTGTAAAATTGGAAAATCGGTGCTTTTTGACGGGTTGATCGGGCAAAATGGCCACCACGGTTCTCTCTACCTTCGCCGTCCTCAAGGACCATGTCAAGTTGAAGATCAATGAAAACTCGGTGGCCATTGATAATATCGGTAAAATAAACAAGTGCTGAAAGAGACAATTTTGTATTGTGTGATTTTTTTAAATTGTGGGAGGGGGAGATAGATTTGTAGCTAGAAAGTACATGGTTTACAATTTTAAGTGGCAGAAAATGTACTTTCATCACGTGAGATAGACATTGCGGCTTTTAGTGGTTTTCTTTGACAATTTGTAAGGAATTTCCTCTTTAATGTTTCAATATTTATTATTCAGGGTGGATAAGGTAATAAAATGCGGTTTCATATTTTTTCTTTTAATATGTGCCGCTAGTAACAGAGCGGTAAACCACTTTCTGTTACTTTCAACGTATTCTTGGTGAAAACAAAGGGCATTGCAATTCATTGCACCTGAATAATGATATAGAGTAAATTCGAATATAAATATAAATAGTGTTTTTATACCGACTTCCAATTACCAGTTTTCAGATTACACTACAGAGCAACCTTTCTTGCATTACTCGTAAGTTGTCTTCTGGTGACATCCAGACAGTTTGTTGGGGAACACATAAAGTAAGGCATTAAAATATTATAATTCTTTAAAACACCTTGGAATTCCTTTCGATCATTTCATTTTCCTTGAAGGTGCATCGCTGATAACGCTATAAGATCAGACGTGATCAACACCTTCTGCTTCTTTACGTCGACCTACACAGTGGTAATCATATGATACCGATTTTATATTTCCACGTTAATATTAATTCTTTCTGACATATATCAATAATTAACTTCTCTTTTAGGTAAAACATCTGAACATAACATCCATAGAATTAGGCGACATTCCTCATCCAGGAATTGGACCAGCGACAAAAAACGACCCTGTGATACATCACGCTTATTATCAATGGGTTCCTTTTGTTCTTTTCTTCCAAGCGATCCTCTTCTACATTCCTCATTATCTCTGGAAGAAGATCGAAGGTCTGTTCGATTCGAGTTTGAAGAACCCGATTGGTATCATTTTCTGCGATCGCACGTAACGAATATACTTAGAGTTCGATCGTAGGATTAGAGATAAATGGTAAATGATAAACGGCGACAGAGCGGTGCACATCAAAGCGATAATCTATCCGCGTCATAAGCAATCAATTTAAATTTCGCTCCAGAATAACTGATCCACAAAGTCCTATAAAAGAATGAAAATTGCAAGTACACTCAATGACACCGTAAAATCACGGATGTAATGACAATTTTAGACGTGATTACTCTTTCTTGTCAAGCTTACCACCGAAAGCAGCAGTACTTTCCATTTGAATTCGCCTCGTGGGTTTCTTGAGGAGTAATCATGACTCGGCAGAACCTCCTCTATAATTACTCGCAATTCCCGTTACAGATACCATAATTACTACCGTTTTATTTCACTGGAGTAACTCGTAAGTGCAATTTTAAATCGAGTAATACCTTGTCAATTTAATAGCTACGTGTGTTCAAACTGTTGAAGAAAAATGGCGTCTAGAAGACGTCACAGGAAGTGATCTAAATTGACGCGGTAATTTGAAGAGGTATCATTTTTCGAGAGATTCCAGACATACCACGAGTTACACCTTATCGGTAGTGATTGTCTGCAAGTTACTGGAAACGATTGGTCATTTAAAAGCATTTATACGAGTGGGATGTGCGGCTTGCTTATCGATGGTGCACTTCCGTTTCAGGAGGCCGCCTAAAGGTTTTGGTATCCGGTCTGCAAATGGCGTCCTTGTCCCTGAATGAGAAAGAGATCGTAACTGGAAACGTGAAGGTCCCTTCGAGGAAAGATCGGGATGAGAGAATCCAGAAAATACGAACTGCATTCATCAACCGACTGCATATAAACCGGCCTTGGGCCTACTACATGGGACTTTGCGAACTGCTCAACCTAACCAACGTCTTGATGCAGATTTACATAACTAATGCCTTCCTGGGAGGAAGTTTTCTGGACCTAGGGACTTCCGTCACCGAAAATCACTCGGGAGAGGTGGACCCTCTGGACGTGATCTTCCCCAAAGTGACCAAATGCATTTTCCATAAGTATGGTGCCTCTGGCGGCATACAGAGACACGATGCACTTTGCGTAATGGCTCTAAACATCATAAACGAGAAGATCTACACTTTTCTCTGGTTCTGGTTCATTATAGTGGCCGTCGTTACCGCCCTGGGCTTGCTCTGGAGGATCTTAACGATGCTTCTGCACGCAAGGTGTTTATCTCCTGCAAACTGGGGCGGAGATGCTGCCCTGGAATTTTCTTAGTAATAACATGTAGTCTAGTGAACGTGAACACGGAATTAGTTGTCTAGAGATTTATCAATGTTTCAGGAGGAATTATTTAACAAGCTCGTTCTTTCAATTGCCTCCAGGAATTTTCTAATAACCCGTAGTCTAGAGAATTTAAACATAATATTAGTTATTCAAAAGTTCATATAATACATTTTTCAGGAGCACCGCGTTCAACAAATTCGTCTTTTCAATGGCCTGTCCTGGGAAGCACAATCCCTGGACCGTTCTCACCGTCACCCACGAGTATTATTTCGGTGATTGGCTGTTTCTGTACTACATCGCCAAGAACCTGGACAATTACGTGTTCAAAGAATTGCTGCAAAACCTGGCCCACGACCTGGAAGAGAGAAGACTGCAACGTGTCAGGGTTGATCCGAACGACGAGGACGAACCTCTGACCAAAAAAGACTGATTCGCCATATCCAGATTAACGATGTATCAGAGCCTCTGATTACCGTGTAATTAGGGTAATTAATTCATGCCATGCTTACAAAAGATACTTCTCGGTACTGCAATAATTTATCATTATTTTAATCTATCAATTTTCAGTAAGTACACCTGGAAGGAGCCACGTCATCGAATCTACGAGAAGTACGAAGTGAATCAGCTGACTGCGACGTTTCGATCCCACGAGGCGTAAGAATTCACGATGATACAGTAAAATCGTGTACAGCGTGTTAGTAATGACGACACTCCGAGATTGTGTGGTGAAATCCCGAGAACGATCGATGGAATGGAAGCTATGACGAAATCCCAAACGCAGTTGAGACGAAAACTGCGTCGACCCTCGACTTTGCTTCAGTATAGCAAAAAACCGCAGACAATATACATGACAATCGATGACGACGTCGACGCGACGTCGCGATTTCGAATTCACGAGAATTATCGAACGACGGAGGTGCACCTACCCTGAGAAAATAAAAAGAAATACCATTGAACCGAAGAAATATTTTGTTAATTCAAAGAATACACGTGTATGCTAATTCAAATAAAATAATACTCGTTCAAAGAATTAACAAAATATTTCTTCGGTTTAAAGGAATTTTTTTTTTCTGAGAACTATTCGCCACAGATAGAGTCGAATAAATTGGATGTAACATTTCTTTGGAATTATGATTAGAACAACGAGCGAAGCGATTAATATGAGACAATATAGGGGAATCCGGATTCCAAAGGGATTTTCTGCGAGAATGTGTCACGGTTCTTGAACTCTTCCCAGAATTATAATAGAATATAAGAATTATTTAATAACGTACATATTCCATTCAGGATTATTAGTCGATGTATCCAGAACATGGCATATCGCGTGGCAGGAGAGGGAGTGATAATGAATCCATCTCGACCGTTCCAGAGACCCGGTGTCAAAAATTAATAATTACAGGCTTAAGCATGCGCTCTAGAAAAAAATGTTTCCCACAAAAGTTGCTCGGCATAACGTATATGAAAACTTTCATAGGAAGGATTTTTTCCCAGGATACACTGTTTAGCGACTGAATTTAAAATGCGGTGTTCTGGAAAAGCCGCGAAACCTGCGCAACGTATCGATTCGTCCGCGCGTTTGGTCTACATATAACCGTAGCCCAGTTCCTAAATCTGATTTAGTATCTTTCGACTGCGTAATTAAGGAGTCGGAGTGTCCTAATAATAAACGCGACGCAGTTTACTAGAATATCGAGGCGACGAAGTTACGCGTCGTTCAAACAGCCGGATAAAAGCAAGTCTTCCGTTCATCCTTCTCGAAAGAGTGGAATACCCGCATGCGTTTGTTTTTTCCCCCGCACTCGAATGTAGCATTTCGTGGAGTCATTTCCGGTGTCGAGCCACCAGCTGAGAATCTTTTTACGTACTTAATATGCTTCCTGTTCTCGGGGGCAGTGTGCTAAAAACCCACGGTATTATCCCCTTACAAGATCGTTGCGACAGTTAATATGATTGGGGTCGTTAGATTTGTTAAGAGTGTGTCTTACAACCGACTACATATCGCTCACCTACATACGTGAGAATAATCGCAGACACGCGCGGTTTGTAGACCGCGAAAGCAAAGGCGAGTAAATGTTTACTCTACCGGTCGAGTGAACTGCAATGAGTAACTATTCCGGATTTATAGGCCGACGATAGCGAAAGCTTACGTCTCTATGAATAAACAGGACTACCAGCGGGATTTCTTTCACGGATTCCACCAATAGCCGAAACAAAATCGTTTTATAACAGTCATTTCCATGCTTCACATTCCACAAGAGATAGGATGATTGGGTGATCATCAACCTGTAGGAGGTATTAAAAATACATGTGTCTACTATTGACAGTTTCCTATATTTTGTATATCTTGCAGCCTGGTATAATGGCTTATTATTTGACAAATATGCGTGTATGCTTTAAAACTAGAGTATTCCGAATAAGAGCCAACTGCTCGATTCTGGCGTTCAAGACTGAGTGTCCTTTTTGTCCACTGTTCGTAGGGACAATTTTGGTTTAGCCGTATCAGTTGTTTAGGCAATGGTCACGTCTTCTCGCCCGTGATCCCTGGAATAAGGCCGCCCATGGACCTCCGATCATTTTGCCATTGTCCCTTTGTGAATATTTCCTTCAAACCTAATGTACAAATTTGCTTCCACCATTAAGGGGATGCAAAAGTGGCGTCAAAGAGGTCTCGTTTATAAAACTTTTCTCCGAACTGGGTGTATCGAATCGTTTCAAACTTTATAACCCGAATGTGGAGGCCATAAGAAAGGTCCTGACATTCATGAAATATGATTTTTATAACAGATTAAACAAACTTCTATTAACACATTTTTAAAAAATTGAAATTTCATGGGTGTCAGAACCTTCCTTACAGCCTCCATATTCACATTATAAAGTTTGATACGATTCGATACATCCAGTTTGGAGAAAAGTTTCATAAACGCTGTTTGACGCCACATTCATACCGCCTTAAGGATTTTAATTCTGCGACACTGGATATTGACAAGAGTACTTATGCAAAAATAAAATCATTAAAATTGTTGTAAAATTTAGTAAGAAATAAGTGTTTGCAACAAGGCATTTTATTCACGTACACTTATATCATGAGTTAAATATTTTTCCGAGCCGCGTCATCCTCTATAAAAGCTCGTAAACGTTAAGACGAGTTCAAAATTGGACATTGAAACGGCGAACCGGTTGCCGAGCTAGCAATCTACGCCTGGGCTCGGTTTAGCGAGGATTGCACGACTTCCAGTCATAAACGACGTCCTCGTCCCGTTTCCCTCGTTGCCGGTACGAGGAATAGAGCCGGGCGCGCATCGGAGCGAGTCGAACTCCCGAGCTGCCGGAACACGAGTCATTATATTCTGCCAAATGGAAGAACCGAGGGGTCCGGGCACGGAGAAGGTCCATCCTTTTACCCCGACGCGACGCCCTCTTCTGTCCTGAGGCTGCTCTGCCGGCAACCTCCACCGGCTCCGGCAACGCCGCGGCATTGGTAACTCCTGCGACGCCGGCAACGCGGCGACGCGGTAACGTGGCAACGCGGTAACGTGGCAACGCAGTGACGCGGCAACGTGGCAACCCCGGGCCCGCTTGACGTAAACCAGCACAGCTGCTCGCAACGTGCCACTCTGTTGCCGGCTACGTGGCGTCAGACACGCAGAGGGGCCCATGGGTCTAGGAAAAGGGATCGAGTGAAATAAAAATTCTGGATGACGGAATTGAAGCCTTGGCGGCCATCTTGCGTTGCTGTATATACGTAGTCTAGTATCGTGAACGGGGGTAGTCAAAATGTACGAAGGATGTAATTTTTTTGAACATAATAAAGCGCATAGCAGACCCCCAAGCTCGTGTTAATCATAAATTCGGAGGTGGCGAATCCCAGAAAATGGATATCAAGAAACTTAACGAAGCTTTGAGCCAAATACATTTCTAGAAGAAATTCGTAGTGTCGAGTAAGAGAGATATGCGTATTTTTAAGTTTGAGCGAGAAACGAGAAACTCCACAAACGATTATACGAATATATCTTAAAGGAGCAAAACCTAAGCTTAAAAATCGTCAAGAGGTAGATATACTGTATAAATTGTAGAAAATTGCCGTAACTACGAGAAACATTTTTATTTATGGATCTTAGTCGTAAACCAGTCGGAAGATTTTAATTATTACGTTGCCCGACCTAAGCTTGGCGTAAAGAAACTCGTGTAGCGCTATGTTTATACGTATATAAGTGTTTATGCATTTGTGCGAAACTCTGCCGAGTTTTCTGATTTCCGTCACTTAGGTAGGTCTCACATTAATTCCCGGTTACTTTTTAGGCTTTTGTTCCCGGAAGAATCGGAATTTACGACGAATCCGGTGATAAGGCGGGACGGTTATGCAACTGACGCGGAAAAAATGCGCGCGTAGGAGTAATCGAATGGTCGCAGTTTTACTGGTTCAATGTACCGAGTTAATGGACTTGGCGTCAAACACAGGGTTGCTAATGAGATTGGCATTGTGTAACAAAAACGATGCGACGTGTTAATGGCGCACACGTGAAATTGCCGCGATACGCGGTTTAAAGTTTCCCCTTTCGAGTTGTCGGTTGTCGGAATCGCGTGAAATTACTGCGACTTTTAAAGACGTTGTTAAGCGATTGGTTGCATGCGAAATGGCACTTGCTTTAACGGGAACGTGAATGTTTGAAAATATACAAGTACGAGTACTATCGGCTTAAAACTGGTATACTGAAAAAAAAAGAAAAGATTTCTTTTCTCTCAAAAAAATTATTTCTTTGAATGGAGAAACTGTAGCATAAAATCAAAGAAATGCCTATATCTTTGCAGGTGAGACAAGGACGAAGAGACTCATCTGGTATGCGAAGAAGGTGAAAGTATTTCGTAGCAATCGTCGCAATTGACTCAACAATTGACCCACGGGTGTTCTCAACCTTCCCGCGGAACTGAGTTTAAAATTCCCGCGCATTTCCAGCGCAAGGCCGCGGGAAAAGCAGTTGCGACATTTTGCAAGAAGTCACTCGATTCCACGGGATTACTTAGACGACTATTCCTTGACACGAGTGTGCCACAGTATTGTCTAATTATGTTAATTGTGCTTATTGCTGTTGTGCACGCCATGCCGAGGTCAATCGGATTCGTCCCGACGGGTGATGACGACATTCTTGTCGTGACATTCGGAATCCAATTGACCCTCATTGAGGAATTCTGTAACATAATTAATATGAGATAAGGTCTTTCTACCCTAAGAAAAAAAAAAGTGCATTGTACCAAAGAAATATTTTGAATAGTACTGAAGAAATATTTTTTCAATTCAAAGGATAATTGTTCTCAAAGAAATGGTCACAATTCCGAAGGAATTTTTCAGTCAATTTATCCACCTTTATTTCAGGCAAATAATTATTCCTTGAGTTAACAAAATATTTGGTTGGTTCTCAGCTAAGTGGAAACGATCGATAATTTGTGAACGTTGGTTGGGACAATAAACAGGATTTTTGTAATTAAAAGATTGTTGCTAATCCAACAGCGTTATTGAACTGCACCGTATTGCACTTCGCTGTTAAAATTGACTTAATGACTACACTGAATAACTTGTATCAGAGTTTTCGTAGAGTTATTCCATGGAGAAATAAGTGTATTGACCTGTAAGGTTTTTGACCTACCTAGAGTACACTAAGTAAATGCAAAAACACTTGGCATTCCTGTACCTTGTAATAGTACACTACTTGGATCGTGTCGTAATAAGCGCGTTTGAAATGTCCGGCCGAACGGAATTGTTTCTCGGTAACAAAACCTTTCCTCTTGGCGTGTCAAATCCTTTCCAGGATATGCATAAAACCGCATAAATGTGGACATTCACTCATTGACATTGACACTCAGAATTAATTACTTTCTGGTGGTTCCATAATTGCGAAAGAAATTAAATGTACATTTACGTTATTATTCATTTCAATCGTGATTTATTCTTAACTATAGGTAATCAGTTTCTGGTCGTTTCATAATTGCCAGATAAATTGAACGTACAATCAGGTTTTTTAGGCGTGTACGACATCTGATCCCTGGTTCACCGTCATGCAACAATTGGAACCATTGTTGAGGACTGCATGCCGCCTTAGAAATGAATGGCCGTGATTATTCGATAACAGGAACATTGCGCTGGATATAATGGGCCGACTTCAATCACGCAGATATTAACGGGATACAGCCTGGGTCACGGAGGTGGAAATATGCAAAACTAGTTCGGAAATGGAGATGACGGTGGCAGATGTATCGCGTTGCATCCCATTGCATCATGTCCTGCACATCTGGCCAGCTGGTCTTCGCAGAGATAAAGCGCCGGTAAAGGGGTATCGTCGGCTGCACACGGTTTTGATAATAAAAATGAAAAGATCACGCACCACGTGAGAGTAATCCTTGCATCCCGTCGAGGCCATAGAATGGAAGAGGGAGGCGCCATTTTTCTTTTCTCTTAACGTGTAAAGAGTCCATCGAGGCGAAAAAATGATAAAGCTGGTGAGTGCATTGAGAAGAAGACAAAAAAACAGATGATAATATCCTGTGAATTTCTTTAAAATTGTAACGAGTTTAATTGCAATAAATAACGGTGGAATATTTTATTCGATCCATTGAGAGGAATGGTCTCTAAGGTATGAATACATATTTCATTTCATTGAACTGAGAAAAAAAGACCTTTCTCTCAAGGAAATTAATCCATTTAAGGAAGAAACGAAACTTTTCTCAGCGTGGGTATGACGAATTCCTCGATTTCCGAGCCGGTCGAACTAATTTCACTTCGAAGTTGTAACACTCAACAGATGCTGGAGAACGGTTCAGGACTTCTGGTCGATCTCGAGAACACGCCTTAAAAAGAAGTTTACTGAGCGGGGCAAAACCAGAACGCTGAAAAAGCCAAGGGAACGGCGAAAGCCGCCGGCGAATAAACTCCTGCTCGGCCTTTACGTTCGAAACTCGAAGGATTCCGAGTCCTCTGGAACGTTTCTCCAGTTTTCTCGAGTATTCTTGCTCCCAATTCCGATTGGCATTGTTCTGGAAAGGTGTAGGTACATATTTTATCGGAAACGTTTCGATATTTGGCCTTCCGAAATGTTCTAAACACGAACCAAAGGGATTTCATGTAAAAACTTTGGAACGTAATTTAAATTTTATAGAAATTCCTCACTAACTGCAACGAGAAGTTAAGGCGATGCGAAACCCTCAAAACCAGTCAATAAGGATAAGACACGGATTATTTTAAGGATATTTTGCAGAAATGGCTGAAATTCTAGCACGTGATTCCTGAGCTCTTGAGAAATGTCCTGATGCTTTCAAAACTCGAGTTTAAAACAAAAATAGACTGAGTCGGGTGATTGTATGAAGATAAAAGTTTTGGGAGCGTCAGGACAATCTTTCGGTGCTCACTAGGCGGGTATTTCAAGCATTTCGGTGGAATGGCAAAAAGAGCGCATAAGAGCGACTTCCTCAAAAGACGCGATTCTTTTGCATGGCCTGGATAATCCTTAACAGTCAAGGAATCCACATTTTCATACATAGAAATAACAGAGCGTATTAGACAATGATTCGGTAACATTGTATTTAACAATCTTCTCGACTGCCCACGAACCAAAAGGGCCATAAGAACGAATCTAAATACAAAAAAAAATATATACAACTTCTATCCCCCAGAATCAGCAAACACAAGGACGGTTCAAAGCGTGCAAAGTAGGGATGTAAGAAAAAAAGATTCGAAAACGAGGTGAACAGCTCAGTTTATTGATATTCAAATCGCTAACATTTTTTCAAAACAAAGTATAGTAAATTAATATATAGGGGTACATTGAAATATCCGTTACGGGAAAGGATAACGAATATTTCAGGCGTTACAGGACACATCCAGATTCCAGGAGGGAGGGTTCTCGAACTTGCCGAGTCGGCGCAACGACTCCTCGGAAGTATTTACCGGGCATTCCGAAATCGTCTCTCGGGGACCGACACCGATCGGCGGAGCACGAAACGAAAGAGACACCCGCCGGGCCGGAGGTAACGGTAGAAGAAAGACCCGTCACCGGGGAGAAGCGAGAGAAAAGCGTCGAGCAAGGAGCGGAGGGTCGGCGCCGACTGGCTCGCTGTTAGGTTAGGTTTCCCGTGTCCCGCGCAGCGTAGGGGCACGGAGAGGCGGGGGGTCCGCGGGTGGGGTACCGGTCCCCCTCAACGAGCGGCGCCGCCCCGCGCCCCCCGCCGCGGCCGTGTCCCCCCTTGGCGAGCCCGCTTCCACTTCTCGTCAGTTGCCGGCGTTGCCGCCACCAGCCGTCACGAAGCGAGAGCGTCCAGCGCCGCGCCGCGAGAGACCCGCCACGAAGAGAGAGCGACTTCCCTGAGACGCGCCGCTCTCGCCGAGGTACGCGACGCGCAGCCCTGCAGGAGCCGCTCCACGGCGCGGGAGACCCGAAGAGGAGGTGCGCGCGCACGTTGGGAAGCTGCGCTTAGGCGGCGGAGCGCGCGACCACCGCCGCTCTCCTCCGACCTTGCCGCGGACCGGCAGATCCTTTACTCACCCTCGCTCGCGCGCATGCCTAGCCGCGCACCGCGCGCACCCGCTCGCCTCCGCACACCTTGGCGAACGTGACATACGTGGATCCTCCCGCATATCGGGCAAACCGGTATCTAAACGAGCCACGCGGGTGCGTAGGTGTTCCGGCAAACTTGGCCACGGAGAGACGCATACAAAGAGGCGGAAACGCGCTTCAAAGCGGCCCCCCGGGGGAGGCGGAAACGCGGAGGTGAGCGCACTCACCGAGCCGGCCGATTCGAAGATTTAAACCGGAGCATGACGTGAAGCGTTTTCGAGGTGCTGCTGACCGAACGACTTGCCTAGGTGGACCGAGGTACTTGTCAAACAGGTCTATAATCCATTTCGCTCGACATTCCTCTAATCTTAACATGTAGTCATACACGTGATATACAAGGTTAAACCGCAAACTATAAACTGTTTAGCTCTCCCCCAGACGCCGCGGCGGTACTACGTACCCGTTCAAACGGCGCTTTCCGAGAAAGATTAAGGAGTGCTGACGTAAACGTAAACTTAAAACTTTGTAACTCGTGAGATGGATTTTGTTTGGGGTCATGTGCAATGCAACGACGGTATCGTATCTGAAAATAGGATATGTTTAGTGGGAATGGTAATGGTACGTAAGGTCAATTTTTTTTTATCGTGCGTTCACTCGGTAGGTAATCTCGAAGAGAAGATTTTCAACCTTCTATGGGATTTTCTTGCGTAACGTGAAACGTGCCGTGTAATTATGTACAAACTGATTGAATTATTTCAGAGTTGTTACGTTGTTGCTCTTGTTATGGCGGATCTGCATCAGATGCGTGCGATAAGGGGATACTACACGGCACGGCAGTCGCTGGTTAGGCGAATTAACTGGAAGGACAGAATGTGAACGTCACCCTCGATTGGCGGGCTCGAGAGCTGCTTAGAGAGAGGGAGAGCGTGGAAGTGTGAGAGGAAGAACGCGAGAGGGAGAAAAAGGGGGAGAGAGACGCCGAGAGCAGCTGGCTGTTTTTCGGACCTCGTGTCTAGACAATCGCGATATGCGGAAGGACCCAAAATCCTTTCTCACATTCGGGTCCTGCGAGTTTTGGGTTCCCTCTTTCGTCAACACCCTCTCGCGGTGGGTTTCGAATTACTGCCCCGCAAGAACGACCCCTTTGCGACTTAGACTGCTGTCCCCTAATGGCTAGTTTGATTTGTAATCGCAAGGAAACACGTATTTGTAGATACTGTATTATGTTAATTTTAATGTCATATTTAGATGAAACTGCGAGACAATGTATGTGTACTGGAATTGTTGCGAAGGAGTGGATGCGAAGTGGTATCGCGTCACGGGTTTCAGTCAATGTTATTGGATCATAAATGATGTCGATAAGATATTTCATTAATTTTAATATTATCATAGAGAAATGCGAGAAATTATGGGCGGATAAAGATATAGCTGCAAGGGTGTGGATCGAGGTGGAAGAAGTGGTAGCGAGAGGGAAGAGTTAATATTTTATTAGATTATCAGTCGTGTTGATATTTCGCACGTAGACCTCACACTTTGCGGGATCTCAGTTGGGATAGAGATAGCGAGATGATACGTGTATACGGACGATACCCAGTCTGAGTGTGTAGCCAAAAAAAAAAAAAAAGCAGAATGGACACGTTAGACGATCCCCCGAGTGTGAATATAAATAGAGATAGCCGAAGGTTGTATATCAAATAGCCGGTTATCATCACGGGCGGGATGCACCTGACCTCAGCAAAATGGACGACTGTGGGGTACCTCTTGAGTCGGATAGTCATATATAACGAGATAACGTTTAAAGTATAAAATAATTTGAAACTGTTCAGTACAGCGCGAAATTCATGAATGGATTAATACTCGAATCGCCTTGCGGAGTTGTTTCAGATTTTATGAAAAGTAACACCCTTTCGTTTTCAAGGCGAACGTGGAACCTCGGAATTACATCGCGACCTTGTAACGAATAATTATAATTGCATGGGCGTGTGGCGGCCTCTTTACCTGATTTTCCTTTTTCAGGAGTAGCTGCTGACCGCAGAAAAAGCCAAGATGTACAAGCTCCTAGGAGGTTTCGCACACTACCTGAAATGGCAGGATGTGACCACGGATTCCATGGTGTTCCGGATGCACAATCTGTTCACCACGGTACTGCTGTTAACGTGTTCCGTTATCATCACGGCTACTCAATACGTTGGGAATCCGATTTCCTGTATCGTCCAGGGCTTGCCTACACACGCCATCAATACCTACTGCTGGATAACGTCGACATTCACGATGCCGGATGCGTTTAATCGCCAGGTACCACACCGTACATTAGAACGTTTATTTTTCTGTTGCATAAGTTCGTGGGTAAATTTTATTTCTCGGAAACATTGGAGATGTTTGACTAAAACTATCCTAAAGAAAACTGAAGGTGGTATGGAGTGATCAACACTTAGAGGATGCATTGTTAATTACCATGTGATTCATTTTGTTGGAAAAAAAATTCAAAATAAATGTTTGGACCTTCGTAAGCGCGCACGCGAATTTATAGAGTGTCTCGATATTTGATTGGATGAGGGATTAATGAGAGGAAAAAATGAGTGATGTTTGTGATCTGCAGATCGGCGTGGAGGTCGCCCACCCTGGCGTCGCCAACGACTTCGGGGACTTTGACGCGAGGAAATACTACACCTACTACCAGTGGGTCTGCTTCGTGCTCTTCTTCCAAGTAAGTTCGTTATCCGTGCACGTGCGAGTGCCGGTAGTTTCTAGGAACTGTAAGGGATACAAGAGATATACAAGATGCACGAGCTTGCAGAGGGTTCCGGTGACTGTCGCACGTGTCTCATCTGCTCGGATGTGTGGTCTCGTTTTTGCACGTCAGCAGTTTTCTCGGGGACCATTTTTAAATTTAGTCGCTCCCTTAATGTCACTTCGAAGGTCTGGAGTAGGTACTTTATATTTAGAAACTCCCTCGTCCTCCGAACCGAAGACATCTTCGAAGTACTCGTATCTTATATTTAGGAGCTCACACGATCTTCGAGAGATTTTAGAATTCGCGGACCAAGTGTTATAGACTAGGATGATATAACTAATTGTAACGGTAAAAAGATATTCAGTTGGTTTTGGTGAAATTATTATTGACATGTTTCTTATTTCTTTTAGGCAATGCTCTGTTATGTACCCCATTGGCTGTGGAACGCGTGGGAGGGCAGTCTGATCAGCACTTTGGTGATGGGTCTGAACCACGGCTTGAATAAGGAAGATGTCGTCTCTAAGAAGAAGGGTGTTCTGATGGACTACCTAATGAGTCATATCAAGGTACAGGCATTTAAAATTCTCCCAAGGATCTGCTAATGTAGCGTCCTTGAGTCGGGCATTGTCAGCACTTATCAGCGTTTGCTGACGTCTCAGAGAAAGTCTGAACAAAGGCAGACCCAAGAGCTGGCCTACGCGACGTTCCAATTCGTGCTCATTGAATTCAATTTGCACTAATTCGCAACTCACTTTTCAGAGACATAACACATATGTATATCGGTACTTCGTCTGCGAGGTGCTCTGCCTGGTGAACATCCTCACTCAGCTGTACCTGATGAACCGCTTCTTCGACGGGGAATTCCTGAGCTATGGACTGCGCGTCGTCCAGTTCTCCGACGTTCCCCAGGAGGAACGCGTCGACCCCATGGTCTACGTCTTCCCACGGGTCACCAAGTGCATCTTTCACAAGTACGGAGCGTCCGGGACGATCCAGAAGCACGACTCCCTCTGCATTCTACCGCTGAACATCGTCAACGAGAAGACCTACATCTTCATCTGGTTCTGGTTCGTCATCTTGTCCTTCCTCCTGGTGGGCCTGATGCTCTACAGAGCAGCCATAATCTTCCTACCAGTGATGAGACCTAGACTTCTGCAGCTGTCGGCTCGGGTCCTCTCCATCGAGACTTGTCGTAGCATCAGCAAGAAGCTCGACCTCGGGGACTGGTGGATCCTTTACGTCCTCTCCGGGAACATGGACTCGCTCATATACCGCGACATGCTTCAAGAGCTGACCAAGAAAATGGGCAGTGGTTCCAACTCCCAGGCAGTGAACGCCTAGACGCAATTTAGGATGCTCCCTTAGCCGATCTTCGGTTGCAATTTGTTAAGGGTGGACGCGATAGAGTCCGGTCAGTCGCGGAAAACGATCGCGATCGGACTCGTCATCGTAGCTTTAGACAAAAATATCAGTACATACGTGTGCCTTCTCGTATGTATGTAACGTTACTTTTGACATACAGGCTAGCCTGTATGTGTATGATGCGCTGTTGAAAGCAACCACATTTCTTAGTACAACCTCTTCGTGTTGTATTAATTTTAATGCGGTCTCTTTTAACAGCAGGTACACGCATCGATACGCACAAACGCGTCGATATTACAGTATAGATAAGTCTTAGGGATTTTCTACTTAGGACAATCGTCATTCCATTACCGCGATGTAGAGAATCGCGACTTCTCGATGCTGAATGGTCTATGTCTCTGCTCAAGGCATTTTTTGTATCTCGTTTGTATTACCTTCGACTGCGACGGCTCGACCACTCCCATCCTCGAGCTGATTATCAATCCGTGGCGTCGACGGCTGAAGAAGACTGAAACAATGTGAACGTCCGCGCCTCGAATAATGAATTTCTTTATATATATATATATACACATTGTTTATCCACAATTTATCGGCGTACGGAGGCTCGCGTGTCTTCCATGTAAGATTTGAGTGCGCGACGTGTCTCTAGCGGAATCTCGTTACAAGACGATCTACGCGCTTACCGACCTTTCCATTTGTGATCTGTATTAGTGCAGCTTCCGTAGCACTCTTTAGTGTAGGACTTGTACTGGTTTGCGAGATTCGGAGAAAAAATGCGCTGCCGTGCTGGGGGCCCAGAGGCTCTAAAATGTGGCCTTATTCGCTCCCTTAACTTAGGACCAGGAAACACTCCACCTAATTCTAAGCTCTGTACCGTTACACTTTTGGGACGATTAAATCAATCGGACTTTTCGGGATTTTTTCTTCCTCTTGTTCTGCACTCCGTAATTAAGGTGATGCGTTAGCGTTATCTGGAAGGTTCAACCGTTTATAAAACTTTTCTCCGGACTTCTTTCAAACTTTACAACTTAAATACGGTGGCTATGAAAAAGGTCTTGATACTTATGTAATTTCAATTTTTCTAAATTTGTTTATAGACGGTTTACTTTAAGTTATAAAAATGAAATTTTATGGATGTCAGGACTTTCCGTACAGTCTCCATGTTCACGTTGTAAAGTTTGAAACGATTCGATGCACCCAGTTTTATATATATATTTTGACGTTTTATATACACAGAATGACCCTTTTATATCACTTTGATTTTACCTACGACGAGGTATCTACTTTTATCTATTATTTGATATCTATTTGCTCGTACTCACGACGTAATATCTACTTACTCAAGGAATGTATTGGGTAAGATCGGGTCTATAATAACCGAGCGATCTAGACCAACGAACGGGCTTTACTTTCGAGAGTAATGCCCAGCAAAATGTGCTTTGTAATTATCCAATTATTCCGAGGCGTGCGATCATTATCGAGCGATAAGTCACGGGGAAAGTGATATTTCGCAGAAAGTGCCAGGAGGCAATTCCGACGACGGTTTGTCGCGAGTCATAGCAGAGAAATTCCTTGCTAAGAGAACCGCGAAGATGAAAAGTTAAACTCCGAGCTGGGACGAATCAATTATGCAAAATAGTTTTGAAGCGCATTGTTCGATGCGTGACACAGAGTTAAAGTAGCGTTCTCTCTTTTCTGTGATTTATACCCGTGCTAAAGACTTAGTAGGCTCTTCAGGTGCAAATGGTACCACTTATCATGCATTAGACTTAACTCTGTTAAACAGATTTTTTTTGTGCATTTTTGTCACGCGATGACGACGTATTTCTTTTTTAACTCATGAATGAGTAAAAAAAGAAACGCGTCGTCGTCACGTGCGTCTTGCCGCGGTAATTGTTTTACTATCACACATATGGTATTTTTTTTCGATGCAAGTCTATTTTTGTCACTGATTCAAGGCGCAATTATGGCAATTCTCTTGTATAATTAATCAACTTAGGTGGACTGTTGTAGGTTTGTTCGACCAGGAACACGTGATACGAGCTATTAACGCCAGCCGGTGGTGGCAGTAACTCTTCCGTCCGTTACGTCTCATTAGAGTTTCATTAAATTATTGCAATGAGCCTTGCAGACATTTCGACGATAAGTTAATACGAGTCTATTAAGAGGTCGGGGAACTTCGCTGTAATTAATGCGCATACCATTCCTTTAATTTTTCGGACGGTGTATAGCAGGGTTAGGTAGGTAAAATACACATCATGTAATGTACGTATTTTCTACGTGTATATTATAACGTATAATACGTCCCTAGTTTTCTACGCGAGCGCGAAGTATATCACGCCCTTCTATTTCTAAATAGACACTAATAAATCCAGGTAAAAATTTAATATTAAACAGGGTTAAGTCGAGAGAATTTTAAATTCAAGCACCAAATTAATTATTCCTTAAAAATGTTTTCATGTTCACATCTGCGCTAAAAGACGTTTATAAACTAACGAATGTCGTATATTGTATGTATGTCATTCTCCATATTAGAAACGTAATTTCTTGGTTTTCTTCGTTTTTCTCCGTTAAACTACTCGGTTTACGTAATATACGTCAAAAACCTCGAAAAATGTGAAATTAACCCAACCTCGGTGTACAGCACGTGTGCACCGTTTCTTTGTTGGTTCATGTGCTAATGTTATTGCAGATAGATGGTCAGCATAAAATCACTCCCACCTGCGGGATCGCGTTAATTACCATGTTTATCATTACTTTACGACGAAGGAAACGGTTAATCTTTAATCTCATAGGTGTTACCTGCCTTCCGGAAGTCGAGTAAGGACTTCCAGCTCAATGGGCGTTTCTTGATGTCACGAAGCTCACCCCATGTCGACGCACCTGTTGCGCCGTCTCCACTTACAGGTGGATGCATTATTCATTAACCAACAGGTACGTAGACCGCTTAAATTCCAACGCGATTATTGCCGATATTAATTCCTGAATTCTTATATTAATTATACCAGATATACGTTGGAATTGAAGATAAAAATCGACATCGCCCATGTCCAGAAGTCAAAGTTTCAGGAAGATCTCAGCATACTGGATTGCACCTTGTGGGTGCACACCTGTTGCACCGCTGCATCGTTACATCGCATTTTAAAGTTTGCGCATGAAGATAAAGGAAATTATAATCGTCCATGTCCAAAAAAAGGGAAACAGCATCTAGTGATCGATGCAGTTATGCATATATTTTGATAAACAATACTAGTCGAGAAGATCTATTACGGATGTTAGATTCATATGAAGATGTATATCCTTTCAATGAAAAAATTGAAGAAGTCCTAGGAGAGATTCGTATATCGGATGGCACCCCTTGGGGGTGCGAGCGGGCGATCGCGCACCTGTTGCATCGCTGCATCGCTGCATCGCTGCACGGCGTCCGAGGGTTCGTGCATGATCCATTTATCAGAGGTCGGGTCCGTATCTCAAATTAACCCAGATTCGCTCCGGCGGCGGAGCATCGGTCACCTGGGTAAATATATACCCACGACAGATAGACGGGGCCACATTTAGAGTCCCGCACGAGTTCACGGAGCAGCCAAGGCGTGTCATGCATGCCATGGTGCTCCTCTCGATTAATTAATCAGCATCCCTACAGCCGAGTCTAGTCTAGGACGACGTCGGCGACGCTTTCGAAAAAGACGCCCGAGACCCCTCGACGTCGCTCCAAAAAAACGTCCACGTCGGCGACGTCCCTCGATGCCGGCCAAACGACCGCGGCGTCGAGGGGCGTGGGCGTCGTGGAAGGAAATGAAAACCTAAGAGGAAGGGCGTGCAATATAAAAATAAGAGGCCGAGGAGAATCGCCTAGTGTTTTGGCAACGTCCACGACGCCGAGTAAACCCGGAGAGAAGCGATTCGTGGATTTTGTGCCCCGAAGAGTATCTTCGGGGCATCCGAAGAGGAGTGCCGCGTCTTGAAGAGGACCTCCCTCGAAGGGCTTTTATAAACGCGCTGGAATGATGTGTTCCAAGGGTCTTCGTCGTTTTTTTCAACGTTTTGGCACTACGTACTGCTCGAGTTGTGGTGATCGAAGTGAAAAGGGATTCTTCGAGGTCCTGGTGGTCTCGGAATATGAGCTTTCGGGGGAAGGACGACGACGAAGCCCTCGACTTGGTGCAACATGAAGAAGTGGCGGCGATTCCTTTGAAGAGGCCTCTGGAGGGTGAGAAGAAAGTTGAGAAGTTCCTCAAGTCGAAGTTCGAGGCTCGCAGGGAAGTCTGGATCATGGAGGCCTTCAGAGGACTCTACTTCCTATTACGCGTGAGGATAAATTAGTCTTGTAACTGAGTTTACAAAACTTTCGTAAACTAGGTTTTAGAGTTTTAAAAAGCACTGCGACGAGAAAAAAAAATTTTGAAGCAAAGAAATATTTTGTTAACTCAAGTAATGATAATTTGCCCAAAATAAATTGTCATCATGCCGAAGAAACGGTGGCGTCCAATTTACTCAAGTCAAATAATAATTATTTTAATTAAGGAAGTATTCCTTTGGTTCAATGAAACTTTTATCTCAGTGAAGTAACCTTGCTATTTATGATATTCATAAAAATGCCCATCTTGATTTTAAGACCGGATATTTTACGGTGACATTTTAATGACTTAGGATCAATTGCCACCAACCATGATTAACGTGAAATTTCTCAATTATGATTTTTTAATCTAGAAATGGTCAAATTCGCGTTGCACTGATAAAAATGAAGCTAAATGAAGATTAAAATCCACCGTCAGTTCACCATTCGAAGTCGGGTGATTAATTTTAATCATGCATTAAGTGATCCTTGATTAAGGATTTTAATTCAAATGATGGACCAATCGGCCCTTACTGTTCTGATAAAGTTCACTTATCAGGGATTTATTGTTAACGTGGAGAATGTCATGTTTCCAGACGAGCAAAATAAAAAGCGACAGCTTTGTTTCGAGACTACACGTGCTTACAGCTTTTCTGTTATTGGGTTTTTCCGTGACCGTTTCGACACGACAAACAGTGGGCAACCCGATAGATTGCGTCCATACCAGGTACCGTTTTCAAGAAATTCACTTGTCTGTTATCTCAGTCCACTGACTTTTTTTTTTCCCCCGATTTTAGAGAAATTCCTCTGGAAGTATTCAACGCGTATTGCTGGATCCACAGTACGTATTTCGTGACCGCTGCGATGCTGGGAATTGCTGGAGTGAACGTTGCCTTCCCAGGGGTTGCTCCTTCTCTGGTGCATCACTATCAGCGACACAATGTATACCTGCAGAAATTTCGTGTCGGTGAAGACTCCACGAAGCAGGTGAAGTACTACCAGTGGGTCGCTTTTGCGCTTCTCTTGCAGGTAATTAATTATTTTTCTTTTTGTTTACTTCAATGTGTTACTAAGAAATTAATTATGAAAGATTAATCCCTAGTAGATCCATGCTTAGAGTAAAGAGACTCAGTCGAGACCTATGAGCTTGTTCGAGACGCAACCACGTCTATACTATAATTTTGAGAAATAATACTAGATTTCGTCACAAGGACGAAGATTTGGAAAATCGAAAGATGAGGCGCGTGTTTTATTTTATTACGTACCAAGACTTTCGAATTATCTCGGACATTCCGAATTTAGGAGCCATGGCAATTCGCAGTAGCGAGTATTTCTTTGAGCGAGGGAAAATATTAGCTCGAGCTCCGCGACCGCACATCCCGTAAATACAGCAAATCTTTCTTCAGCTTGGATCATATTTATTTATCTCTTCGCCGTCAATGTCGCAACTACCGTAGTGGTACGGTTTAGACTGTTCCGGAGGGGAAGATGCGAAATGTCTTGTTTGAAAGCTTCCGCCTCCTTTACACGGGAGAAAAGGATATCACACCGGTATCATAACGGTAGCTGTAACCGGATTATCTTCTAAATATTGGGATAGCAGTTTTGCTGAGTTACGACGACTCTTCTCAAAACGTGAAGTCTACGGTGGAATACCAGGGAGTATTGGAACCATGAAACGGCAGACACTGTGGCAGAATTAAAAGTAAAAATAATCCCAAATTCTCGAAAAATACAACGAAGGTATCTTATAAGTGAAATAATCACCCATTCGCACGTGTTTTTCCTCATTTTTTATCGGAATATTTCCAATGGAAAGTAGAAAACGTCTCTGTCGATGGTCGCACTCTGGCGGCCATTTTGAGAGGCGCGCGACGCGGCGTCGGTCGTCGGGTCGGCAAGAGCGTCATTGAGTACGCGCATGCGAATAATACTAGTACTATCTTTAAAGGTTTACGAGGTAATAATGAAGCTTATGATATTCCTAATGAGCACTAATTAAGTATCGATCCACTGATAATACGACTTTACGAGAACTAATGGACTTTTTCCTCTAATTTAATTTATTTTGAAGGAAGAGTCGCGCGAGTCACGTGGGGTGTCATGGCGGCGCCCAGTGCGCGCGCTTCACCGAAACTCTTGAATTTCTCCAGCCGTTTTATATCTCACCGGACACCAGGATGTGACAAAGAGAGGCTCGTCAAAAAATTCGCAATATCCGAGAACGCGATCCGGCTTCGAGGAAACTTGACAGTCGCTACGAAAATAAAGTCGGACGGTGGCGAAATTGAGTCACCTCATCGCGGGGGACATCGGGCGTCTTTCGACGGTACCGGTTTTTTTGGATATTCCTGGCAGGAGAAGGACGTAAATTTGTCCGGCACCGATACCTCCCTGGAGATTTATCCTCAGGTTCGCCCAATTTGTTTGTCAAAACAATCGCGACGCCGTCGCGGCCATTGACAAATGGCGGAAGTCACGCTTCCTCTTCTTTTGGGCGCGCGACAAACGCCCGAGTGTCGAAAGCTACACGAAAAACTAATCGCCACACCCCCGCTACGCCTTGCTTTTTTCACGGTGACAACCTGGAAATTCGTCTTCGTGACTTCCCGGGAAATTAGGGTGGGCGGGAATTGGTTTCCTAGTTTCGACGTCGGGAATGCAGCCGCTGCCCCTAAAATCCCGTTTCGACGGGCAGAAAGGGGAAAGGTGTCTAAATTTATAGGCCCCGCGACGCCGATCTTATTGTGCAAGTGAAATTGCGATATATTGTCTGCCCACACGGCGGAGACAATGGTAAGATGCCGCAAAGTGTCTCGACGATTCCGCCATATTGGCTGGGTTAAATTTTAACGTTACTCAGACGTTACCGCGAATACAATAAAACTGAGATTAACGGGGACGATAAATAACCTGGATGGGATTACTGTGAAACAGTGGAAAATGTGGCGATGATTTGGAACGCTTCGCCGTTTCCAAGATGGCGGCGCTGAGGGAAGTCTTTGGTTCTTGATAATTCGACATATCGTTGCTGACGGGAGCTTTTCTCCTCTATACGAGGGATTTTAAATTTGCTCCTTGTCGAGGGTGGCAGGTTGCAGTAAATTATCTGTCGTGACATATTATTACGGAAATCAAAATAACGGGTGACGCCAATGACATCACGAGAGTGGGTTCCAAATTGCCGGAAATTCGAGATTCCCTCGCGGATGATTCTTTTTTTCCCTTCCGCTGGCGTTCTCATCGGTGGGTTTGGTTTAACGTCACGGCTAACGTAAACCTAATCAATGGGGATTCCAGGCCGTTGTTTGAAGAAGGACGGACAGACGGGAAAGTCAAAATTCGAGAGAGATGCAGAGCTCGGCACGGTTTTGGATTCGATGGCCACGTGGCACGGAGTCGAGCTTTCCAAGTGGAACAATCGATAGCACAGAATTTTGTGACATTTCTCGGCATCTCCTTGTTTCTTGTTGTCGCAAGTCTTTCGACGTGATTTCTGTAAATTTGGAGCAGAAATTCATTTTCACGTTTTTTGCTTCGATTTCAATTCGTTGTTTATGCCCACTCGATAAGTCAGGTTAGGAGGAGATTCTCGAGGAGCCTCTCGAGGTATTCAAGCTCCGACCTCCAGATGCGATTGCACAACGTGCAAGCTTATCGACTTATTGCACATGTATACCGCAAGTGCTCACGTAGATGCAGCTCAATATGCAAAGTGTTTCATCGAGAGCGCAAGCCGAATTCATCTCCCCTGATTTCATAATCCTTTATTCGATATAGGAAATCTGCCGAGAGGAAAGAAACTCCAAAATGGCGGTCTTTCATAATTAGCGGATAATTCATGAATTTTCATAGTGTTTCATGCAGGTTTTACGTAAAGGTGACTGCACGTTTTACGATTAATCGTAACAATTCTTAATCTGCACAGTTATATCCAGTCCTTCCACAGTATTAATGAAATCTCTCCAGATCGGTATGAAAATCGGTTTGCGCACCAAACTTTAACATAAGCAAGCTTTAACGTATTTTAATGCAGTAATCGGTTAACAATAACATTCCCCATGGTTTTCTTTGTTTCTCATTTATTTCCGGGCAAGCGTACGTACTCAGAAACCATCCGAAAATTTCCCGCACTAAATCATACCCAACCATAAGCAAATCAATCAAAGAGCCTGCCTGAAACGTCGGCTCTTAAAGTCGCCCAGACTCGACTAAATCACTCGCGCATTATTAGCCCTTTGCCCTCTATTAATACCTTTAAACATCGACTCGCATCAGCTTTATTCCCAACGTAAACGATTCCCAACTTTAAGGCAAGAATCTCGATTCGCGATCCGCGCGAAGTGGTCGGCACGTTCTCCTAAACCTGCACTGGAGCCATGAAAGATGACCTAATGGTCCATAATATCATCTTTTACGGCCCAGCGATGCTTACATTCGTCGCTTGCGGTAATGGGGCTTCGTGCACCGCGAAAATTGCATCGCGCGTTTCGGTGTCGCTCGGGCTAACCACGAGGGCGCAGATGATCCGTCCGCCATATTGCGTTGCGCAACCGTTTTGCAAAATCAGAGGGAAAGAGAGAAAAAAAGTGTCCCTTGTTTCCTGAATCTGAAAGTTTCTGCCGCAAAAGTAAAATTTTCATTCAGAATTTATGCATCTTGAACGTGGACATAGGATATATTAACCCCGAACACCCAATTGCTTCTTTAATATTGTGACTGCAATAAGATTAAGGGCCGGTTATACTAATATTCAACTGGAAACCCTTAATCAAGGATAATCAATGGTTACCAAACAATGTATTTTAATCATCTGTTAGCTTAATTTTTATCGGTGGATTGCAAATTGCCCTGATTCAAGATTAATTGATCACAGTTAAGACGTTTCATTTAATGCTTCTGTCATTACGGTCGAATCGACGTTCGGTGTTCATACGTCTAACGTCCATGGGCGTGGAAGGGGCCGCTAGAGCGTCGAGTTCCACTTTCATGGGGGGCGAGGTTCCACGCGATAAGGCGGCTTCTGGGGCGATTTCTGCCCGTGGGGCCTCTCCGTATTGAAATCCGGCTTCGTGGTGCTAGCGACGGCTGACGTTACGTTACGTTACTCCTCGAGTTCGATTCTATTCCTGGAGCGCCCTGACTCCTCCTCGGCTCCACGGCTGGCGGCCCTACGGACGCTCGCGGATCGCCGCGTCGCCGCGTCGCCGGATCGCCGACCGTTTAGCGCTTCGCTGCTTTTTAGTCGCTACGCGCTGCGCAGCCCTCGCGGGTGTTCCTCGTCGGTAATTTCGGGTACCGGGTCCTATGTCATCGCTCGATGATATAAGAGGTGTTGGGTCCTCCGCGAGGTTTCCCGGTGTCGTGATTCCCTTCTGCAATTCCTATTAAGCTCTGAAATAGAGGCAACCCACACATAGGTGCGGTGAAAGTTCCCCCAATTTTCGAAGAATGTCCTAGAGAAGCTGAAGAAAGTTTTTTTGCCATTACGGGGTGCTTTATCTTCCGCAATTGTATCTCGGAATTGTCGAAACGCGTTGGCATCGTGACTTTTTCTTGAAATTCCGGATAAGCACTGAAGTACGAGGAACATGTATGTAGGGTGCGGTGAAAGTTTCTGCAATTTTTGTATAATCTCTTAGGAAAGCTAAAGGAAGCAATTTCCTCGCCATTAAGAGTTACGTGATCTTTCGCGATTCTATCCCGTAATTATCGAGACGCGTTGGTGCCGTTAATTTTTTATTCCTGCAGTTCCTATTAAGCACTTAAATACCAGCAACGTGTGTACAGGGTGCGGTGAAATTTCCCGGGATTTTTGTAAAACGTCCTAGAAAGGCCAAAGAAAGCAATTATCTCGCCATTACGAGTTTCTTGAACCTCCGCGATTTTCTCCCAGAATCATCGAGACACGTTGGTGCCTTTTCCAGTGATTTTGGATTAATTTCTGAAATACAGGCAACACGTCAATTCTTTTCTGGATTTTTAGAGAAGTCACAAAGAGACTTTGGGATACCTTCGATGTCTGGACATTGTCATCGTGCAGATTCTTTTATGTCATTGCTCACAAATTCAAGTTTCTTGATCCCGCGAGATTTTATTCTAGAATAATGCCTTCTATAGTGATTTTCGATTAATCTCTGGAATACAAGCAACGCATAAATTTCGATAAATTTGTAGAGAAGTTATAGGGAGGCTTTGGGATATCTTCCATGTCTGAACATTGTCATCGTCGGTTTAGTCGAAGCTGCTCTCATTTCGTACACTGCTCCAAAATCCGGGTCAAGTCAATGTGGGTCAGCTGTTGAACACAATTTTCATCCTTGGAAATGTCTCATGTCTTTAGCACCGAAGACGTGATAGATATATTTTGTCTAGCTGGTGCAGTGAATTGTATACTTCACGTCTCATGCCTTTAGCAAATACGTATCACATTTCGAATAACCAGTGAAGTGAATTTCATATCACGAGATATATTCCAGGCAAATCCAGTGAATTCGTGGGATTTATAGCGGCGCATTCATCAGGACCACAAGTGAACGTTCCATTTTAGGAGACTTATACCGAGGTGCTAAATAACCCTTTCGCCCACTGGAGAGAAAAAAAAAAAATCTATTCACGAAATTATAAAAAGCGTCCCGATTCCCGCAACGCCGACGTCAGTGAATAGCTGGAAGAGCCCACGTGGAGTCGCGAAAAGACTGATCCCGATCGTCGACGTGGAAGTTCCCCAGGGCGCCATTTCTTTGAGGTTTCTCCGCGCCGTCGACTTAATCTGGAAGAACAAAAGGCAAGGAGGAAGGAACAAGAAAAGAAGGAAAAGGAAGAGGCCAAGAGATGCGGAAAAATCAAACCTGACGAGGGTGAGGAAGACGGCGTCGCCTCGGCGATAGTTCCCATCGTCGAAACGAGAGGGAGCAAGACGTCGAGTGAAAGAGAGGGAGAGAGCGTTCACTCTATTTCTGTATTTTGTCCTCACACGTTTCCGCGGACGCCGACTAGTCGCGGTTAGCGAAGTGCAGTTGTACACGGGTCTCTTGAAATAGAATGGCACGCGCATCAAAGAAAATTACAAAACCAGGCCCGCACTCCAGGGTGGACGGGCGAGGGCGGTAGACGTCACCGCGGTTTCAGGAACACGGCCAGGTTTCGAGTTTTCGACGGCGAAAACCGAGGTCGCGTCTCCAGATACCGGCGTCTGGGTCTCTTCGCGTGTCCTCGAATTTTCCCGGTCGGATTCTACCGATTGGTTCCTCCAGAATTTTCGGATCCAGTTGAAAGAGCCGCGAAAATGCTAAAGTCGCGGAGGTCCGCGAAGGTGGCGACACCTCGCGGATTAAGGCTACTCCACGACACACGTGGGGCGCCACCAGCGCCCTACTATTAATAGTTAACCAACGGGGAGCATGCGAAGCCACTTGGCGCTTTTTCGCTTCGATCGGGTACGTCATTTCGAGGGCCAGAAGTCGAGGAGTTCGTCTCGACGGTGAAATTTGCTCGTCAAGGGCTTCCCTCGGACAAGAACTTCATTTTGCCAAGAAGTTCCGATAGATCGGTGTGGGCTGGGAGAGAACAAGCAGCACCGGCGCCGTGAACGGCAGATTTCGGAACTAACGGGGAGGATGCGAATGCACGAGGCCTTTCTTCGCTTCGGCCGATCTCCGGAATACGGGAAGAGTCGAAACTTCTCGGCCGAAGATACATTGCACTCTGAGAGTTTATATTCTCTTCGATTAAGTGTGTAGGAGTTGTTTCTTTCCTGTCGCTTTTGGCCGAAGGAAGCCAGTGGAGTGGGTGCGCGACAGCAGCGCCGTCGTCAAACGTCGTCAGCTCTGTGAAGTAGTAGGCAAAATGAGGAGCTGAACGATTTGGTTTTACTCAAGACGAAAATACCTCTTCAAGAGTCAAAGCGCCTCGACAAGCGTTTCCTCTTCGTATCCCCTTTGCGGAGTTAACTGTAGCAGCGAGCGAGGCCCCTCGGCGACGGGACTTCCCGGTGATCCGAGCGAAGGCAGCGCCGCCACCTCCCCGAACTACCGGCGGGGATGTGAATTTAAGCAACGCCTCCTCGCTTCGTCTTGCCGAGGACCGAAATACCTCCTTCGAGAGTCAAAGGATCTTGGCGAATCTTTTTCTCAGGTCACACTCTTCGCGAAACTTGCGCGGTGCTAAGTGCAGCGCGCGAGGCCGCTGGGACTCTTTGAGGGACTGGTACGAGTGGTCCGTCGTTAACTCTACGAACTAATAAAAAAGATAACGGCTCATCGAGATTAAAACGTCGAATTTCTTCGAATTCCTTCAATGGTGTGAAGTGCAACGCAAGGAACCGCGGGGATTCCCAGCAGGACCAAGAACAGCGCCATTATCGACTGTTGTCAGCACTGCCAATTAATAGTGAAAATGAGAGTCTAAGCCAGCCTTCATCGAACTTAAAACGTCAGAGTTTTCGAGCTCTATCAACGGTGTGAAGTGCAACGCAAGATATCGCGATTTTTAGAAGCAGGAAGAAAAGCGCCATCCTCGCCTGTTATCTACACTGCCAGTTAATGGGGGAAATGAGAGTCTAAGCAACTCGTCTTCGAATTTAAAACACCGAACTTTTCGAGTTGCATTAGTGGTGTGAAGTGTGAAGTGGAAACTGGGATTCCCAGCGGGCCAAGTGAGAGCAGCACCACTGCCTCGCGCCGGCAGCTCTGCGAACTAACGGGGAGGATGCGAAGCAGAGCGCCGCCTCCTCGCTTCGTCGGAATTTCCTTCCTCGCCGAGGACCAAGAGAGCCCTCCGAGAGTTGCATCTCCTCGGCGAGGATTCTGCAAAGTTTCCAGAACGTTGATTCATTTCCATTAAACTGTCCACGCCCCGCGACGCGCTATCCCTCTCCTTCTCCCACTCCTCGTCCTCGTCCTCGTCCTCTTCTTCGTCGTCGTCGACCTCGTCCTCCCAGCACCAGCACCGCCCTATAGGACTTTCCGGGGTCTTCCTCCTGTCGGCCACCTCTCTCAGGCCTTCCGCGAGGTTCTTCTGGTGGCCCAAGATGTTGGACATATTCCGCGGCCTCAAGAACCTCGTCAAGATCTCCCACATTCACATCGACTCTGCCGTCTTCCGGCTCCACTACAGCATCACCGTCATGCTGCTCATCGCCTTCTCCTTGATCGTCACCACCAGACAATACGTCGGCAACCCCATCGACTGCATCCACAGCAAGGACATACCCGAAGACGTCCTCAACACCTACTGCTGGATCCACAGTACGTACACCATCACCTCGGCCTACAAGAAGAAGCAGGGGTACGAGGTCCCATATCCTGGGATCGACAACTCCAAGTCTCATCCCGATAGCGAGAGGAAGGTGTACAGGTACTATCAGTGGGTCTGCTTCATGCTGTTCCTCCAGGTAACCGCCCCACGCCACTCTCTTCCATTTTCACGATTTTCCACGTTTTCACTTGACCACTTGTACAGGTCTCCGCCGTTGTTTGTCGCTGCGACTTTTTGGACGCAACTGCTCATCAGCAAGGATTTTCATTAATTTCCTTCGTGACGTGTCCCTGGCTAGAAATGAAGTATGCGTGATGATCCGCATCTCTCATTCTTACATTCGGTTGCTTTAACCGAGACACCTTCGGTCTATGAAGAATAGAACGCTATTCATGTATGTCAAAAAATTTTCCAAGTCTTTTTATGGTAGCAGTGGTGGCTCGAAGAGAATTCAGTGTCCGCTAGAGCGATCCTTGGAGTAAAGAAACGCGGGCGCTCGGGGGAAGGCGGTGAACTTGTCTGAGACGCAACCGCGTCTCTTGATGCAAACTAGTAACTTTATTCGCACGTAATGGAGTTTCTAGGGGATTGTAACTTGATTAGACCTCCTTTAAGTATAAAATCGCGATCGAGGGAAAAATTTTGCGGTCAAATGTCTCACCCAATTCTTAATAAACCATCTCCGTGTGCACACTCGGGGCAGCCGAGGTGTGCACGAGATTCCTGGCGGACGTAATAAGTAACTGGCCTACTTAGGACGCCTTGGACGCGTCCGGGTCGCCTTCGATTCGAATTCGTCGTCGAATCCGAGTCGAAGACGAGCGACGAGGACGACGGCCATGGTCTTTTTGGATTTATGTTTCCGTTCCGAAAGCGATACTCGCTCTTCGGAAGGGAACGCGGATCTGATCTTGATCTCGTGGTGTCTTCTTCTGCCAAAAAGTATCAGGAAAAATGCCGGTCGACTCTGTCCTCCAGGTTTTAGCGTGGCCCCGCGGAAGTTAAGTCGTCGATTCGAACCGTCGTTGCGGCTGGGCCGCACAACTTACTCGCTGCTTACAAAGGCTTATATCTAGTTCATTGCCAAGCAGGAAACCCTAAGCACATTACTTAAACCTCCGTCATTCTCGAGGGTCGTCGATGCGACCCGATACGCAAGGTGCGGCGCCTCGAACGAAGCCGGACTCTTCCTTATACCTTCTTTACATCTAAAATTAAAAAATGTTTATGAAGCAACGATTGCCGCGCCACTAGCGGAGAAACGTGGAGCTTCAAAGCTGAGTTTGGCACTGTAAGGTGTTACGAAAGTGTCGTATACCAAAGTGTCAAAGAATGCATAAAACTTTTCTCGAAACTGAGTCCCCCGAATAATTCGATACTCCAACACTTGATCATAAAGATCTTGAAATTTCGTGAGTTTAAAAATCTTCATCAGAACCTTCAGAATCATGTGTTAAAGTTTCAGAATATTAGGTGTACTCAGTTTGGAGAAAAGTTTCATGGATATTTTCACGTTGTGATATATATATAAAATGATCCTTTTAAATCCCCTTAAATGGGAGATTCGATTTATGGGGCAATTTAAATTAGGGTAATTAAATGATGGCGGCTAACTTTAAAGGGATTTCAAAGTGACGTCCACCTCGCTAAGTCCACTAATATCTTGGCTTCTATTTTTGAAGATTAGCGTAAGGAACTGCCTGAAACTTTGACACGTGCGAATCTGGGCCAGGGTGTCGTTTGTTAAGCGGGAAAATTGTGGGTTTGATGGATATTTGGATAGTACGAAATGTTCATTAAGGGTATCACTTATCGCGTGAAAAGGGTAATTTGGATTTAAGGTCCTCGCTTCGAGAACAGCGTTAGAATTGGGGAGTTCGGATTTTTATTAAATTTTGAAATGACCTCACTTTCCAGTATAAATATGGTGCTCTAAGTGATGCACGATTTTCTCGCCATTAGGAAACGCTCTTGAACACGCTTCTGGGATGTTTAACTCTCAGCGATCGGTGTTGTACATTGCAATATATATATATTGCAAAACCATTAGCAGCAAAGTTGTTGCATTTGGAACATGTCCATTCGGGATATTTACATGGGAACGTAAGTTTTCGAGGCGCTAGAGCCTCTGTTTCTACTCCGTGCAACATGCGTTGCAAATTTATTCCCAACCACGCTTTCGTCATCTCCGTATGCCGCACATTACGACGTCCATTTGTTGCTCGCTTAATTTGACAATGAGCAATAATTAGGGAGAAGAAGTTAACCGGCCAAGGTAGCCCTAAGGTCTCCTTGGTGTCATCCCGTTGTGGAATGGGTGCTCTAACTATAGTCTGACAATGACCCGAATGCCTCGTTGACGCTTTTCCTTTTCCCCGAACCCTTTTTCCCGTCTTTTTCCCTTTTTTTTTCCGTACGCCTTGGGCGGCCGGCCAAGCCGCGACGAATTCTTCTGGTTCTCTCGACCGCGTCTCCCAAATGTCTTCCTCATCTCCGCGTCCAGGATGAAGTCTTCTCAATGGGTCTCCAGTCTCTTTCTCAGCAATGAAACGCTCTAATTATCTGAAAATATGTAATTCCTTAATTTATGGAACATATTCCTGACAAATTTAATCGGTCAGTTGTCTTAAAAAGAAGCGCTTTTAGGTAACGTGTTTACGGTCGGTCAGGTCTGGTCAGACCTCACTCTTGAAGACATGGACGGAAGTTATACCATGTAAAATTCGACACACAGTGGTGACCTAAAGATACAGAATTATTTATTTTATAGAACTTACTCCAGAAATTCCTACTTTATCTAGTCTCCTTTAGAGAAAGAATCGTATTCAAGTTACGCGCGCAACGTTGGCCAGGTCGAATTTTATCCTTGGACCCTCTTGCAGAAATAATCCGCCATGTAAGATCCGACATACAGTGGTGATTGAAATATATGGAACTCCTCGGATTAGGGGAACTGGCGATCCCGGAAACTCTCGGGCACACTCACCTCGCGATCCTTGAGTTTTCCGCGCCGTTGCCCGTGGCCGTGTCGGCCTGCAAGGCTGAGAGACTCCGGAGATAATATAAGTTATGTGTTCAGCGTTGGTCGAGGCCAAGGGATGCCCCTCAAGTCCGGCCAGTCTTCTAACGGCTTGCTTTCGTGCCCCACGTGTGTCTCGCGCCTTGGAGCTGGACTTTGCGTCTCGGCGACCTCCTGGGGCCCCGAATTTCGCCCCTTGGCTTCAGAATTACGCATCGAGTGTCAGGGTAAGATCCCCAGATGTCGATAACACCTGGCAATTAGTCGTGACTGAAGGTAGGAAGTGTGGGCGATAGGTGTCCCAGGTTTTATAAATTTCCGACGACGCCTTACCCATCACTGACTATCCCTACTTCAATTATATCCCAAGATTAGATAATATTTCATTTTTAATATCGCTACACCCTGGCGATACACTCCAGGAAATATTGAAGAATTCTCTAATTATGCGCTGAGAAAAAAGATTCATTGTACCGAAGAAATATTTTCTTAATTCAAAGTGTAATTATCTGACTGAAATAAATTGGCCATAATTCCGAAGAAATGTTGCATCCAATTACTTCGGGTTTATTTGAGTCAAATAATTATTCTTCGAATTAACAAAATGTTCCTTTGGTGCCTTTCAAGGAAATATGTCTCTGGTTCAATGAAATTTCTTTCACAGGGTGGGAATTCTGTAAATATTTAGAAAATTCTCTAAATATCAAAAAATCCCCGAATCAAGGGGTTGATTTCCTACCCCCGAAATTATTCACGGGACTGCACCGTTTACCTACAATTCGCGGATTGTCACTGGCGGTTTAATTTCTTCGCCCCCGTGTCAAGAGATAGTACATCGGGCGGACATCGGTCGGTCTCAGAGATGTCTATTTTAGGAGTGAATCGTTTATTGTACCAGCTGCGTCGAACCCTGGCGGGAGGAGGAAGCTCCAGAGATGAGAGAGTTAGCCGGCGTTCCCGTGGGACGCACGAGGGGCCTCGAGAACTCCCCAGGACTGAGGACAAGGATCCAGTGAGGAGTCGAATCATGAAGAGAACCATCCTCCAGGGCAGCCAGGAAGAGAGGTCCGCCCTGAAGAGCGACGTCTTCGGGGTCTGGATGACGAGGTCGTACTAGAAGAGGAGAAGGAGAAAGGGGCAGGGCCTGGAAGAACTCGAGTCGTCCTGGGCGAAGTATCATGCCGATCATGTTGAAGATGATAGACATCTTTGGCTCCATCAGGTCCTTATTCAAGGTTCAGAGGGTCTCGGAAGACACGCTGATATTCCGGCTGCATTATCGTGCCACCGTCGCCCTGCTCCTCGCCGGATGTCTCACCTTGGCTTGCAAAAGCATTTCTGGATCCCCGATTCATTGCGAAGGCGCCGGGTCCGTTGACAAAGTCGTACTTGAGACCTTCTGCTGGTTGCACACGACATATAGCATGGTCCAGGCTTTTAACATGAGCCTTGGCCAGGCTGTGCCCTATCCTGGAGTGTCCAACAGCAAAACCGATGTTCATGGACACGGACCTCATCCTCTGGTTAAACAGCACAAGTACTATCAGTGGGTGATCTTCGCGTTGCTTCTTCAAGTAAGGCTCGCCTTCTTCAGGTGTTTTCAAGTATTGTTCATCGGCCGATGTGGACCAATTCTTGTCAGCCTTGTTTCCGCTAGAGTGCTTTATACATGGAAGTAAATTTTATCTGCTAGATTGACATTTAGATAAATATTATCATATTCTAATTCCAGTGAACCGTGGATTCCTCAGCGTTGTCAAATCTGGCGTAGTTCAAAAGTAGACGCTATACCGTTTCGTTATTTCGGGGATACCTTTTCTTCCATATTGTTGCTGGAAATCATGTTTCTTAACTTCTGGAATTAGGTTTTGGCCACCTTGAACGATGCCAAGGAAACTTTGACGTTTCATCACGTTTGTCTCGTTCGACCCTCGAAGGAGTCATTTCTGGGGTTGTTATGCATTTCGAATTGCATTTCGTGCGGTTCTCACGTTGCTGTTACCGCGTTATACTCTGTGATTATTTTGTAACGTATTTTGGGACATGCATTCAGGTACTTATTTTATCTACCTTCTTTATACGTCATCATTTGTCCAATTGCGACTAATGACGTTGATTAATAGTAATCATCTTGATTGTAAATTAAGAACTTTTCCGAATATAGCATTCAATGAGACAGGTGCATTGCAGTTCTCGTCCCGATTAGCTGCCATTGACCCGGAAAATTGGCAGTATCGATTGCATCGTCCAATCGATAAATACTTTTATCGGATTACCGACAATGGATTAACCCGTTTCGTGCGTGACCTGGTAGAATCTAACGTATGAAAACCTACCTCTCGCAAATGCCTCTCGCACGTGATTGCTGCGAGCCAAAAGTCTTTATACACGGTCTCTATACGAGCGTGTATAAAGACCTCGCAAGAGAAAATCCAGAAGTTAAATATAGACTCTCTTCGGGTTTTCCCCGCGATATCACCTATCTAACCCGCCTTCTAATAATTTCCCCACGAAATCCAGGCCATTTCCTAACGTGTTTCCAAAACGCGCTCCTTAGTCTTCCCAACAAATACTTTCCTCACATACTTTCGGCACGTAATTAGCACCAGCAAGGCTCTTTATATACACTTCTTGTACATGTTAATAAATTTTATGGACCTTAGTTCTAAAAGAGAGTGACTGCATCTTTAAATTCACTCTTCTCGTCCGCGATGTCGTCTACCTAACCTAACTCGAAGTAATTCCCGAAAAAATCGAGTCCATTTTCGAGCGCCATTCTCGAAAGGAGCTCCTTAGTTTCCCCGCTGACAAATAAACCCCATTCCCGGGTGCATATAAAAGCCACCTCATGAAGTGAAACATACTTCCCGCAAATACTTTTGGCACGTGATTAGTTCGAGCGGGGCTCTTTATACACGCTCGTATATCCGGAGTACAGCGGCCAGAGGTGCGATTGGTCGCGTGGTTAAACTTAGACTCTTTTCGGATACGCCCACAAGGGGAGCTTTTGTACAGGGAAAGTTGATAAAGCCCGCTTACCTAGGTGCGCACTTACTCTTCGAGTACACGCACATGGCGCGGGGCGCAGGCGCGTTACGGCGCGAGCACGCGTGCTCGACTCGTAAAGAAAAGCTCGCGTGGGTCGGAACTGGCCAATGGCCAGAAAGCTCACCGGCGAAAGCCGTCGCTGGCCTCGACAGGTGCATTGACACCGATCTCAAAATTCAGATTTTCCCACGGTTCACGTAAAACTACCCTAAGGTGATACGAAAGGATATTCTAAACATAATATACGTCAGAATATTTATACAATTCTTCAAACTGAGCGCAACGAATCAATTGAAACTTTAACACGTGATTGTAGAGGTTCTAAGGAAGAACGTGCTGCTCATGAAACATCTATTTTTTTTTAAACCCTTTCATATCACCTTAAACTTCCGTTTTTTATGGAATATATCACGCAAAGAACTCACGGAGGGCACATTTTCGTACACCCTACTTATTTTCCTTGCTTAATTTAATATATAGCACCACTTAATTGCAGTATTTTTCCTTGAGAGGAAATTAAATCCCCAGTAGAGCGATGGTTAGAGTAAAGAGACGCAGTGCTCAGTCGAGGCTCGTGAGCTTGGTTGAGACGCTACCGCTTCTCTTGTAAAGCTCCTGTTTCGTCAATGTATGCCCTGAGAAAAAAAAAATTCATTGAACCGAAGAAATATTTCTTTAAGTAGTATCAAAAAATATTTTGTTAAATCAAAGAAAGAGAATAGAGAGGAAGTTGAGGAAAAGATAATATTGTCGATTTAGACGCGTTTTTTTTTTACTCAATCTGACATTTCTTTGGGGGTATTTGATCGGAGGGTTTTGTTGTTGCAATGCTTATTTCTTTGAGTCAGTTTACTTCTTTTTTTCTCAGAGTATCACAAGTGAGACATGGGTGATTCTGGTTGAGTTTTTAGCGGTCTTTATATGTGTATATTTAGATAAGGGGGAGTCATGTTTAATAGAACCGTTTTGTTGCACCGTTACAATTATCTTGCCAGGGAGGTAATTACTTCTTCCAGACCATTTAGTAGCGACAATTTAGACCATTAGTTCCCTGATCGTAATTCCACGCCGAGTGGAACACGTTGACCGAGTGCTCGAGTGTAGCCTCGAGGATCATCGGCTAATTATTTTCGTATTGGGTTTCTATTTCGGAGGGCCATTTATTAGGTGCGCTCGAAGCTCTGGGTTAAATCGAATGCTTTCAGGCGATCCTATTCTACACTCCCCGGTGGTTATGGAAGGGCTGGGAGGGCGGCAAGATCCACGCTCTCATGATGGACCTGGACATCGGTATCTGCTCCGAGGTTGAAAAGAAGCAGAAGAAGAAGCTGCTTTTGGATTACCTGTGGGAGAATCTGCGTTATCACAACTGGTGGGCGTACAGATACTACCTCTGCGAGGTGCTTGCTCTGCTGAACGTAATCGGTGAGTTTCTTCCTGGACCTTGATTCTGGATTTCCTGGAATTCTCTTGAAAAACGATCCCTTGAAATAAAATCGAAACGGATAAAAATTGAGCCAACAAAAATCACACCGTTAAAAAATATTGTAATTTCATGACATTTTATTTACATACTTTTTGATGTTGTAAATTTAGTACGTGCTTGCGTTAACATTCCTATAGAATTTCAGGAAATTCTAACGTGATTATATGAAATTATAAATTTATTTAGAGATTATTATTTCTAATTCTAGTACGTTTATAATTCTGTTACAACTATGTGTACTAAAAGTGTACACATTTTATGAATACAGTACGGATATGTATTCGCAATCGTCCTCAATGTCCTCGACTTTTGAGGAAAATTGATATTAAAAAATTCTGAGATGCTCGGTCATATTCCACTCTGATTAAATATGAAAACATTTATCCAGGGCAGAATAAATCATTTCACTTTCCAGGGAATCGGGCGGTAAATCGATCGATGCTTTACCGAAATGGAGATGCGAGACGGGGTCCAAATATTTACACGCAATTTAGCAGAAGCACGTCTGCTTGACATCCCCTCGTCAATGGCTTTCCCGGGAAGGGACTAACTTTGAGCGAAGTGCACGTCGGAATTATCTGTTTGATTTTCCGCAGGCCAGATGTTCCTGATGAATCGGTTCTTCGATGGGGCCTTCCTGACGTTCGGCATCGACGTGTTACGGTTCCTCGAGTCCGACCAAGAGGACCGGATCGACCCGATGATCTACGTCTTCCCCAGGATGACCAAGTGCACTTTTTACAAGTATGGAGTCAGCGGGGAGGTCGAGAGGCACGACGCGGTCTGCATTCTGCCCTTGAACGTCGTCAACGAGAAGATTTACGTCTTCCTGTGGTTCTGGTTCCTCATTCTCGGCACCCTCACTTTCTTCACCGTCATATACAGGGTGAGACCGTCCTCGAGGTGATCCGGTGCTTCCTCAATTATTATCCTACTTGCGCTCCTAAAAAACGGTTATAAAAATATAGTAGCTGCACTGAAAAAAAGAGAAGAGAGAAATATCTCATTGAACAGCACCGAAGAAATATCTTGTTACGTCGAAGAGTAATTATTTTATATAAACAATTGAAATTCTTTGAATTTAAAATATATTTCTTTGGTTCAATGAATTTCTTTTTTCTTAACGTAAGAGGTTGTTCCGTAAGTTCCTGCCGTTTTTCGGTATCTAACAGTAATTCAATTGAAGAAGAAAAAATTTGTTCGCAATCTTTTCTCGATGTGTAGGTGGATTTTCGACTCTTAGTTTGAATAATGTATGATACAAATTTGTAAGATTTGAGTGGCGGGAACTTTTGGGCGACTCAGAATGTCTTCTGTGCTAATTGAGAATCACTCGTTTCCAGGTTGTGATAATTTTTTCGCCGCGAATCAGGGTCTACCTGTTGCGACTGAGGTTCCGGCTGATTCGCCGAGAAGCGGTGGAAACAATAGTTCGCCGCAGTAAAATGGGCGACTGGTTTCTTCTCTATATGTTGGGAGAGAACCTGGACACCGTCATCTACAGGGACGTCATGCACGACCTGGCGAACAAACTCGCCTCCAGACATCAACACAGCGTGCCTGGGGTCAAAGGCCAGTTGCAGGAAGCCTGATCCAGGTAAGGAAAGTCCCTACCTTCGCGGCCATATTGGATCTGCTTTACCGACCGCGTACGCTTTAACCGACCGGAAGACAATGAAAAATCTCTAAAAATATTCATTATTAGTTCAGCCACGTCCGTATGATAATATTAAAAGTAACCATGGATTAATTTTATGTGTATCACGTGATTCTTCTTTTATTCCTGTTTCTGGTATGAGATATGCGGATATTCCTTGAATTTGAAAAACGAGGTTAACTATGAGGACCATTATTTTATTCCCAAAAAATTTGAACAGAGATATGCATTGTTTAGGGGGCTTTTAGTAAATGGTAAGGTTTAAATAAGGATTACCGATCGGTCTAGGTTTCTTCTGTCGACGATAGGCACGGAGCGCTTCAAAAAATAATAACTCGAGCCAGCGCCGCCAGGTGGCGCCATGGTCGGGATTCTTTATGAAGGAAGCATTCTTGTAGAACCGGCGCGTATCATTGATTATTTTAATAATTTTCAGGTCAAAGATTATCTTTATCCATATATACGCTTCGTTAAGGAAAGATGTAAGAAGGATAGAGCCCCTTTTAGTCGCGGAAAGGAAAGTACCCAAGTATTTTAGTAAAGAGGGGCTTTTCTAAATTGCAAAAAGCCTTCGTCCTCGTCGAGTCCTATGTCGATTTTAAATATTAAAAATAGCAGTTTTCAAACAGATATGTTCAACCCGGTAGTCCTTGGCACGAGACTTAACCGAGTCTTTCGAAAGTACCTTAATATTTTAGTACGGAGTGACTTTTATGAATTTTGGGGGGGCTTCGTCCTTGTCGACGGGAGGCGAGGCGATTTAAAAAGTTGAAAACGAAAATAGATTTTTCAAATACATCAGTAAAGCGTACATTTGCGAATTCCAAAAGCCTTCGTCCTCGGCGACGAGTGGCGAGTCGATTTGAAAAATATAAAAAATATATATATACCTGAAATATATTAATAAATCGTAATCTTTCTGAATTTCAAGGAGCCTTGGCCTCGTGGACGAGTGGCGAGTCGATTTTAAAAATTAAAAAATATATATTTCTCAAATATATAAATAAATGGTAATTTTTCTGAATTTCAGGGAGCCTTCGTCCTCGTCGAGTCGCGAAGGACGAAGGATCAGCGTCGACTCGAGCGGCTCGCCTCGCGATCGCATTTCGCAAGGTCGGCCAGGCGTGCCGGTCGACGAGGTCGAGGGAGAGTCCGTTCACTGCCGAGATGTCGTATAGCCGGTCCAGGGCGAGGCCAGGAGGACGGATTCGCCACCCGGGGCCTGGGCCCGAAGACAGAAGCGAAGAGAGTTCGATCCTGCAGGAGCTCCCGGGCGAGGACCTTCTCAGAAACCGATCGAGCAGATCGAATCGTTTCCGGGATCCGATCCGAACTCTCGCGGGATCCACTCGAGCCGATCGAATCGATCGATCCGGGGTTGATCTCCTCTTTTCCGAGGACGCGCCGATCTCCCGGAAGATCGCCTTCGAGGCGATCCGTATAATAATGACTCTCCTCGTCGCTAGTACAGCCACTCCGCGGCTCGGAAACTAGTCGGGGGCTCTTAAGAGCGCACTTAAGAGCAAGACCAGTTTGCATACGTGCTCACATACTTGCGAGTACTCTCTCGTCGTTGCGTTAACGCGAAACAGAGACGAAGAGATGGAGAGAAAGAATGGACGAAGTGTGCGACAGAGGGAGAGAGAGAGAGCGTGCGTGCGTGCATGAGACTTGAGAAAAGACACGGTCTGGCTCGTGAATTAGTGCCGAAACTGTATTTTCTAAAATCGATATGAGGTACGGAGGACCAACCTAACTTTTACCCGCCATTGTCCACTGCCTTCCTTGCGCGCGGAAAAGGAAATTTGGTTGATTTAACGAAATCCCTCGATCTGCATTCGGTTAATTTCGGAGAACCTTTCGGTTGAGCGAACCGAATTACAGGTTGATCTTCATTTCTTCAAGCTCATTTGCTTCGACCGATTAATGTGTCTCGGACAAATCGTTTTCGTAATTATGGAAAATAGTTTAGTCAACGAAGTTCCCAGCGTGTCCGCTTGGTGGCAAGTGGCCATGGAGCCTCTCTCGCAAACGAAGAATTTTTTTGCGAAAATTTACTCACGTTGTGAATGAAATCGCGACAAGGGATGTCGATAATATGCCACTTTTTATGAAAGAAAGTTTCCCGTTTGCCGGAGAAAATTATTATAAAAGGAACGCTTTTTTCTAAGAATATTTAATATTTAACGTGATCTGATGAGATCAACCAGTCGTTATTAACCAAAGAATTTAATCATGGCAACCAAATGTTTGGTTGTCCATGTAATGACCATATTTTATGTATGTACCAACAAAAATTGTCTTGATTCAATCAAATTTTTTTTTTTTGCGGGTGTAAAGATGTATTTTTACGGCGCAATTATGATCGCCGATTCTTGCGCAGAATTCGGCAGGAATCCGAGCACCGAGTGCAAGGCGCCTTTAGGTATACTCCCTGCGAGGAACTGAGGATTTTTCTAAGAGGCTCGGACGCTTTATTTCATGCACTTTTTGTCTTTCAAGATGTATAAGTATGAGAGGACGACGACGGGCCTAGGCGAGGACGACCACGAGGGAGGAAGAAGGAGAGATAGAGAGCGAGATGAGAGAACTTGGTGAATAAAGCTTTGGAATATCCTTGAGAAAGCCGCGCGATTAATTACGGTCCCGAGGTGTGATACCTTGGCAGTGTTAATTGCCGGACTCAATTATTATCCTTTACTTTTAGAATTAAGGTAACATGAAAGAGGCGTCAAAGAGGTCCCGTTTATAAAGCTTTTCTCTAAATCAGGTGTACCGAATCGTTAAAACTTTACAATGAGAGTACGGAGGCCATAAGGAAGATCCTGTCGCCCATGAAATTTCAATTTTTTAAAAATTTGTTTCTAGATATTTTTAAAATTTTATATAAAAAAAAAATGAAATTTTATTTAATTATAGTCTCTATATTCGTGTTGTAAAGCTTGAAATGATTGGATATATACCCCGTTCGCACAAAAGTATCATGAATAATTCACTCTTCAGATGCCACTTTCACATCCCCTTAATGTAGGGTCAAGGAGGGAGGATTTTTGTCAATCAGTTTTTTGGAAGGGTGGAATTTTTAAAAACTTGTCTTCTACCGGAACACATCCAGAAGTACCTCGAGGTGCTCTTCGGCTACGCGGGTTTTGATCAAAGGCTCGGAGGCATACATTTATGCTCCCCTTTGCGGTCTAAGGTGCACCTAAAAAACGAGGGAACGCCGAGATGACCAGGCAAGATGAGAACACAGAACGACGGGATGGAAGGAGAGAGAGAGGAAAGAAGAGACCCGAGAAGGGAGAACCTGACGATTACAGCTTTGGAATGCCCTTAGAGACTATTAGAGGCGACTCTTTTTTTTTTCTACTCTTTTTAATGTTACAACTGGTCCCAGCGCTGGTCTCAGTTACAGATGAGATGGACGTAGAGAGGAAAGGCACGAGAGGAGTTAACCTGACAATTATAGCCGTGGATTACCCCTGAGAGCGCCGTGCTTTTACGAGCTATTAAAATCAATATTTTTTGATTCTACAACTGGTCCCCGTGCCGTTCTCTTAAGCGATTCTGCTTACTGTCCTGGTACCAGTCCTGGATTATGACAATAATGTTTTTTAAATCCCATAACTCGTCCCGACGTTTGCTCGTCGCTTGTCTTTTCAGTCTCGATATTTGTACAATTCTTAAAAATATTAATATTAATTTTCTCCCATTTCATTCGTGGTCTAAGTGTTGGGCTCTGGTGTTTGTCTTTTCAATCCCATCTTTACCGTTCTTAAAAATATTAATATTCAGCCTTTTCCCATTTTGTGCGCAGTCCAGGTGCTGGTCTCCGTCACAATGGTCCTTTTAATCTCGGTACCGGTTATGGTACCAGCCTGAGATGCGAGAGCCTCCATTCAGGGAACGAGGAGTCTTTTTAAAAATGTACAAGGTCGAAGTCTCGAAAATCCAGAGATACTTCGAGGCGTTCTTCGGTTACGCGGGTTTTGATCAAAGGCTCGGAAGCATACGTTTATGCTCTCCTTTGCGGTCTAAGGTGCACCTAAAAAAACCAGCGAACGAGCGAAATGATGAGGCGAGATGGGAACGGAGAGTGACGAGAGGAAGAAAAGGAGGGACGACTTTGGAGAAGAGAATCTGACGATTAAAGCTTTGGAATGCCCTTCAGAATGTCGTGCCCTTAAAGACGATTAGACTTCCACTTTTTTTCGGTCCCACGACTGGTCGCGGTCCGTGTTTCAGTTCCAAGCCTTGTTCCAGTCCCGGATCACCTCAGGATCAGCTTTCTTTTTTTACCCGGAGACACCATTCTGCTCTTATGATCAATACAATGCCTCACGCAACCCTTCCAGACGCAGCCAATATTTCTTATAATTATAAAACTTCCCTCGGAAACTCGTTTCTAAATTGTTAGTATCATAAGATCCGATTGAAAATGCATAATAAATCGGGCATGACCAGAAAATCAATTTTAGGAATATCAGAAAATATCGTTCCCTTGAAGAAGCGAGGAAGAACCCGTTTATCTGGTCACGCGACCTTCCCCTATCCCACCTACCGCCTATGCGTTTTTAATTTGACTTAACACGATTAATTAAAAAGTTAATTTAAGGGGAAGATCACCGGCCCGATATCGGGAACCTTCTCGCGGACTTTTTCTCCGTCCGCCGCATCTTGATCCACGGCGTGGCGGGAAGACAACGAGTCCCCGTACGCAGAGGAGAACCCGAAGAGCGAGATAACGAATCTCGGCCCAGAAAAAGAACCTCCGTGCCGAGTTTTTACGGTGCAACTTTCACGCGGCACCGCAATTATTTCCGAGACGCGGGTTTCGCAAGGGAGTATTTTTCGAGCACGGAGTCGGTCCTCTTGGTCTCGGGGTCCAGCATCCGAGGACGAGGTTCGCAGCATCCCAACCGGTTTGGAGGTCCTCCGGTTCGTCGGTCTTCTCAGGCCGAGAGATATCGCCGAACAACGCGTTCGCGGCTCGATTTGGGCAAACCGCTTTTTCCTCCTCGTCCGCCCACTTTCCATGACTCCTCGTCCGTATCTTTTTCGATCTCGTAGAAAAAGTCCCCCGCGAAAAGGAGGCGACTTTTTAACTCGCCCCGACAAGGAAGTCTCGTCTCTCCTCTCGAAGAGGAAGAAGCGTCCCCCTTTTAAATAAGCCTAGGCGCCTCGAAGAATTCCCATCTCGAGTTTAACATGCAACTTGACGCGTTGGTCCTAAAAGCAAAGGATTAATAAGAGCACCGAATAAGCAAACACCGAGAGAAGGGATCTCGGTAACGTATCTTTGATTTTTCCCCCGAGGTCGAAGACGTGTCAGCCTCCATATTTAGCCCGAGATCACTTTTTCCCGAGGATGGTGCCGGGGGAAGAAACCATTTCTTTTTTTCAACAGAGTAAGAGCCAAGAAGGAGTCGAGAATCCATGTTTGGTCCGTTTTAAGATGACTTTTATCCCGCGGTCGGTCGCCGCGTTTATGGCGTTGCCAAAGGCGACTAAGAGCGATCTTAAGAGCAACCTTAAGGTAGTCGTTACTCCGGTCTTATTTCATTATTTCTCGGGCGATTTCCGGCAGAGGATGCCGTGGGATCCGCTCGTCGCGATCGCCTCGACTGTATTGGGACTGCGGAGCCCCTTAGACGTGGCATAAACGCGGTGACTCTTATTTCGCGGTATTTCCTTCTTGCCATTTAAATGCACCCTTTATAGCTTTTATACGCCCGGGTACAACTTCTGCCGGCGGTATAATAGCGTCGCTCTTAAAGTATATTATATAATTGTCGAGCGTTCACCGGCGATGCTTTGAGGCCACGTTCTGCGCCCCCTCGGTTCCGACAAGTCAAATGAAACAATTGTTTCCAGGTATCGTCAGAGCCCTCCGCAGTGTATTTGCCTCGATAGGAGCCTCTTTTTATTCGCTACACGGAGGAATGCTTGGCAAGACTGCCCATTAATGGCAAATCTATGTAAGTCATTCGTAGGCTCGCAGACGCGATTGCGTTGGCGGATGCCGTTACATTCTTAACGCGATGTTTCCTCGATCGCAGCGCCACTCGTGGCGGCCCTCGAAAAATTGCGCGCCCTTAAGGTGATACGAAAG